ATTCTGGACATGTTTTTTTGTTCAGTAATTAAATACATTTCTAAACACATTGAGTATTTGTGATGCATGCTTAGTTCTGTATCAGAACAGTCCTTTAATTTTCTGTCAATTTATAAAACTACATCAGCATCATTAACAAAGAGCTACAAAGATGAACTGTCAAACTTCATGTTCATCATGGTAAATGTTCTGGATTTACAGTAGCACATGTTCAAATATAGACCATGTGTTCTGAACTCTGCTAAATGTAGTAATAGTAAATGTACTGACCACAGGCAGACAGGCAAATATAGAAAATGGTGAATACGTGTTTTCTGACAAACTCAATAGTTTCATGCTTCATTTATTCAGGAGTATTTATCTGTTTGTCAGTAAATTATTCTATAAAAATGCATACTTAATAGATCAGTCAAGCATTTAACTGTTAATCGATGACAATAATTGTAGACCTTTAACTAACTCCTGACATCCGAGCCATGTGGCTGCATTGAACAATGTTTGATCAGTAAACACCTAGAATAGAGTCAGTATAATACAATAGAAAAGATACATATGGAAAGGAAATAGGATAATTATCACAAAATGATATTATCACAAAATGATAATTAACTGTTGGTGGAAACAGATCGCTAGAGATATGTGACATTTCAGATGCTGGTAAAAATGCATACAAATAATGCAAATCTAATGAAAAAAATTTTGAAATGGATTAATACAATGAAAATAATGTTCGCAAAGTTGATCAACATTTTCTTTTGCATTCATCCTTAGAATGGATGCTAATACAATAAAACCTGTATGTAGTGAACACCTATAGAGTCACATTCCACTACTATTTTTTTCAAGGCCTGTCTGCGTCGCTAACATGCTAAATATAAGAGTTAGCTGACGTTTGGGAGTCTGACTTACCTTCTAAAGGTTAGAACCCGAATCTTAATGAAACTATATCACCTTTGTTGCGTCGATGATGATGCATAAACATAGCATTTGATAGAAATTAGCGTAAATGCTTTTCCGACTTTTTCATTTTTCATCAATGTTGACTTCCGGGAAGGCGTTGTAGTTATCACGAAATAACGCATTGACCCTTGAACTTTACTTTGTTGACGTGTCAACCAAGCATGTCTGGTGTGAAAATTAAAAGAATATTAAGCAATGTTCTACATCCGCCAAGCTAAGTGAAGTAGTCAATATTAAAAATTACCAATTTCAAGTGAAGTACGCAACGAACGAAACTGCGTGATCTACACTCCCACTATTGGTCTGAATGAAATGCTACGTAGAAATATGAGCCGTCTGCTGTATTAGTCGATTAATAGAGTAAGACCTGTTGGTGATGCTTTATAATTTAGACCAAAACATTGAAGAACAAACGAACCTGTAAATCGTGAAAACAACGAACAAATATTCGGTTTTCACATATGTTCGGTAATTTTTCGTATTGAAACTTCCGGAACTTACAAGGAAATCATTCATTTTCTCGATCCATGATTTACCTCTTGGATGTTGTGGCAAATGCTCCATGGTTGACGGAACAAAGGTGATATGGTTTCATTAAGATTCGGGTTCTAACCTTTAGAAGGTAAGTCAGACTCCCAAACGTCAGCTAACTCTTATATTTAGCATGTTAGCGACGCAGACAGGCCTTGAAAAAAATAGTAGGAAGTGTTCACTGTAGGTAGGTGTTCACTACAGAGAGGAAATTTTATATTGATGTGGTGTTCACTGAACACAGGTGTTTACTGAGAGAGAAAGGTGTTCACTAAGACAGGTCTTAGTAGTAGATATAGAGCACATGTGTTGCATTTGAACAATCAATAATATAGTATGTATTGCAAACCATGTGCTAGACATAGTAGTATAGATACAACAGACAAGAGACAATCTAGGTCAAATTGGGAATATCAATAAGAAACAAGCATTTTTCCTTATATATGCTCTGAATGTCCGTAGATAAGGTACACGAAACTCTCTATTGGAAAGGATGAATAAGACGCAATTGTGGATCAAAAAATATGGTAGACGAAGCTCTCTTTTACTTGAGAAGCATTTAATAATTAATATTATATGTGTCATGTCATACTTTAAGTTCAGATTTATCTGTTGTATATTTGATGAAGAGGCAATTAATAATTAGTCCGATTGATCAATAAGTATTTGATAATTATTAGCCTATACAGTCTATGCGCTTCAAAATTGTGTAGTGTATGTATGTCAAGTATACTTTTTGTGATAGGACACCCTGGGCACCTGGGTTCAGCTTAACTTTTGGTCCATTCTGTGTTTGATGAGGAGGCAATTAATACAGGTCAACTCTACTCATACTCCATCCCAAGGTTTTTTGGACTAAGTCATAGTAAATAAAATGTGGACTTATCATACAAACACTTCACACTGATAACATGTCTGGTAAGTCACCATTCAAAATATTTCAGAACAGACGGTTGTAAATTGATATATTATTATTGAACGTAACATCAATGAAATCTCTGATTTTTGAGTATTTGTATAATTTCTCTTAAATCGTATGTTAAAATTTAAAACCTCAGGTATTTTTAATTTAGTCTGTTGATAATGAACAAAATTGGGGATTTTGTGAGGGTATCTCTTATCATATCGGTAGCTTGAAACAAAGAAAAAATTATTTTCACAATTACAGTCAAAGATAAAGGTGTGACAACTACATATGGGGTCTATATACAGTATAGGATCACATTGGCCAGGACTGATTTCGGCAATCTGCACCTGGATATTTTAGAATCAAAATCACCTGCATGCAAAAGATGAAATAATTATTTTGATAGTGAAAAAACAAAGAAAATTATTTGCAAGCTGTCAAAACGTTACATATTCAGGAATTGTGACGATGCCTTGGAGCGTGTCTATTGATAGGTGCTATTGTTGATAAATACACTGACTGCAGCGAGTCAAATGTGATACTATAGGCATGCTTGATAATTAATGTCTTATAAAAAAACTATTTGTCTATTAGTTCAGCCTAAGGGATCAAGCAAGAAAATAAGGCATGTGACATCCTCAATAAGATGCTAGCAATATATTATCTCGTTCATGTATTTCTCACACCTAGTACAGAACACATGGTATGAGCTACTTGATGTACATAGAAATATACATGCACATGCATGTGAAATATCAGTGAAAACTGCAAAACAAAGATAACAAATTCAGTCAATTATACAATCACAAAATTATATTATTAAATGATAATAATTACTTTACTGTACTAAATATTTATCAGAAATCGATAAGTAATAGAGTCTAGCAAAAATACATCACTCTAGGCAAGTAGCAACTGGACAGCATTTTATCAAAAATTGATGGCTCTCAGGCTGTTAATTATCAATGACGATTACGAGGATGATCACTAAAGCATGATTTTGTCTGAATTTTTCTAGCTTTTATCGATACTTTGATTGCAATTTAGTTATAACAGAGAGATGTTTCATCCTTATGGACTTTAAAAACATAGGGATAACTTTCTTAAGTGGCAAAAGTAATTTTCTAATCAGTGATTAATTGTAATTGCTATTACATCGTCTACTGATATGAAAATATGATTGATTTTTGCAATGAAGTACATTTTTAGAAACACATGTTGCAAACAAAACTAGGTTCAAGCTCCAATATTGCATTGTTCATTGTCTTTTATGTGTAATATGTAAATAAATCAGTATACTTTATATTGTTTATTAGGAAAACTTGGACATACTTAGGAATACTAGGAACAATCATTATTGATTATGCCTGTATAAAGAAATGAAATCACGAGAAGCATGTGCTATAACAATCGGTATTAAAATAAATGTCACTGGATAACATTTCAATAATATGATATGCCATATAGACATGTATGTGATCATATTAATCAAGCAAACATGAGATATGAAAGTAAACCTGGAACATACTCCCTGGAATAACATGGAACATATTATATATAGTAAAAGTGGAGTACATAATGGATCTCTAGAAAACAATTGAACAATTGCAGAACTAAGACTTACGATTAGGATATAGTTTATATGTAAGACAACTAACATTTGGATGGGATTAGCTTATTGCTTAGATCTACGCCAAAATGGCGTTTCGATGGATCTCAGATATGCTGAAATCGCCTTCAGGTTGGTTTTATGATATTATTATGTCACTCCACAAGTATTGTTAGTCTACAAGTTTTTGTGGACAATGTTCGGGTTTGACAGTTGTTGTTCGATGTCTGTAACAAATGGCAGGTGATGACCTTTTCATGTTAATGCCTTGTATTGTAGATGCAGAGTGCTAGTGACCTGCTATATTGAGTCAGTCTTATTCTTAGAATGATGATGGTTTCTATTTGGCCTTTCACTATGTTACATGCATATGTATCTGCAGACAAATCTGGAACTTTGTAAAAAGTGAAATTAAAATTGCAATTCTTTTAAGGATTTCCCCTGGACAAAGATGAAAATGATAGACACTGACCCGCAATTTCATAAATTCTTTTAATAAGAATATTTTTGTGGAAATGACTGATTCCAGATATTTCAGAAATATCATCAGTGGTTCATTCTAACATGTTTTCAACTATTACAATGATTATGCTTCTCAATTTATCTAAGGGGCAAATCATCTATTTCCTTTGTCGAAGTTATATTTTATTCAGCTGGCATAATTACTCAGTTATAAAAGATCAGTTATTGAATATTAAATGCAGAGTGGATAATTATTGTATGAACTATCTGGACAAAGATAATGTGTGTAATAACAGTATGGTCAATAACTACCCATTTGTCTATATCTATGTCTCTAGCCTTGTGAGATATAGGGAAGATATGTTGGTTTCTCATCAGAGAATGGGGAAGACTACACACAATTCTGAAAGCTTTTTATGTCATACTAAGGTTACCATGTAATAAAACAAATCTACCATAAAGATGTATACCTTATGTGTAAAAATAAGAAATAAATTAAATTAATGATTTTATTATTTTCTATATTTCCAGATGCCAACTTGGATAAATTTGATGATTTGGCAAGTTTTCTTGATGTTGAGGCCAATGTTGCATCTGACGAACTCATGAAACAGCTTCCAGATGTTGACTTTGATGTGAGTAATGAGTATATAGCAAATGCTTTATTACCCTCACAGGGAAATATCAATTGGTTCCTATACATACCTGAAAATATCAAGTAAATGTTTTTAGTTTGTGAGTACTTGGAAATATCAAGGAATTTTATACTAAGGTCAATCATACCTTAAATGTCATGGGGTGATTTTGAAATAAAAAATGTGTGGGGAAATGTCAGGGCATTTTATTTCAAAATTGTAAATATAAAAAGCATGGCTATAAAGTCTATGAAAATATATAAAAAAGGTTTTAATTCTGAATATTTAGCTAGATTATTCTTGTTACAATTTATTGATCAATTGATAAATCAGATACAGATCATCAACAATTTTTTATATGAATAAATATTACATTGAATGACATTAATATATTCAGCCCATTATTTATGTGTTTATGCATGTCACTCTTCCAGGAAATGTTTCTGTTCTATTTGTCACTGTTTCTGTTTTAGTTGCCTATGCTACCAGATGACACAAGTGACCTCTTCAAGTCTGACCTTGACCCCTGGAATGACCTTGGTGGGGATTCCTCTTCAGACAGTGGCATCAGTGGCTCGGGTAAATTCTTTACACAATATTTATTGTCCTGTAAGAATAGAATGGAATACATATGTTTGCTTGAAAAATCACAATTTATGGATAAATTGTCAGTATTGTTTGCAAGTATGATATGTATATGTTTTGGATTTATTTATACACATGTAATTTAGAAAATGATATTTTAACTTCTACTGCTTCTTACAGGATCCAGTGTGAAGCAGGAACCATTGTCTCCTTCATTCTCCCACAGCTCAGATGATGGCTCCCTTGATTCCTTCTCAACACAGGTACGCTCCCTCAATTCTTCATACATTGAAAACAACCCTTATTTAATAGTTTTAATTTTTATCGTACCTAACAAGAGGTACAATATTGTAGTCAGCTTGACAGGCGGCGGGCGGCGTCTCACTTTTCAGCTTGTCTACAGGTTTCCAGCCAAATCATTTCAGGGATTCATCTGAAATTTTCAGGGATGTCTCTACATATCAATGTCAAGAACTGATTCGTTTTTGGGCATTCTAGGTAAATCTTAAGGTGGCCATTTTGGATTTTCCGTCCTAAAATCTTCACTTTCAAGACTTGTCTACAGGTTTCCAGCCAAACCATTTGAGGGATTCATCTGAAATTTTCAGGGATGTTTCTACATATCAACGTCAAGAACTGATTAGTTTTTGGGCATTCTGGGTAAATTTTAAGGTGGCCATTTTGGAATTTCCGTCCTAAAATCTTCACTTTCAAGACTTGTCTACAGGTTTTCAGCCAAACCATTTGAGGGATTCATCTGAAATTTTCAGGGATGTTTCTACATATCAACGTCAAGAACTGATTAGTTTTTGGGCATTCTGGGTAAATCTTAAGGTGGCCATTTTGGATTTTCCATCCTAAAATCTTCACTTTCAAGGCTTGTCTACAGGTTTCCAGCCAAACCGTTCAAATTTTTACATATGTTACACAGTGATAAGTTCTAGAGCTGATTAACTTTTCTGCGGCCATCTTGCTTTCTTGGTCAACAAGACCACAATGCTGTGTTTTAGGTACGATATTGTTCACGTCTGTGCCTTGTTTATTGATGATATCAATAGGCTTTAACCTCATTTTCTTTAATTATTTAAGCTTGGGAAAAATTGTTAATGTTGCACATATGTAACATGTAGTCACCTTTCAAATTTAAAAAGATGCATATAGTATATTCAGTTTGGAAATTGCTATACTGCTCACTCAGTGAAATTTATTTTCTTAAAGCTATAATATTTTAGAAAATAATTAATATCTAATTCTATAGATTGTGTATGTAAGATATCATTATGAATTTAAAATTATTTTAGGGTCATTTATGATGAGAAGTATAGCTAATTACCCAAGTCAGGTCAATGTTTTATTTAAGATGTAAGATCCTAAATTGAAGTGGTATCTAGCTACAGGATAAGCAGTTTTGTTTCAATCCTTGAAGACTTGTATTATAGTCTCAAAATCTGGATTTTTACCACTTTGAACACCCTAAAATTTTTTGAGAGAATATAAATGGCATTGTTTGTTAGTTTTATTTTAAAATTATTTCCCGAACTTTCAGACTATCAATGATGTCATCCCTCATATACCACCTAGCGACGTCTGCGTCAAAGCAGAAGAACTACCAGGTGGCAGCACCTGTACCAGCCAACCATTCCTCATCAGCCCGACAACCCTCCAGGGGCTCAACAAAAATATAAACATTTTACCTGCGGGTAATATCGTTACTTCTCAGCCACAGAATGTGATCACGAACGGTTTAAACAGTGCTGTGAAAAGCAACATTACACAGAATGGAAATACAATTGTTATTACCACAAACTTAGCAGATTTAAACGGGACGCCAGCCAATAAGAAGATGAAATTGCAACCTAAACCAGTGCCTTTAATACAGCCTAAAACAGTATTGAATACAACTAATAAAGGTGAGTTGTTGAACTGACTTTAGTTAGATATGTCCAGATTCTAGATCCTCTTATAATATGATATGATATCAAATGGGAATCTATGTGTAATGATAATAAAATGCAAACTTAGCCCAAATATATTTTATACGACGTATAATTGATATTTGTTATACAACCCATTTGCAAATGCTTGGATGTATGTAATGTTCAAAATTATGGTAAACATACATACTTTAAATAAAAATAAATAAATGTACAGTATACTAGGACCAATGCTCCATGTGTGAAACTTGCTTTATATTAATGATTTGTGTTACTTGGCCATGTATCTGCATCTACATGTATTTCAATTCCATGGAGAACTAAACCCATTTTGTGATTTATTTCAGCCCAATGCACAACTAAACCCCTTGTATTGACACCAGAAGAGTTCACACGTCTGACTCAGCAAGGATTGCTCAAGTTTCAACCTCCACCACAGGAGAGTAAACCACCAGCTCCACCTGCTGGCAAAATGTTAATTCAAGCCACGTCTCAAAATCATAATGAAAATGATGTAAGTGATTCTAATACTAACAATTCTTACACGCCTTATTGAAATGAATCTATATTTGTGTCTCTTAATTTGTCTCAGAACACTGAATTTATTATATATTTCAAAACCTTATGCATTTTATCTTTTAAAACTTTATGTTTTATTTACCAATATATCTCATGTTTTATATTTTAAAACTTTATATTATGCAGCTCAAAGTTGTCAAGCGGCAACAAAGAATGATTAAGAATAGAGAATCAGCCAGCTTATCCAGAAAGAGGAAAAAAGAGGTAAGTTTTATTCATTTCATAAATACAAGTTAACCAAATTAAGATTTTGTGATTTGTATTATGTCACCACAAGTGGTGACATATTGTTATATTGTCTCCAACTTTTTGTGGATGGTGTTTGGCAGTTGGCGTCTGTATCAAATGGCATTCGGCAGTTGGTGTCTGTAATAAATGGCAGGTTGTGACATTTTGCATGTGAATGTCTTGTTCTTACATGTTGAGCTTTGCAATTCTCTATTTCTTTTAAATTATATTTTCCATATTTCTATTATTATTTATCATATAAATATTTTGTATATATTTTAGTATGTAGGCAGCTTAGAAGAAAGACTGGCTCAGAGTTATGAAGAAAACCAACGTCTTAAAGAAGAGAATGACAAACTAAAACAAAGGCTGTCTGTACTTCAAGGAGAGGTATACAATTTTAAGATAATTTTTCAGGAGTTCAAAAATTATTCGAGAATGAATGGGGTAGAATTTCAAAATGCACTATAAAACCTGTTTAATCTGAAAGCCACTAGGACTGGATGAAAGTGTTCAGATTGGCAGGTGTTCACATTTTTTACTTTGGTAATCCGTGGCAAATCAGAAAGTGAGACTGAAAAAAATGTTGACCAGGAAAGGTGTTCAGATTTGAAAGAGGTATTGATATACAGGTTTTGCTGCATTAGAAATACTAAAAAACAGCTTCTTTGTATTTTTATAATGCAACCAAGTATTTCAAGGTGTGAATGCGCAACATCTTTTCAATAAAAGTTAATTAAAAAGTTCCTTTTGTTTTTCAGAATGAGATGTGGAAGCGGTCATTCCCGAATATTAGTAAAACAAAAGCAACTGTAGTTCTCACAATTATGTTAATGGTCGGTCTCAACTTAGGTCCACTCACGTAAGTCATTTTTCCAATGGTTTATGGAGCTTTGACTAGCACCATTAAGCTTCCTTAAATAATTCATACTGGTATCTGTAAATCTAATTTTTAAAGTTGATAAATTATGTCAGATTTCATTTGCCTAAAAAGCATTTATTTATAAACTGAAAATTTGAAATTAAAAAATCTAAAGATTAACCAGTATTTCATCCTCAAAAATAAAGATTACAAAAGTAGACATGAGATATGAATGAGTAAATAATTACAGTCAGACAACTATAATTTATTAACATATCAAATGATTTTATTTACAGAGATATATTCAGCAACTCAAGTAACACTAATAGTGGTTTAAGTGCAATATCTCCTGGCAGTAAAGTTCATGTAAATCATCAGGGGCGCCATCTAATGTCTGTTCCTGAAGAGCCATCATATCCTAACATCTCTGAGTTTGTAAACGTCCATAGCCCACAAGAGAGGGGAGACCTTATGTGGATCAATTCTAGTATTGTTCCCGACTCACAGCTCTGCCCGTTATACTTCAATAAAACTGAATCTCTAAGGTAGGTGTTGTGTTTCTTTGTTAAAGTGGTTTAAATTGTCCATGAATTGACAGACTTGAGCCTTGTTTACATTCAGCAGTCTGTTTAAAAGTTCATGTGTTTGTGGTAGCTTCAGGCAATTAAATTGGAGATTATACTATGAGAATCAAAAGATGATTTTACTTACTCTTGTTAAGAAAAGTTTAATAAAGTTGGTAAATTTTTTGATAAGCATTCTTTTACATTCTAGTATTGTAATTTTCAGATTAGCCAATGAGCTTACAGGATGGGTGGAGCGTCATAAAGAGCTGAAGAAAAAAGAGCGTCAAGAAAAAGAACGCATTCAGGTGGAGAAGGAGCGCCTCTTGGCACAGAGAGTGCGAAAATCTGAGAAGAAGAAGAAACTGAAAGTTCGACCACTCAGGAAGCTACGAGCTGCAATGGATGGACAGATGGACCAGCAGCTTATTCATACCAGTGGAGGGTAAGTAGGGATATTCACACCAATTGGGTAAAAAAGAGGTACAAGGGGTAAAAGTAGAGGTATTGCGGGTTGAATGGGGAGGTATTCACACCAATGGGGTAAAAGTAGAGGTATTGCGGGTTTAAGGGGAGGGATACACACCAATGGGGTAAAAGTAGAGGTATTGCGGGTTGAAGAAGAGGTATTCACACCAATGGGGTGAAAGTAGAGATATTCTGGATTTAAGAGGGGGTATTCAGTGTTCACACCAATGGGGTGAAATTTAGAGGTACATAGTCCATATAGTCAAGAAATATGTTCCTACCCTGCTAATAAGTTCACTGTGTTCAACAGGAAGAGTGGTGATTTTCAACACAACTGTTTAAGATACATGATGCATGATAAATGTGTATGTCATGTTAAGTCCAATGTATTAATTATAAGATAAATCGTATATTCCAGTGATGGACAATACTCAGTGCAGGTGTTCAATGGACGTGACAACTATCTTGACTTCCTGGACTCTATACACAGGAGAAATGACACTTTCTATGTGGTCTCCTTTAATAAGGTATGTATTTGGTTCTTACCAAGTCATTGAATTACATATACATTGTATAGCTGTTCATCTTAAACCTTCTCCAGGCAGTCCTAATGTTATGTTTGATAATTTGATGTCTTACATAAATACTTATGCAATTTTACATTTATTCCAATGATTTGGATTTGTACTGTGTAGACAATATGGCACTGATGTTTTTATACAGCATGCTGTATATTGTACACTCTCTTGACCAATATAATATTGATATGAAATTATAGTTTTCATAAAGGCTTAAATATGATCCTCGTGATTTAATTTATTCAGTGACAATCCTATTACATCATTTTACACTATGTAATCAATTAAAAGGTTGACTTAGAAAGATATATTTGTATTTCTAGGACCACCTGCTTCTCCCAGCCACAGCCCATAATAAGACTATGCGGCCAAGGATGTCACTTGTTGTACCTACTGTTGCTTCATTAAATGGTGAGTGCCTAGGAAGTGTACAATAAGTATGCAAAAGGGGTAAACTTGAAAAACAACATACATAAACCTATCACATATTCATTATTGAAATATTTGTCATAAACAAGTAATAGGTAAGGTATCATTACATGAAATTTATTAATTTTATGACGTAGCATATAAAATCTATTGTAGAATATACAACCATCACTGCTGAATTGTAATTTCATATATTATTTGAATATCATATATAAAAAATGTTTCAGAAACAATGGCGCCACCTGCAGGAAGTATCGCAATGATCCAGATAGACTGTGAAGTGATGAACACGCGCCTACTGCACATCAAGGAGTCTGTCATACCAGCGTACATGAGGGAGAACAATGCAACATTCCATCATAAAGCATCACCATAGTAACAGAAATCATATATCATTAATCTCGTCATACTCGGCTTCATCAGTCTGCCATATATGAATGATCAGAGTGCCATCTATTCTACATGTGTTTCACTCACATTTGGGTTCACTTGACCCATATTTTCTCTGGATTAGAAATTCATATCATTTTTCCATTCATGTTTATACTCTTAAGATCTTCCAAGAAAGTTTTTTAATTTTTAACAGAAACAGCCTTGTGTACTGCAAGACTCCAAAGACCAGATATTGTGTTCTTATTTCTTAGAGGTTAAGGTGTATAGATAATGCACAAGTAAGCCTATTCTTATAGAGACATCTGACATGGCTTTTTAAAAATGTTTGTCATTCGCTCATATTTCCGTAGTAAGATACATATATAGCTTGTGTAGCATTGAAGACAATCTCTCGTTTAAGTTTTGGTGTATATCAATTTATTATACCATCCCCTTTTGACAGTTATGTGAATTATATGTATTTCATACATATGCATGATACAGTGTATATATGACATTTATACTGTCACTCCTCATTAACAGGGAGTAGGTTAGGTGAAAGTTCACCCTCAATATGGTATCCTTGTCATAAAAAAGATAACATGTTGTATGTATATAAACATAGTAAGGGTACTATCAGAGACAGGGTTTACAAACCATATGTGCCTTTTTGGTGGGTTGAAAGATTTCATTCAAAATCTTTTTCTGATTTTTCTGACATTTCACTACCATTTAGTGTTTTTCCTTTTTTCCATTTTTATTGCTTGTTTTTCATCTTTTTTCATTATATTGGAGAGAAATGCCAGGAGCAGAACAGAAATGTATGTAAATGCTGACAGTACATAGTGTCCACATTGGGACATTTTACGTTCGTTAATAGGTTACAGATATTTGAAATGTGTTCCACTTATGGAGATGTTCCACTTAGAGAGGTTTATGGGTTTTACTGTACTCCATGGATATATTGGCTTGTATGTTGCAGTTAGCTTTCTCTCAAGTACATATCTGATTGATTTTTTACTTATTTTTGATCGCTGATGTACACCTATAATGTATATCAAAATGAAAGATCAACATTTTCTGTGACAGTATGTATGGGTGTCATTCAAAAAGTTATGATAATGAATATGCAGTTTTAAATCACCACCAATCTGTCAATTCTTGAGTCATCAGACTTTTCTTGTTCCTGTAACTTTTTGAATGATTCTCAAATTTGCAATGTGGAATGACATTTTGCCAAATATATTTGTTGTATTGAAAATGCAACAATCAACTGCAAATGATTGATATAAAGATATTTGTTTGACTATTTCTTTTATAAAAGTTTTCATACAATTACTGCACTGTACTTTGTACTTTTAATGAATGAACATTAACCAAATCTAACGAAGTAACCAGCTGGAAGTAACTTAAGTGTACTTAGTACTTATATGGAATGAATATAACCAAATATATCAAATGAAGTAAATATAATGATTAATATAAAATTTGTAAATAAAAATATTATATACAGAACAGAAATACTATATACTGTAGATTTTAGAATTTATATGTAGTATTCACTAAGGTTCGGGATATTCACTTATGTGAACTTTATGAATAGAATTTGTATTGTGTGGAGAGGCGCAATATGTAATGCTAATGTAAAAATCTTTAAGTTTTGTTTATATGTTAGGTTATTGGCCCAAGGAATGTATCCTAAATATTCTTTAATGAGCCCTAATGGTTTATCAAGTGTCAGGATTTGGTCCTGAAATGAGAGATAACGATGTAGATGTTACTGTTAGAATTCTTGAAGTTTGACTTTTTATCACACTTTTTTAAAGTGCTCTATATTATTGTCATCTTGTTCATAGAGAAGTGTATGTTAGGGAATTTGTGCAATATCAGCTGTTGGATTTAGCATCATAATTTGAAAAACATGTACCACTGTTAGGTATTTTGATGAAAGTGTTGTTTTCTTTTACTTTATTTTTGATGTGGTTAGAAAAAATATTTAACTCAGTCAAGTGCAAAGTCCCAAGAATATAAAATCAAGGAAAAACCAAATATGTGGCATGTAAATTAATGGATTTCAAGGGTTAATTAGCATAATTCTTGGGTCATTGCGGAAGGCTGTTTTAATCCTGAAATTCTCATGAGAGAATTTTCATCTGAAGTTGTGTAATTATAAGTATGTCATTGTCAACACATTACTTATTCGAGATACCATGATACATTAAATTATTACAATAATTAGCCTTTAGTGTATCACGGAACCTTTAATACTTATATGATTAATTTTGATGTTAAAGGTGTTGATTTAGATATTTTGGAATTCATGTGCTGGAAAACAGTCTTCAATTTCATCATTCCAAATGGACTGTTGAATGCAATCTCGCCATTTTTCAAGAAAAGATTATTTGAATGATAAAATATTCAGCAGATATGTATTTTTTAAAAGTTGTATCTAAATATACTTTCGGCTCATGCTGTTCATTTTCACTTTTGTTATTAGCAATTTGTTATTGTTGTTAACTATGTTAACTTGTATTTATTCAAGATGGCAATCTTACATATTCTCAAATCGACTAAGTGCTGATTTGAAAAAGTTAGTTATGAACTTATGATTGTATAACTTTTAGTTTTCACTTCTCTTAGTTTTCACCATATATCATGTGGAGAAATATTACTAGATTAATGAAGTAAATGTATGTCAATTCCCATTATCTGATCACAAACATTCTTAACAAGATCTAGAAATGTTTTTCTAAATTAACCTTTTGACTCTCTGATGACAGTTTAATTGTAAAACAGTCTATTTGAATCTTAACAGTGAAACAAACAGTCAGTTTGTGATAAAGTGATATTTTGAAGACCTTATGTGAGCGTCTCAAACAAGATGACCTTATATGGTCATATATAAAGCAAACCCCTATAAGCCTAAAAATTTATGGATAAAAAAATATTCAATCGTTAGTAATAGTCATTCTAGTAGTACATCTGCACTATTATTATTAATTGTAAATTAAATTATTTTCTTGCTTGGGTAGTGATATAATTTTGCTATATTTTGCATGGTATTGTAATATGTGAAAATGAATGGTTTATTGTAAAATAAATACTTAAACTTTGAAAGCTAATTAACGATATTGTTGTTTCTACAATACTTGATCACTTGGAAGTAATTAAGGTTTGGTAGCAGTTAAAATAAAAGTACAATACAATACAATGCAATGCAATACAATACAGAATACTCCTTGATAAGTATCATTCACACGTTCATAAAAATCCCCACTAACAACCAATTTGATCCGTAATTGGTTTTCATGCAACATTGACCTAGAACTTGACCTTCACCTTGCATGTCATCAATTTGTAAAGATCTTAAATGAGAGGACTACATATTATGCAAATATGAGCTGTTCTTTTATGCATGTAAATAGTTGCTTTCTGAACTATATTTCTATTTTAAACTTATATAAAGTTACAATGTTACATACAAGTAATTGTAATACCAACTATATCGTAAAGTATGGTTTTTGTATAATATATGTACCTAAGTGCTATCACTAACTTATTCTGACTTAACTATAGAAACTCGAGTTATCTGTCTTAACGATCTGACCTAGTAAGATCTGCTTGGACCTCTTGATTAATCCTATACTTCAATTCAGACACCGGGTTGATAAACTTAATCCTGCCACTCACAATAGGCCTAACTATACTCTGTTACTTTAAATGGGGGTGAACCACGCTCTATAGGTACACTAACCCAACCTCACTACGTTCTATAATCTAAACTCAGTTTTTCAACACCTGTGCTGTAGAATCACTACCCTGAACATACAACTTCCAATAATATGGTATATAAGGCACATTTAAGTTGATACACCAGATTCAGATCAAGCTATTGTCATTTTCTGTGCAAAGGGTAACCTCACTGTAATAACATAATGTCCCCTTTATATTAAAGTGTCTTTGTAACCAATTATATAACGGTGTTTAATCAAACAATTGTCTCTGCCTGTTTCTCCATCAAGTATGAGTCTCTAGTAATTACACCAACATAATAAACACAATGTCACCTTTCATAAGAGTGTCTCTGAAACCAACTGATGTAATACTGTGCAATCTAACGATTCTCTCCGTTTCTCTATCAATTATGCGTTCCTAGTAATTATACCAATATAATAAACACAGTGTCAATTGCCATATGAATATCTCTGTAACGCTGTCGGACTTTGCTTTGAGTGTCTCTGTTACATTATTACAAGAGTCTCTGAGAACGAAACCAATGCTCTAATAAACATAATGTTACTTTCAACAAATAGTGTCTTTGTCACTAAATCAATACCATCGCCATACTATCATGTGTCGCTTTAAGTGTCTCTGTCATAGATATGTATATCACTTTATTGAAATATACTGTTGTGCTCCACCTTGAGTGTCTCTGTGGCTTTGTTAATCTATGTCAATTTATCATATGCTCTATACTGTTGCACATATTATCATATGCCACTTAATTGTCTCTGTTGCAGATTTATATATATCACTTTATCATATGATCTATACTATTGCCCATATTATCATATGTCACTTAAGTGTCTTTGTTACAGATTTATATATCACTTTATCATATGATCTATACTGAAGCACTTCGCCCTGAGTGTCTCTGTAGCATATTTATTTATGTCAGTTTATTATACCAAGTACCTCTAGCTGGATCTAAGAAGGTCACTATACAATAATCACTAAAGGTATAAGACTACCACCACAGGGAGATTATCACTACAGGAATAAGGCATGCAGAAGGTGAAGGATGCATTTAAGAGATAGCGTGTTAACATTCAGTCTAGTGTTTATTAGGGTGCAATAAGCTAGAAGGCTATGACAACAGCTGGGTAGGTAGAGTTCACATGCACACTAGTATAAGGCCACCAGGATCACCTGGAAGCATAGAAAAGAGGTATATTACACTCCTCCCTTCCTTGCCTTACACACAGCCCTCTATTTTTTAGTACAACTACGTCTGCTACCTAATGGTAAAATGTTATCATTGCTTACATCACAATGATATCTTGAAAAATCGTCTGTGTAACCACTCTTGCCATATGGCAGTTCATTTTCCTCGACAAAGAAATTATTGTCCTCATGTACTGAGCTTTCAGAATCAGCATCGGAAGCATGATTTTCCTCTATCTGCTCTTCAGAGGAGTCAGATGGTGATTCTGTCAAATCTTGAACTTCGTTCATCTGATTTGGTAGGGTCACTTCTATTTCATCTTCATCTGAGCTTGAACTCGTATACTGTTGGTCATCCTCATCTGAGCTTGAACTATTATCTTTTGGTTTTGGTACCCTGTCAGTTTGGCTGTTTCGTTGTTTCACTCTGGTTGGATTAACTGTCTGTTTGACTTCATCCGCTTTTCTATTATATTGTTTTCTACTGACAAATCTCTTCAATCTGTCATAGTTTACATGTATTTCCCTGTGCCCCATGTCTACCTTGTATGTTACATTACTAGTCCTTTGTAGTATTTTGAATGGGCCTTTCCAGGGATTGTTCAATTTACCATCTTTTCCTCGGGCCGTATAATCATAGAGCATTACCTTGTCTCCAGGTTCATAGGTTTGGAAGGTTCCTTTGAGGTCTTTGTCATGTTGTGCTTTTTGTCTCCTTTGAGCTTTACTTATGTTCTCTTGTGCTTGGTGAAATACCACCCTCATGTCCTTTTGAAGTTGAGCTACCCAGGCTTGTGTGGACAATTTCTCACTGGGATACTCTTCCCCAATCATCCAATCAATGGGAAGGTGTGCCTCTCTACCATATGTGAGCATAAAAGGTGAAAACCCAGTTGAACTATGCACACTGGTACGATATGCAAACAAAATTAAGGGAAGTTTAAGATCCCAGTCCCTATCATTTTCTGCATACATTGAGAGTGCATTTATCAACATCTTGTTGCTCCTCTCCACCATCCCATCTGTCTTAGGGTGATATGATGTTGTTCGTCTCTTCTTTGTCTCCAGAATTCTACACAATTCAGTAAACAGTTTACCCTCAAACTGTGAACCTTGGTCTGAATTGATGGACACTGGACAACCAAATCGACTTATCCACTCACGGACCAGTAAGGATGCTGCCTTTTCAGACTTTATATCTCTCATTGGATACGCTTCGACCCACTTTGTCAAATAATCTCCTACCACTAATGCATACCTATTGCCTCTAGATGTGGGTGGGAGCTCAACAAAGTCCATAGCTATCTCTTCAAAGGGCCTTCCTTTGATAGGGATATTAGTCAGTGGGGCCTTAGGTTTACTTCTTGGTGATTTCCTGTGTTGACACTCCAAACAACTAGAACACCAGTCTTCGACATCTTGTTGAAAGCCAGGCCAATAATATCTTAACCTGATCCTTGCTGATGTGCGTTCTGGTCCAAAATGGCCGGCCATAATATTGTCGTGAAGCTCCTCTAAGGCAAATTCACGCCATGTTTGAGGTAGAACAATTTGCCTAATTGGGGACAGATTATTCTCTCGTTCAACTATTCTGTACAAAATTCCCTTTCTGATCTGTAGCTGTCCCCTCTGTCTAAATATCCACCTCGCTGTTCTTGAAGCTCCTTTCAGTACTGCCTCGGTAGGTTCGCCTCCACTAATCCACTTCATAACTATACCTATATCTGGATCTTCTAATTGGTCCCTCTTTAGTGTATTCATATTGAGTGTCTGGATTTCATCTTCGATATCTGTATTCTCAAGCTCCAATAATTTGTCCTCAGTGACTGTATCCTTGATTTCCTCCACCCCGTCAGCCTTAACGATCTCATCTGTAGCATTGGGCTTTTCTTTGATATCTGAGATATGCTGTTCTTCATCTTGATTCACTGGATCCAGGAATGGGGAGGTAAGCTGGATGAGAGTGTGTGGTGTTGGGTCACTGCCTGTAACCCTCTTAGAAGGAATTGGGTTCTGTAACCCAATATCAACTCCACCTTTTTTCACCACATCACACTTGTTAACTTCCAAGGTGTCACTCACTTGTGTGCCTACAGATTTATACACAGGGCTTTGTACTGAGCCCTCATCTCCCAAACGTGAGAGAAAATCTGCATTGGCATGTTCGCTTCCTTTCCTGTAAATGATCTTATAGGGAAATTCTTCTAGAAGCATCAGCCATCTTGCCCAACGTCCCTTTGGCTCCTTAGTCTTCCTGAGCCATACCAATGGATTATGGTCTGTCCTTAAGATAAATTCCTTCCCATATAGAAACTGCCTGAACTGATTCACTGCATATACAATGGCCAGGCATTCCCTTTCCGTGGTGGAGTAGTTTCTTTGCTCCTTGCTCAAGGTAGTACTTGCAAAGGCAACTGGTCGTTCATGACCAGCGTCATCTTTCTGAGAAAGACATGCACCCACTGCATTTGCCGATGCATCAGTATCAACCAAAAAATCTCTGTCAAATTGGGGATAAGCCATAACTTCATATGAGGCTAGTTTCTTCTTGAGTATTTCTACTGTCTGCAACTGATCATTGTTTAGGGTTAACATCTTGGTCCTTTTAATGCGACTCTCTTTGATGCTGTCATATAATGGTTTTGCTGTCTCAGCCATCCCCTGGATAAATCTACGGTAGTAATTGAGCTTGCCCAAAAACCTTAACATCTGTTCCACTGTCTCTGGGGTCTTCATCTCGATGATGATTCTAACTGCATCAGGATTAGGTCTCACTCCCTGAGCATCCACAACATATCCCAAGTATTTCACCTCTGTCTGGGCAAAATGACACTTCATTGGCTGAAGTTTGAGACCATGTTGAATCAGTCGCTTGAAAACTCGCTGCAAGGACTGGATGTGTGCTTCAAACGTCGAGGAATAAACGATGACATCGTCGAGATACACCAGGACCTCCTGGTAATTAAGACCTTGCATTATCAAAGTCATCAGTCTTTGAAAAGTGTGTGGTGCTCCCTTCAATCCAAATGGCATCCTTGAGAATTCCCAGTGGCCTTTTCTAGTTGAGAATGCCGTCAACGGTTTACTGTCATCATCTAGCTCCACCTGGTGGTACCCGCTAGTAGCATCGAGCGTTGAAAATATGGTAGCTGAAGCCAAATGATCAATAGCATCATCAATCCTGATTATCGGAAAGTGTTGATCAACAGTGGCATCGTTGAGGAATCTGCTATCGTGACAGAATCTCCACTTCCCACCATTTTTCGGTACCAACAATACTGGAGAGGAGTGAGGAGACATTGATGGTTGAATCACGCCTGACGCAAGCATGCGGTCAACTTCATTATCAATGATTTCTAGCTCCTTTGGACTATGTCTGTATTGTCGGCGGTGTATGACTTTATTCTCTTTGAGCTCAATGTGATGTTGTAACAGTGATGTCTTGCCAAGGTCATTACCATCTTCTGAAAACGCCGCTCTAGATGCATTTAGGAGATCCAAGATTTTCCTTGATTTATCATCACTAAGATGTTGTACTTCATTCGTCCACACCTTACTTGCTTGTGAAAACCATGTGTCCTCCTCTCCACCTGTTTTGTGGTTGACTTGTGTGTTAAATTCATTAATTTGTACATCATTTTCCTTATTTCCAAAAGGATCAGCTACTGTTGCAAAATTTCCGACCACTGTTGAATCAAACGTACCCATGTTAGTACCCTTGTAGAGGCGTCGTGGTATATCATCAGGGTTGAGTACGCGCACCTGAACTGACTTTGTTAAAACATCTGCCCTGCATATACCATTGGCTGCGATGACATTCTTCCTGGACAGGAGTCTATCATCTGGAGTAAAGAGCCCTGCTTGAGAGTTAAGACGTTGTGGCAGAGAGACCTTAACCCAGGACTCACTTTGACCTGGTAACACAACATCTTTTGCAAGTGTGATTTTACAAATTGTGTTAGATTCTGATGAGACATGGCATAACTTAAGGATCTCATTGTCTAACCTGATCACACCATCCTTTTTAGATACTGCCCAACTATCAAACTGGTCCAAAACATCACGTCCCAACAATGCTGTGCGTGTCGATCCTTTTATAACTGTTGCGAGAAGGTCCAACTTTTTAGCACCTATAGCTAAAGTCAATTGGACTTGTCCAACTACTGCAATACCACTTCCATCCGCAGAGACACATTCAAAGTCATCTGGACGGGCCTGAAGTGGTACCTCATGTAGGTACTGGTTATAAGTATGGACATCCAAGACTGATATCTTGGCACCTGTATCAACAAGCCAATGCATTGGCTGTTCTGTGGTCATACCATTCCCTGCAACTGCAACTGTAACCATTAATGCTGATGGGCCTTTAATTTCTGCCACTTGACTACTGTTATCTTGCGACACGCTCCCTGATACTCGCTGGCTTCCTGTAGATGTGTCCTGATTCCTCCTAGTATTTGGTGACGGACAGTCTTTCGCCATGTGACCTATGCCCTGACAATTATAACACCTGATCCCTGAAGAACCCCCTTGTTTTGCATAACAGTTCCGGGCAATATGGCCTGCCTTCCCACAGTGGAAACACGATACCGTACTGGATGGCTTGGCTTCTGTTTTTGTTGCACGTAAACTCATGGAAGACACAAGTAACTTCTTTAATTCCTGGACTTCCTCCCTAAGCTGTACAACAGCATCTGGAACCACAGGTCCTACTGCACCTATAAGAACCTCTTTGGCTCCCTCTGCATTCTGTTTGGTAGCTTCCCAGACTCTAGTAGCTAGTGCCAGTAAGTCATCTTTATTTAAGAGATGGACATCATGCTGCTTGGCCATGTCCTCCAGGAGTTTTGATGGAAGCGACTGTATGAATTGTGTCTTAACCATCATTAGTCGAGCATCTAAGGAAACTTCACTCACTGGATAAACCAATTTCGATTGCTCTACTAACTTGGTATAAAATGCCTTGGGAGTGTCATCACCCAACTTCATCCTAGTATAGATTTCCATAGCCACTTTGCGCGTTGGGCGTACTTCCTTGGCAATTCCTGCAGTCAGAGCTTCAAACTCTATATCCTCATCTTCCGACAACAGACGTTCATATTCCTCTAGTGCTTTGCCATCCAGAGTTGTACTAAGCATAACAACCTTTGTCTGTTGGCTCCAATTATTGGCCCCCGCCACTCTGTTGAAATGCTTCATCCAACTGTCCCATGTTGTATTTTTAGCATCATAACTTCGTGGAGTCACAGCCTTCCTGTACTCTTTCACATGCTGAACTGGTGCAACAGGAACCGGGGCCGGCTGGTCCTCATGTACCGCTGCTGCTTCGTTGCCTCCTATGTCGTTCACATCTTGAGGCACTGGGTCCGCCATGATGACTGCCACCAATGTAAATAGTTGCTTTCTGAACTATATTTCTATTTTAAACTTATATAAAGTTACAATGTTACATACAAGTAATTGTAATACCAACTATATCGTAAAGTATGGTTTTTGTATAATATATGTACCTAAGTGCTATCACTAACTTATTCTGACTTAACTATAGAAACTCGAGTTATCTGTCTTAACGATCTGACCTAGTAAGATCTGCTTGGACCTCTTGATTAATCCTATACTTCAATTCAGACACCGGGTTGATAAACTTAATCCTGCCACTCACAATAGGCCTAACTATACTCTGTTACTTTAAATGGGGGTGAACCACGCTCTATAGGTACACTAACCCAACCTCACTACGTTCTATAATCTAAACTCAGTTTTTCAACACCTGTGCTGTAGAATCACTACCCTGAACATACAACTTCCAATAATATGGTATATAAGGCACATTTAAGTTGATACACCAGATTCAGATCAAGCTATTGTCATTTTCTGTGCAAAGGGTAACCTCACTGTAATAACATAATGTCCCCTTTATATTAAAGTGTCTTTGTAACCAATTATATAACGGTGTTTAATCAAACAATTGTCTCTGCCTGTTTCTCCATCAAGTATGAGTCTCTAGTAATTACACCAACATAATAAACACAATGTCACCTTTCATAAGAGTGTCTCTGAAACCAACTGATGTAATACTGTGCAATCTAACGATTCTCTCCGTTTCTCTATCAATTATGCGTTCCTAGTAATTATACCAATATAATAAACACAGTGTCAATTGCCATATGAATATCTCTGTAACGCTGTCGGACTTTGCTTTGAGTGTCTCTGTTACATTATTACAAGAGTCTCTGAGAACGAAACCAATGCTCTAATAAACATAATGTTACTTTCAACAAATAGTGTCTTTGTCACTAAATCAATACCATCGCCATACTATCATGTGTCGCTTTAAGTGTCTCTGTCATAGATATGTATATCACTTTATTGAAATATACTGTTGTGCTCCACCTTGAGTGTCTCTGTGGCTTTGTTAATCTATGTCAATTTATCATATGCTCTATACTGTTGCACATATTATCATATGCCACTTAATTGTCTCTGTTGCAGATTTATATATATCACTTTATCATATGATCTATACTATTGCCCATATTATCATATGTCACTTAAGTGTCTTTGTTACAGATTTATATATCACTTTATCATATGATCTATACTGAAGCACTTCGCCCTGAGTGTCTCTGTAGCATATTTATTTATGTCAGTTTATTATACCAAGTACCTCTAGCTGGATCTAAGAAGGTCACTATACAATAATCACTAAAGGTATAAGACTACCACCACAGGGAGATTATCACTACAGGAATAAGGCATGCAGAAGGTGAAGGATGCATTTAAGAGATAGCGTGTTAACATTCAGTCTAGTGTTTATTAGGGTGCAATAAGCTAGAAGGCTATGACAACAGCTGGGTAGGTAGAGTTCACATGCACACTAGTATAAGGCCACCAGGATCACCTGGAAGCATAGAAAAGAGGTATATTACATGCATATACATGTCTGACCTTCAAATATGACCTTCTCAAAGCTGAAAGGAATTATATTATATTAAATTGACAAAAACACCAAATTACAACTTCTGGTGTTGGCTATTTGAGTTACTTCTGGTTTAGCCTAGTTTTTACAAAATTTGAAAAGGATAAGGGTGATAATCAGAACATGCCACTTTTAATTTGGCTCAGGAGAATTGCTTGAATAATAGATTACAAGATATAGCAGTTGACTTGAAGGAATGGGTGCATTTTGTGAAGTTGTGGTGTTAGAGTAGATCTAATGTCCAAGCCAAATTAGATAGCCGCCAATATTGCAAAATCACCAAATTATGCAGCGCCAAATTAATTAAACAGTAATATTATAATCTATATCACACTTGCAATTTCCAAGAAGAATTCTTCATCTTAGGTCTATCTCAGTTATAATATGAACTTAAAAATTAGTTTTTAAAAACAAGTTTGTGTTCTTTCTAAAGATGTCAGGACCATATTTACTTTTTGTCAGAGAATGCTGCCATCTTTTACTATTATTCACTGCGCATGCGCAATAGTTGGCGGTAAATTCTAAAATGGCGGATACAGAAAAACTTTTAGATGCCCTTTCTCGACTTCGATTCCATGCGATAGATAGTGGTATGTAGTCATATCTAATTTTATATAGAAAATATAATATCAACTCGCGAAATATTCAGTTTCATTGCTGCACCTTCGCATAGTTAATGAAATTGAGCGAGTATAAAAAAATTTATTTCAAAAATATCAAAACAATATTTTTTGACAACCTCAGCACAGAGAACTTTTTACATATGATTTGTATCGTAAAAATGTAAAAAAGCTCTCTGTGAACCTCAGGCTCAAGCTCAACCATTAGCTGCCTAGTAAAGGGCTAGGCATATATTAAGTTTAAGGACAGGGTGCATGTTGGGAAATTTTATTAGCCCTAGGCCTAGTGCAACGTTTGGCCTAATATCTTCTTCGCCATACCTATAATAATATGCACTTGTCGACGAATACCACCAATCAGACTTGCAAATATACTTCTACAGTGGGGATCATAAAGAATTGCAAAAGCTATGAAAATTACATGCTGTCGCACATGTAATAAATTCTTACCTCAGTGTATTCAGTGCTCTATTTTCTCCGTCTGAGTAAGTCCAAATATAGTGGAATTTGTGTCCCTTATGACAAATAAGAACTTCAAAGGTTGAAGTGGATATTCACATGTTATGCCGACTCTTCAAATGTTGAGGTGATTTTGTCGCCCGATTGCGCCGGAACGGAGGATTGGCTCCCAGAATGCAACATGACACGTGCCAGCTTTCAAAATGCTGTTCCGCCATTTCGAAACCTGTTATGAGTAAATACGGTAACTGATGTTGCATTCTGGGAGTCAACCGTCCTTGGATAACAAACATGGCGATTCATGAAAACATTCATTCCATTTGGTAGGGATTTATCCATTATTTGCAGGTATGAAGCTTTGGATTCATTTATTGTGCTACTTTAGTGAACGGGAATTATTTTTCTACCGCTTGGGAGAGTTTGAGACACGAAACTTGGAAATTAGCTCATTGTGACAACTTGTGAATGTTGAGTTTTATTTTTGTCCCCCACTGTAAATAAGCAATTGAAAGGATAGACGTCCCCCTTTTTAGTTTTTGAATTACAGTATAACCTTGTCAATGCTTCGCTGACCCGCGGTTGTCTGATATAACCGTACATGGTACACAATATGACCACCGCTGACGGCCAATAACTGGCGATCCTTGCAGTTAGCCTTGAACTTGAAGACTAAAGCCCTTCAAATCTACCTTATTCAAGGTCTTCTTGACACTTGCATGGTCTATAGCAAACAGAATGTTGGATAGAACGTTAGGTGCAAATGGGGCTGGAACCCAATGTCAATATCACTAGGAAATCATAAAAGGTTTCTGTCGATGTTTTATGGTTTCGGGAGAAGATTCCTGGGGATTAAGGTTGATTTGATATTGTGAATATCGGCAGAAATAAGGTATGTTCGGGGGTTTTCTTTGTAGCTAATGAAAATAGTTGTTAGCCTTGATGAAAGTATCCAAACTTCGATATATTTTAACACTAGGTCCATGATCGTTGGATACGTCTCTGCACTATTTATTCAACCTTTGATGGGCCTCAGAAGAGGGGCCTCAGTATCAGAATGGATCTCTAGATCTCTTGAAAATAAAAGCCCGTGATCTGAACAATATGTGTATCTCCCATGCAAAATAAAAACAAGATACACAGGTCACAATCTACTGAACATAGCTGGCTTTCATACCTGGCTCAAAAGCCAACTGAGGAACCGTATCATGGGTGGCTGAAATTCCCTGCAAACAAATTATTCATAGTTGATGAATATCATGTACAGAAAAGTCTCTTCGAAAAAAAGTTGAATGACATTCTACATTTCCTGATCCCAATCTCTAAGACCAATACTTGCAAATCAAATTCTGAAGTAACAAAATGGCAGCTCACGCTTTGATTTCGAAATTTGTAATCACGACATGACTCCATATATGGCAAGTAAATAGGCCATTAAGAGCTGAATGTATTCTCTTCATCACAATGGAACTACTTTGTATAGATCTACCCTAAAATAACTTCAACCCATCCTGTATTATGGAGTAAGAAAGTGAGATGGTGTCATTCATTCAAACAAAGCTGTTCTTAATTCAAATGATTAAAAACTAATCATTTTTAACTCTCTGATTTAGCATTGAGTGTGAGGACTGAGGTACATGCAGCCATATGTGTTACATGTATATTGTATAAACATGAGCTCCTTGATGTTGCACTTGTATACATTTTGTATATTATTATATTAGACTGGGTGAAGGAGACGTGGCAGCAAGACTACACCAGCCTAGACCCACTTCCTATTGAAACGGAGGAAGATTTACAGGAGAATGGATACCATATAGAGACCCTCTGTGCCACAGTGACATTACTCAAGCCCTGGCTGCAGGACAAAGAGGGTTCAAGACAAGGTTAGCATGTAGTATATGTACTAGCTTTAATGATCGATTGATTGGAAAGAAATAATGTACAACTCAATGTAAATAACATAATATCCATACATATTTCCTAAGTATTAGCTGAATGTCTGAAGAAACATTAATTTAAAAACAACACTGCTAGTGTGAATGAGTACTGCTGTAATGATACATGTATTGATATAACTTGTGAACCAATGAGAGACTTCTGTACTTGATATTTCCATACTTTATAGGATTCTGGACTGTTCTTGTTGAAAATGAGCTACATCACAAAAATCTCGTTGCCCTACTGTTCTACCTTATGGAGGTTGGCAGCAAGGTAGGTGTCCCAAAATAACAGATTTACTTGTGAATTTTATGTACCCATCAGAAAACAAAGCTGTAGTTTATATTGAATATTTATTTTTTTCCCAGTTTATCACGCACAATAGTTCACTGTAGGTTTTATCCAAAAATTTAAAAAAAATTATGTGTCTCAACATATTAATATTACACATTAGAGTTATATTTAAAATGTTTCAGCGTGTGTCAAGCGTTATTCAAAAAGAGGCTGGGATTGTTGCGTCTGAATTATATCTGTCACTTGTGACTGTACCTGGTAGTGGGGCATTCAAGATATTCCACCCCTTGCTGTACCAGAAGGCCCTGGATTACTTCAAATCTTTGAACTCTCTCAGTAAGTTCAATTAACAATGTACTTTGGTTAAAAATCCTAATAGATGTATATACAGGGTGTCCAATAAATAAGGTGAAAGATATTTTAACTTTCTTAATGTTGCACCAATCTTGATGAAATTTTCAGAGTTTGTAGCCCAAACCTTTTTACCTGTATTCTGTGAATTTGAAGCGTCTGCTATTTGATTGGCCAGAGTTGCGGTTGCTATAGCAACCGAAACAACAAAAAGGCGGGGCAAGTTTGTTTCGTCACAACTTTCCAAAACATATTTATTCTTTCTGATAGCTTTATTCATACTCCCAGGTCTATTACTACCACAAATTCAATATAAAAACAGTCCTAAAGTCCCACTATTATGAAAATAAGCTATTCAACATAATGTCCATCTCTAGCTATACACTTCTTATGCCTACACTCTCTAAACACACTTTCAAACCCATTCTTGCGATATTCCTATTCTTAAGATATGTGATCTGAGTTCATCAGTGCTTCCAAATTTATTTCCTCTCAAGTCACGCTTGAGTTCTGCATATAAGTAAAACTCATTGGGTGCAAGTTCTGGGGAATATGGAGGGTGTGCAAGTAGGGGAAGCCCCAGTGCCCTAATAGTTTCTCTAGTGAGCATAGCTGTGTGTGAACCCAGATCACATGTCTTAGCAAGGAAATAGGCAGGAAGTGGGCAAAAATTGGTTTGAAAGTGTGTTTAGAGAGTGGGTGATTAGGCATAAGAGTGTATAGCCTGAGTGTATAACTAGAGATGGATATTATGTTGAATAGCTTATTTTCATAACAATGGGACTTTAGGACTGTTTTTATATTGTATTTGTGGTAGTAATAGACCTGGGAGTACGAATAAAGCTATCAGAAAGAATAAATATGTTTTGGTAAGTTGTGACGTAAACAAACTTGCCCCGCCTTTTTGTTGTATCGGTTGCTATAGCAACCACAACTCTGGCCAATCAAATAGAAGACGCTTTAAATTCACAGAATAAAGGTAAAAAGGTTTGGACTACAAACTCTGAAAATTTCATCAAGATTGGTGCAATATTAAGAAAGCTACAATATCTTTCACCTTATTTATTGGACACCCTGTATATGCACAATTATTTAGACATACCAAAGCACAATTTTGTTTTTAAAAACAATTTTGGTCATATTCATGTTGCTCTGTAAAGATTTTGAACCAAATATATACATGTACCAGTGATCTCCCCAGGATTTTTTCTCAAGTGGGTGCAAAATTCTCATTTTCCAAATTCATACCAAAATTGGTCAAAATATGCCCACTTTTCATGATTTTTCTCATTTTCAAATGGGTGCAAATGGATTTTCAGGTGGGTGCAAGACTATTTTCAAAATCGCAGGTGGGTGCTGCGCCCACTTGCTTTAATGCTGGGGAGATCACTGTGTACTGAAATCATCAGCTGTTCATAGATGTTGTTAAATTCACTAAAAATACACTAGTTCAGTTTAACAGATTAAGTATTGTTATTAGGCTGACCAATCCAAAAATAAAGCTGATTTTTAAATAACTTTGAAGGTACATCCAAAAGGAAGCATGCATCATCCCCCATTCGAAGTAGCCAAACTGGCCGCAGTTCACAAACTGCACGTAGTCAAGGAGGAAGGAGAGGGAAGTCACGACGCAAATCTCAAGATAAGGAGCCAATCAGGGATGCCGAGGAAAGTGAAGACAGTGATGATGAAGATGAAATGACTCCACAAGAATGCTCTAGACTTTCCAGTAGACTAATGTCTCTATTAAAGGTAAGTGATTTTCCACATATGGGTATTTGGCAGATGACAAATTTTGACATCCAGTAACTTGAAATTTTAGATATATGCAAGATATGCAAGAGTAGATTTGTGCCGAGATCTGCATATGGTTTTGGCATGCTGGGTAATTTACAAATGGTGGTTTTGGAGTTAGGTAAACAACAAATGGCAGATGGTGACAATTTGCATGTTAATGCCTAATCTCATTTTTGTGTCTTGTTTTCACACAATATGCAAAAATAAAAAATGGATACCTGTGGCAGGAAGATGACAGTGTCATCTTCATGTCAATTATCTAGTAATGTATTATTGTATTATACATATTTGCAATGAGTTACAAAGTTTCGATCTTTCTCATTAACATATTCCATAAATCTTTACTATCAAGTTGCTTCATAGGCATCCACCTACCCAGAACCAAGAACCAAGTACTTTTCTTATGGGCCAGCTTATTTTTAAAAGTCAGCATCCCAGTTGTCCACTTCTTGATCAACATAAAGTGCACATTATAACAAAACTCTACTTTAGGGCCTAGGTGAAAAAATGTATACATGAAACACCTAAGTGCATTTTCTTTCCTAGAATATGAGGTTACTCGAACGACAGATGTTCATTCATTTCAAACAGCTGTCCCATTGACCAATCAGCTCTCATAACACATCTCATTTACAATCAGTAATCCAACAGTTTTTAGTCTTAGAACTGGTAGAATTTTGTTTGATAGAAGACTTGCTTTGTAAACGTTAATAGTAAAGATTAATGTAAAATTTATATTGTACTTGATGAGAATTGAGATGTTTTTGTTAGCATACAGATTGTGATTTAACCTCACCCACAGCCACAGACTGCTCATTGCATGTTATATGTCACCACAGAAGTGACATATTGTCATAGTCTTTAACTTTTTTTGAATGGTGTTCAGTGTTTTCGGTCGGCAGTCGGCGTTTGTAACAAATGGCAGGTGATGACATTTTGCATGTTTATTCTTTATCACCCATGTTATTTTAGGGCTATCAACACCCTATAGACATTGGTCAGGCCCATTGTTTAATTAACAGCATAAAATATGGTTTCAAAAGTCTCAAAGTTTCCCTAATAGTTTGAACACAATTACTTCATTGTTGGTCAGTAGTTTGTTTATTGAAGCTCACTATTCTAAACAATAAACTATAGTATTATATCACTGTCATCTTCCTTACTCTCTGATTGGTCCATGTCCTACACGTGACTAAAAAAATAACAAGCGATATTCAAAAATATGGTTACACCCCTATCACACCAAACTAGTTCTTACCCGTTCTTGCCAGTCCTATGAAATCACCATAAAACGGGCTCAATCTGGCTGTGGTCGGGAAATATGTCTAAAATAATTAGCTACTTTGTTCATAAACAGTCTTCAATACGTCCATCTCATTCGCAGTTCATTCAGGTCGCACCACGTCGGTGTGCAACGTTGTATAACACGTCCCTTAGTCAAGAAGGTCATCATGACCTGATTACAGAACGGTCGCCATCTAATTTTGAATCGTAAATCACATTTCCCGTCCGGGAAAGTTCATGAAGTTCGTAAACAGACTGTAGAACGTTGTAGCTACGTTCATTCCATTCACACACAGTTTAAAAGCAGTTTTGAAGAACGTAGTCGCAACTTCCTTGGTGTGATAGCTATATTTTTGCTAACTTGTTGATAAATACGTTCTTAATCAGTTTTAACCCGTTTGCAATTAGTTCTACCTCGTTCTCAATACGTCCTCAGACAGTTCAACTCGTTGTAAAAACGTCCCTAGTAGGATTGAAGTATGACGGTTCCATTCGTAGTACGTCCAGCTCGTCGTTAGTAGGTTGTCACTCGTTCTAATTGTAGAAATTGACGACCAAGAGAACATTTTGGGCATGTTCTAAGTTCTAGAGGACCTACCCGTTCGAGTACTTTCAATGAAGTTTGTAAATAGACCCCAGACGGTTCTAAGTATGTCCAGTCTGTTCGTACACAGTGGAAGCCTGTTTTCGAGAACGTAGTGAGAACTAGTTTTGTGTGATAGTAGGGTTATAACAATAAACTATGATATTTACACCGTAAAACATAGTAATTGTATGATGTTACATAATATTAAAAATTGCATTTATTATAATATTACAATGTTTCAAAAAATATAGTTTCACTAATCAATTGTAAGGCTATTATAATCCCATTGAACAAAGTTTGTTGAACAAAGTTCGAAGGGATATAGAGAATGCCTACGTCCGTCCGGGCCATAACTTAAATACTGTTGGCCTGATTTTGTTCATATTTTGTACACCTATACCATATGGGGGTAGAAGTTCTGTTCGAAATGGCCACTCCTTTAAAAATGTTGGCAATTTTAGTGCAGATTTTACAGTAATTTAGGTACATTATATAAAACTGTAAAAGCAAAATGTAAATGTAAAATTTATATTTGACATTTATAAAGTTAGAATTTAGAAATGTAGATATTTAAGAAGCGGCAGCCATTTTGAAAAAAACGTTAAAAAACGTGTGTTATTTTATGTTTTTGACAGTTAAGTTGGATGTCTTGTCTGGACGTCTGGTTCTGTCTTAACTTAGAGGTCAACTCTGTTTTTGATTTCCATACACTTGCCTCTGTATTGGTCAGCGTTAGTTGTATCACCAAGAGCTTCATACACTTCAACAATTTTCTCCAATGTTTGCACAACAAAGGGGTGTGGTTTATTATCATAGATAATTTTCATCATTGCCAGTCGTTCATGGTAATAGTTGAGAGCCTTGGTGTGTTCTCCTAAGCTCTTGTGAACGTTTCCGATATTATATAATGTACGTGCTATATAAGGGTGAGGCTTGTGACCATAGACTTGTCTCTTCATAGCAAGGCTATCATTAAAGAATTCCAGAGCTTTTGTGGTGTCGCCTAATCTCTCATACACCTCACCAATGTTATTCAATGAGCCAGCGATACGATTGTGAGGAACATCACAAAAGATCTGCTTAGTCATTGCAAGACTTTGGTTATGGTATGCCATGGATGTAGAGTAATCCTCAAGTACATAGTACATGTCACCTATATTGTTGAGAGAAGCAGCAATGTCAGGATGAGGAACACAGCCATAAATCAATTGCCGCATTTCAAGACTTTTGGTAAAGTTTGGCAATGCATTCGTGGCATCTTCTTGCTCTGCATACACAGCTCCAGTAGCGTTTAGAGCATTTGCATAATCAAGGTCTGGTTTGTCACCAAACATCTCTCTGTATATACATAGACATTTGTTCTGATGTGACAGTGCATTGCTGTAGTCCCCTAGCCTCCAGTATACTTTCCCGATGAAGCTCAAAGTTCTTGTAACTTGCTTGTGATTAGACTCGCCATGTATATGTTTGTATATTTCGAGAGCTTCCTTGTGGTATGTGAGTGATTTTGTATATTCACCTTGTAGACAACATGCATTACCAGTGCTGTTGAGGGATTCAGCAACATGTGGATGTGGCTCTTCTTTATGAATCTGTTTCTCTAGATCCAGCGCCTTAATATGGTGTTCATAGGCATCTTGGTATTTACCATGGGTTGTATACAGAGATCCTATACTTGCTTGAATTGTAGCCAGTTCTTCATATTTGTCTACACCGAGACTTTGAAGTCTTCTTTCCTCTTTCTGAAATGCTAGCAGTGCATTTTCATAGAAATACATCTCTTTGTGTAACATTCCCTTGACCTTCTCACTAGTCTCTATATATCTCGGCATATGTGTCCAATGTGTCTTAGGGGTTTCAATGCTGAGTTTCAGAAATTCAGACCATGGCATGAATGTCAAGAAGAATCTGTAGATTGCATTAAAATCTCTTACCGAGAGTGACGTAGGTCCTGTACCTATACTCCCAGTACCTGGTATAAAGGAGATGATTTCTTTTTGTTGTTTGTACCTGTTGTAGACCAGATGACGTAGGTTAATACAGATGCAAACCATGACCTGTAAGTCTTTCTTAGCCCTCTCACTCAATATCTTTCTGTCATATAGCTCCTCCAGCACATCGAGAGGAGCCTGAGAGACACAGGTGTACTTCAGTTTCAGGGTGTTCACAGATATTGTTGCAAATCTGTATATATCCTTTTTCACATGAACTTGCTTGCCCAAAGTTTCAGGTGTGAGAGGATTTTGTAAATATTTGTTGAGGTCATCCTTCAAGGTTTCATCTGCCCGAAGGGCACCCACAGATAAACTTGAATCCTTTTCTGATGGTGAATTTAGGAACTTTTGTATGTTTGTGTTATACCTTTCTAGCAGGCCTTCATCTCCATATATAAGAGTGGTCGTCATAAGAACATCACTGAGATGGTAGCCTTCTTTGATACAAATGCTTTCTGTCTGGTATTCAGCCATCTCTTCAGGTGTCATGATCAACTCTCTTGCTGGTTTGAGCTTAGTTTTGTTACGTCCAATTGGAGTCTTACTTGCCCAGGGCATTGCACCATCAAAGCACATGCCCTGAGGTGTGGTTATGTCAAAGTATTTGTTGTCTGTCATATGTTCAGGTAACTCTGTGTTGAAATCATTTAAGACAGGGATACAAAGACTTGGTAGGATTGTTTCACCAAGGTTAAGCACCTTAAGATGGAGGTAATGGACCATGAGTCTAAATTTATGCTTCACCTTTTCAACTTCACCTGAGGTCATACCACTGGAGTCAAACAATATTGCAGATTCTAAATCTGAGTAAGCAGTGGCTTCCATTCTGGCTAAAGACCCAAGGCCTAACACACTGAATTTACAATCGGGTACCTCAAGAACTGAAATACAATCATCGATTAAAAGTCTATAAAACTTTTTCAGTCTATCTGAAAGTTCATTATAGAAAACTTTACTGTTCTTAATTGTGCTGTCCTCATCTTCAACAGACATTTCAGTGGTTATCGAATCAACTTTCATGTCATTCTTCACAATGTCATTGATCGTCTTTGATGAGAATTCTCTCAATGAATTCAGTTCTGTCTCATACAGTTCTTTGTGTTGTTTTGCTGTTTTGTAATTTTGGTGCGCTGCTATAGTCAGGAATGTTGCTTCGATATGTTGTAGTTGTTTCAGACAATCTGATTTCTTAGAGACTAACATAGAGCTGTCTATCTCAGTTGCACCTTCTGGAAGGTTCTTCAGTTTTTCAATACATCTTAATGCTGCATTATAGCAACCTGAAGCTCTTACAAAGTACCAACCCTCTGATATGGCGTCAGCGAGTTTCATATACTCACCTGAAATACACATATTTAACTAGTAAGTAGTTTTTTTTGTTGTTTTTTTTATTAAGAAAAATTTATTTCATTACAAGATATTACATTATGCATCCCTTCAATCGCCCAATGGCATTACAGAAGGGTACAGTAAGATCATACAAATACAATATGAATAAGGTCAAGGGGTTAATACTGGGGTTAGTAAGTAGTTGGCACCAAATTCAGGTCACTTGCCAATAGGTTCAGCCAGTTGAGTAACTACTGGATTGGTTACATCAACCACCCTTCAGTTTGCCTTGAGAGTTTGTCAGACATTGACCACTGGAAGTGAAAGCATGTATCAGACTAAGAAAATCTGAAGAGTGGTCAATTTAACCTACCTAGTACCGGTACCTACCTCATATATCATGGATGAACCATGTATATTTTAAAACAAATTTCCAATCCAAACACCTTTCAAGTTGGATCTATTTTTCCAATCTGCCATAAACTTTTATGTTAAAAAAAACTTGAAACTCTTTTTGGCGTTAAGATAGAACAAGTTTTACTTAGCATTTACGTTGGCAATTTTAGAGTAAGAAAGAAATAAGTCAAATGACTTTATGATTAAGTTTTTGATTGTGAGACTGACCTCCAAGCTGGCGCAACAAGTCAATCTGTGTTGTTAGCTCTGTACTGTTCATTGTGGTAGTGGCCCAGGGTTTCCTACACAGTTTCCTGCCTATCTCATACATTATCGAAGTCGTTTCTGCAAATGAGATTTGATCGTTATTAACCATAATCCCTTGAAATGCAGCCTTCTCATTATTCAAGAAAGATACATATTATCTGAATATTAAAATTACAGATACACTTTTAAAATTTTTAAAACCAATATTACCAGATGGTTGTGATGTATCATTTTGACAAGGCTGCGATGTGTCATTTTGACATGGTTGTGATGTATCGTTTTGACATGGCTGTGATGTGTCATTTTGACACAGCTGTGATGTATCATTTTGACATGGCTGTGATGCATCATATTGATAAATCTCTTTGTTGTATGAAGTGTCCTGAGTACTTCTAAGTCTTTTCAATTGTCTTGCTGGAGTTGTATTCCTTTCTTTACGCTTCTTACATCTCTCCATATACCTCAACTCTCTTGCAGATGCCATCTTATTCTTAGATTCACCTGATAATAAATATATATTACGTGAACATTGAATCCATGTTTTATTTAATTCTTTTAGATTTACTGAGTCAGAGTTAAACTATAACTCAAAAAGGAGTTGATATTCAATTATTCAAGTCAATCATACTAAATGGATATTTAGATGTTCCTAGGTCAAATCAATCAAATATTTTCACAGACACTACAATAAAGACAGGCCCATATCCAGGGGGAGCTGGAGGAGTGGCTAGGAATTCTTTCAAAATCATGCAGTTTTTTCAACATTCTGAGCACTTTTTTAGCCAAAACTGTCAAAAAGCATCCCCCTTGGCAAAAGCTCCAACTTTGTAAAAGCTGAAGCTGAAGAAAGATACTGCATGACTAGGGTGGCTCAAAATAATTTTTTTTTGGAAATGTTATGCTCCCTACATGAATCGAGTTGCATTTTGGGATAAATATCACTGTGATTTTTTTCAATTTTTTTAGTCAACTTTTAGGGGTCCCCCACGGCCTTTAAAGTTTGCCCATAGGCTTAACATTAGTGGGCGTCGCCCAAAAAACGTACTTTATAGAAGCTTTTTATATCCCCACCACATAGTGTGGGGCCATATTGTCGGCCTAGGCACGTCTGTCTGTTCGTATGCCCGTATGTCCGTCTGTCTGTCCGTACGTCCGGCAGTTTTCTCCAAAACCGCTACAGATATCACCTTCAAATTTTCAGGGATAACTTATGAGTGCATCTAGATGTGGATGAAAAAAATTTTACTCGATACCTACTTCCTGTCGGCCATTTTGAAGTCAAATGCTAAAATCCTTGTCTGCAAACTTTAAGAAAAATGGCTTCACAATTGCTTTTGAAACTTTAACATCTTGTTCAGCTCACTTCATTCTACATCTGATTAGGTTTTGGACCTGTTAGCTCAGTCATGTCAGCCATTGTGAATGTTTTAAGAAAAGTTAGCGCTCGATATTACTTTGTATCATATTGAATGGTGTTTTTCAGTTTTCATACTTTAACTATTTAGTAGCTTTATAAATAATTTCAGGTGTACTTTGTTGTAAACGCCTATGTTATTGTTAACAGTAGTTATATGTGATAATTTTGTAAAAAGAAATCAGCAAAAACTCATAATCACTTTTTTATTGTCGGCCATTTTGGATTTTTCCGTTCTAAAATCTTGTCTGTTAAGTCTTGTCTACGCGTTTTCAGGTGAACCGTTTGGTAGATCAATTTCAAATTTTCAGGGATGATTCTTAGTATGAAAATCTAGATCTGATTAGTTTTTGGGCATTCTGGGTAAATGTCAAGGCAGCCATTTTGGATTTTCCGTCCTAAAATCTTGTCTGTAAAGTCTTGTCTACGCATTTCCAGGTGAACTGTTTGGTAGATCAATTTCAAATTTACAGGGATGATTCTTAGTATAAAAATCTAGATCTGATTAGTTTTTTGGCATTCTGGATAAATGTCAAGGCAGCCATTTTGGGATTTTCTGTCTTGAAATCTTGCCTGTAAAGTCTTGTCTACGCGTTTTCAGGTGAACCATTTGGTAGATCAATTTCAAATTTTCAGGGATGATTCTTAGTATGAAAATCTAGATCTGATTAGTTTTTGGGCATTCTGGTTAAATGTCAAGGCAGCCATTTTGGATTTTCCGTCCTAAAATCTTGTTTGTAAAGTCTTGTTTACATGTTTTCTGGTTAACTGTGTAAGGGATCAATTTCAAAATTTCAGGGGTGGTTCTTAGTATGAAAATCTAGAACTGACTAATTTTTGGGCATTCAAATTTTAAGGTGGCCATTTTGGATATTCCGTCCTCAAATTGTGTCGGTAAAGACTTGTCTACTCATTTTTAGGATAACCATTTGACGGGAACACCCATAGGTGGGGACATTTTGTACACATTTGTGATTTATTTATATTGTTTGAAGAAAATCAACATTGTATATGATATTATAAGATGTTTAAATCATCATAATACTCTGTTTCATCATATGAACTTATATAAAAGGTTATACTTACAATATCCTATTAACAAAATATCAGGTACATTCGACCAGTATAATTATTTGAACAAGTACAGTTTTAGAGAATCATGTCTCATATATGATTTGGTATTGTCATTATAATGGTTTAAACTGTAAAAGGTATATTCATTCTTGACATTTAATGTTTTAAACATGATTCAGATCAGCTTTTCTTAGATGTGACACCCTTCATCTATGATCTGAGCGTACAACACATACATTGTCACGATGCACCACAGCATGGGTCATTTGAGAGCATTCCTGTACCAGCTTCACTGCTCGTTCAGCTGGATCATTAACAGAATGCAGGTCTATATTTAGATTTGAGATCTATATAAGTTCATATGATGAAACAGAGTAATATGATGATTTAAACATCTAATCATATCATATACAATGTTGTTTTTCTTCAGACAACATAAATAAATCACTGGAAAAAAAGCTTCTACAAAGTACGATTTTGGGGCGACGTCCACTAATGTAAAGCCTATGGGCAAACTTCAAAGGCTGTGGGGGACCCCTAAAAGTTGACTAAAAAATTTGAAAAAAATCACAAGTGATATTTACCCCAAAATGCAACTTGATTCACATAGGGAGCATAACATTTCCCAAAAAAAATTATCTTGAGCCACCCTATGCATGACTACCTTTGCCCATTTGTTAACATCATGAAACAGTAATACAATAAAAAAATATTAGCTCTCACTTGGCACAAATAGATTTATTTCACTAAAATAAGCAACCAATGAACCAAAATGTTACATTTTATGGAGAAAACATTTATATTTTAGGATCTTATTTTTGAATATTTAAATACCGGCAGTGGCCTTTCGTAAAAGTGACCTTTTACCCCATTTCCTTCTGACATACTTTATTTCACATAACATCATAATTAGTATATATACTGATAGATCCCTCACCTCATGTTTGCCATGTTGTAGTGATTTCTCTAAATTATTCTGGCTTTACATATATTTTTTTCAAATGTATTTTTGACGATTCAAGGTGAAGAAGTTTATTTCCAAAACTTTGATAAATAAGTCTTGTCAAATGTTTGTGTGAATTAAATTGAGTTTTATTTGTAATACCAGATATTTCTTCATAAGAATTTCAGTAATAGGGTATGTTGACTTTCTTCATCTTTCTTCAGCAAGCTTCGGACCTATCCTCATAATGGATTTTATTTCAGTGTATTGCAAACAAATGGCATGAGTAGTTTATAATGCACTGCCTCTCTATTTGCATATAAGTGTGTTGCTTTGTCACTGATGCACCATAGGAGTTCCATTGCAATAACATGAATAAATGTGTCTTTCAAAAGAATTATGTGAGTGTAGGTACATTTGGATGAGCTGTTTTTGTTGAAAACGTGTGACCATGTTATTTCCAACGCTGGGCTTATTGTTCTTTTTCGTGATACCTCCGGTGAAATATTATGCAACTGACTTGCGCCACAGGCAGTTAAAAATGCAGCCTATACATTCTGATACTCAGAGAATCACCATAATATTTCACCTGAAACATGCTTTGATATGAGGCATATTCTGTGATCTGACATCATCAGATGGGAACAGTTATAACTGTCAATAACTGTAATAGTTACCATGTAATGTCAATACACCAACTAGATGAAATTTGAGCTGGGATGAAAGATCTCAAAAATTCTCAATTTTGGGCTAAAAATAGGTAGTGGGATTAGAGTGGAATAATGCAAGCCTTTCTTTAACATTTAATTGTACAAACAATTTGTTTATGTGTGTACAGCACTGCTATATAATCAAGACTGCCTGGTTGAAAATTCACACATTGAATTGATACTTGATCTAAACTTTGCTTAAACTTATACATGTACTGTAGGTGTATTTATGTTGAGACTTTTTGTAATGTAAACATTTTCTATCTTTCCATTTCATTTGTATACCTTGAACAGAACCAGAGTAAGATATTATGCACATTATAGATTATACATTGGTTGATAAGACTTAGTCTTTACTGATAGAGACCCCTTACCTCATGTATTTAAGATGCTGAATTACAAGTTGCGCTATCTGTTTTGTTGATATGCATTTCTGAGAAGTTGAGGTTCTATTTGCAAGAAGTTAATTTACAGCTAGGAAGTAGCTATTGCACAAAAATGATGTTACAATGACCTCTAGCATTTTTTCCATGCTTCATGAAAATACTGTTGCTTAAATGAAAATCTGATGTAGCAAGCAAGCTAAACAAAATAATTGGTTCAACCATGGGCTTTCAACTAGAATTGAAAGCCCATGGTTCAACTTAGAACAGTGGCTGTTTCAATCCTTGACAAGTTTATTTTCTAAAAATCCCAACAGTGCATACTTTATTCCAAGAAAACTACAGATTTTTACAATAATGTTACGTATTACATGTATTTCTATTTTATGGTTATAATTTTTAATTTGGGAGAATTAAAACATTTTTTTCCTATTTTTTAAGTTCATCAATTTATAACATATCAGAGATCTTTCGGGAGATATTGTATTTCAGATCATAACAAATAGATGCTAGTTAACCCCAATCTCCCACCAGGTGGGAGATTGGGGTTAACTAACATGGCAGATATATCAAAAGAGTTCCCCTAAACTTGAATATTGTCAGTTTAATTGGATCAATTTTCATTACAATCCTTATGTGTCTGATAATTCTTCAAACAAAAATATGTCCAGTAACAGAAAATATTATCTGCCCAACACAGGAAAAGATTTCTCACTTTTTTGTGATTTTATGACATGTGGTCTATGGAAAATCTCCCCGACCTGGAAGTCACATTTTCAAAGAAGTTTAAATTTTCAAAGTTGGTAAATACTTTTTATTGAAGTCAATCAAGATTATTTCTACTCACATCTACAGTAGTACAGTATATTGTACATATTGCCCCTATAGATCTGATTCTGCCTTTAAACAATAATCAATGGATAATCAGAGGATTGTTGCTTTTCCTTCAATCTCCTTTTTATTTATTTTAAGGTAGAACTAGTAGGGTGAATAATTTATTTAGATAATTAAATCAGACCTTTTAAAACTATGTCCTATCTGCCTACCTTAAGAACATTTAGCAAAATTGTTAGTTAATAAAATATCACTTCAAGTCAAAAGTCATATTATGAAACACAGGTTCAGTAATAAAAAATTATATGCATGGGCTATAAAATGTACCTTCATTTTCCCCATTGTGGAAATATGTTCATTTTGACACAGCAAGTGACATGGGTGATGTCATCTGTGTTTCAAAGTTTGGTACCTACTGTACTTCCACATTGTTAAATTAAGTAGCCGCCAAAATCAATATTTCATCTTTTAATCGTAAACTATGGTATATACATTTTAATATTGCAAGTCCGCCAAATTAAGTAATCACCATATGTCCAAAACAGCAAACCTCAAAGCAAGTAGCACCAAATTAAGTAGAAGTACAGTAACCGTCCTGAAATTCCAGATCTATAATTTGAATGCATTTGATCAAATGTCATCTTGTTTTCAACAGGTGGAAACAATAAAAAGGAAACCATTTCCTTTAAATGAGGAAGCCTCAGAGCAGGGAAATTCTTCAAGTTCAATGTTTTAACTGTGATACAGTTTATTCTCTTTTTTATTTGCAGACACTTGTGCAGTTATTACAGAGTTACTCCCTGCGTCAATCAGAGCAAAGTGCTCAGCATACGCTACAGATCCTTGTGGAGCTCACTAAGCAATACCCAAGTATGGTGGACAATCAACAGTTTGGTAAAACATTGTAAGTATAACACACAGTAGTCTCCAAGTTGTATATTGTTACATTTGTGAAAAGTAATGCAGAGTTAAATAAATCTAGACATAGTTGTGTCATGATTAAGAAAGTTATATAAAAAATGAATTCTTGGTAATTTCTCTTCTGGATATATATTTTTTTTTTTTTTTTTTTTTTTATTTATTTGGAAACTACGCTTTTACAACAGCGGCACACAAAAATTGGTGCGTCCATTTAGGATACATTTACATGAAGATAAAAAAGTAGTTGGTATTATCTAAGCCATTGCATTAATAAGTTGACTAAAATCTTAGTTAAAATCATTGTATTATTGATTAAAAAAGATTAAAATAATTTCAACTACACTTGTAGAGTGCCAGTAAGAACTTCTTAGTTACACTATCAAAATTTAGCCCTGCTTCATGTCCCCCAATTTTGAATGCCTCATCACCCAATAACCACTTTAGTTTTGTCGAGGAGTTGGTCTTGATATAGGTATCTAGTATGGGGTAGGGTATGATTGACTTTAAGCTCTTATGAAATTCATTTCTTTGCTCTTCATAGTGTTTGCAATGCAGTAATCTATGTTCAATAGTCTCAATATCCAAAGGACAGAAATCACAGTGTGGATTATTAGATGAGTGGTTTTTCCATTTATGGGTTTCATCATTTAATTGGAACCTACCACATCTTGCGAGGAGTTTTATTCGTGCACCTTGAAATTCAAAATCATTTTCAAGGTAACGTTGGCGCCCTTTTTTATCAAGGATCTGTCTGTACAGAGATAGTGATGACTTTTCACTAATTTCGTCTTTAATGTAACATTCAATTTTTCGTTCAATATGCATTCTATACTTATGGGACACATCCTCAATGTCATGTTCTATCCCATTTAAATCCAATGAAGTTAAAATGTTATTCATGTTTTCAACAAAGTTCCAGAAGTTTGTTTTACCTTTGTTGAACCTTTGTATCATATTCGTAAGTAGAAGTTTCAAAAGAGATCCTTCATTTTGATCTTTAAGGTAGAGGAAATATTCTACTTGGCGCTTCATAAGCACAAACTGGATTGGGATCCATCCTAAATCATTTATTACTGCAATATATGCTGGTGTGCTTTTCAAGCTGAATATTGCCCTACCTATATTATATTGCATAGACTTTAGTTTATTATTTACATTCTGGGTATTATTTACCCAGATGCCACAACCATTAAGAACTGATGGAAGGTACTTGCTCAGATATAGTTTGTTGCCAAATTCAAGACGTTTAACATTTAGATGCTTATTCAGTGTGAATGCTACATAATTCTTTAATTTTAAGGATCTTGGACCCATTTGCTCGATGATATGAAATGTATCTTTCAATGAGCGATGAATGAAGATGCCTAAGTACTTATAGGTTTGGACCTCAGATAATCTGAGATCGCTCAAGGCCCAGGTTTTCAATCTGTTGATTTTTTGTCCAATTACCATTACCTTAGATTTTTTCTCGCTAAACCGAAATCCCCATTTACTTGCAAATTTATTCGCAATCTTAAGCATGTTTTTGAGATCTTGTTCAGATTTTCCTAATAAAACAATATCATCAGCCCACATTAAACTTGGGAATTTAGAGTTATTGAAGGTGATGCCTACATTTTCCTTTAAAAGGTCATCCTGGAGATCGGTCATAATAATAGAAAAAAGAGTCGTAGACAATGTACACCCCTGTTTTACGCCACATTTTGTGGTAAACCATGGTGTGTTACTGCTATCATGATCAATGTTTAATGCATCATAATCATCTTGAGACGTACAATTTGCTTTGATATTGGCCTCATTTGCATCTCTATTATTCAACTTAACTTTAAATTTAATGTTCCGGTACATTTCCCGAAGTAGCCGCCAAGATTTACCCCTGATCCCCTTTTCCCATAATTTGATAAACATCAGATCCCTGTCAATAACGTCAAACGCTTTAGAAATATCCAAGAAAGCCAAAAAAGTTTTTTGTTTTTCATCCCTCCTTAAGCTACATAGAGCTTTGAGTTTAAATATGTGGTTTTCTAACCGTTGGCGTTTTCTATAGGCACCTTGAAATTCACCAAAAACATTTTTTTCCTCAAAAAAAGCCATAAGTTGTTCATTGATTATCGAACAAAATAACTTGTAAACATTAGATGTGATTGTTATACCTCTGAAGTTGTTTAATGATTCATCATGACCACCTTTGTGAAGTGGCTTGATAATGCCTTCTTTCCATTGTGTCGGATATATTTCATGGGTTTTACACATACTGAAAAGATCAAGTAAGGTTTCCTTCATAGTTAACCCTCCATATTTCAAAAATTCATATGGAATGAGATCTGTACCTACAGCCTTACCATTAGGTAGACCTCTTAAATGAAGGGCTAATATATTTGGGTCAAACACTACCTGGTCCATAACATCAAAATCTGTATCATTTGGATGATGCATGCTAAATTCAATATCACTGAGCTGTTTAGAATGCTGTGACTCTTCTGTGTCTAAATTAGGAGACACACTGTTACGATTATTAAGGCCAACCTTCGCCCAGTAATCTTTCATTATTTTAAACACTTTTGGCTCAGTAACGATTATATCAGGAAATAATGGGTGTTGAACTTTGATTGGTTCACCATTACTTTGGTTGAACATGTTGAGCGTTTGCCAATAAGATTTAGAGCTAGTTGTTTTCTTAGAAGCATTTCTGGTCAAAATTTTTATATGGTTCTTAACCATTTTTTCTTTGATGTATGAATGAACCCTTTGCTTTCTCTCAAGATATATATTCCAAAGCTCGTCGAATGCATCAAGATCACTTAGACCAGAGGCACGCCAGTACCTGCAGAATTGGCTTGCCTCTTTCCGGCTTTTGATAAGTTTTTTAAGTTCACTATCCCAAAAACTCCGGTACTGGGAAGAGACATTCATGTGACCAATTGTTGCATCAGCAACTTTTATCACCCTTTCTCTCCAGTTGATCCACATTTCCTCTAGAGAAGAGAATTCGGATGAGTTCCAATTGGTAAATTCAAAAGCAAGCGCTGATTTAAACATTGTCCAATCAGTATGTTCGTTAATTTTCCAAAGACGCACATTTACACATGGGTTACTGATATTTGGTCCATTTTTCCTACTTGGTGCATTAAACATAAAATCAGTGAATATCATGCAGTGATCGCTCCCTATAGAATACTCACTCTCTTCATCAATATTCATACTTGTGAAATTTCCATACATAGATGTGTTACATAAGAAATAGTCAATGGTGGAAGTAGAGCTACCCCTAAACCATGTATAAGTGCCTTTGCATTTTTCCGAAAGATTCAAAACCTGCATATTAGCCACTTCACTTATCATTTCCACCATTTTACCATTGGGACTGGGTTTATGAGATTTACTGAATTCCTTTAACTTGCCATTAAAATCACCCATCAATAGAATAAAATCACCCGTTTCTTCCAGAGTAGCAATATTTGATATTAGTTCATCAGTTAGTGCATTACTACAATCAGGATTTAACCCATCATTGGGGTAATATGCAACCCCAATACTGAAAGTATGACCATGCATTTTAAGTCGTATCCAATACCGCTCAAGACTGTCTTGTTTTGTGTTAAGTAAATCATCATTCAAAACTTTAACTTCAAAGGATTTTGAAATAAGGAAGCCTATGCCTCCACCTCGTTGTCCAATACGATTTTTACCATACCATTCATGATTATCACTTTTTTGAATGAATGAGCGCTGGTCATTAAAAAAGGTTTCACTTAACCCCATAACTGGTATTTCATTTTGTTCAAGCAATTGCTTTAACTCGCGCTGCTTAGCAATGCCTAAATTTTGAACATTGTTAAAGGCAATTTTAATTCTTGCAGCACAAATTTGATTTGTACCTTTACGCTTAGATCGCCTATGACGAGGTTTACGGTTTTCGTTCGCATTGGTACTTGAAATATCATAAGTTAGTGGGGATGAGACATTACATTTCACCTTGGGAGATAAGGCCCACTCATGGCCTTCATTTTAATAATTGTTCAGGGCAGAGAATCTATTATGTGACCTGAAATCAGAACCATAAGAACTGTCCTCATGATAATCATTATTGCTATGACGTTGGTTATGCCAGTCATTTTGGTGAGAGTTTTGCCCCTGATTAGGCCAATAATTGTCATTCATGATTTTGCTATGTCCATTGTGCTTGGTAGGGCATTTTGTTGATTTGTGCCCCAAAACTTTGCAAGCATAGCACCGTACAGTATTTGGATGCCAGCAAGAAGAAGACAAATGTCCGGTTTCGCCACATTTTTTACAGGAAAGGCCTTTGTCATTATAAGAGTTTGTGTAGATTTCTGCTTGGCTTTTGTAGTCATGTTTAGATTTGGGCTTTTTAGTGTTAATATAACCAGATTGTCTCGGTTTGCTTGGGGATGCCATCACAGATGTAGTGGACTTAGTGGTATAATGAGCATGGGATTGGGGTTGGTTCTTGGGCTTTTGCGATTTCTGTTTCTTTTGTTGTGGGTTGTGACGTCTGTTCCTTGGTAAGGTTATATCTACATATTTAGTGTTTAGCTTCAAATTTTTAGCCAAGCTATTTGTGCCTGCGTCGCTGAGATGGAGATTGTCATAGCATAGGTATCCATGATTTATTGACTCATCTTTCAGTCTAAATGTTATGTCATTGTCATTAAATATGACCCCTTCATCCTGACAGTGACAGAGCAGAAAACCGTTCAGTTGATCTATGCGTTCTTGGATTTCAGTATTGTCAATACGAGGTGTAATACTTGAAACAGTAAGATTTACACACTGTTGCTTAGCTGATTAATTAGCATGGTATAGTCCTCTGATATCAATTTAACATCTTCTCTCTCGGCACAGTCTACACTCCCAACTTGTAAGTAGATAGATTCGTATTTCACCTTCTTGGCGAGAAGCTTCTTATGAATGGCATTGATGTTTCCCCCACGTATACAGTCAGTTTCAGTGTCAATGAGCTTAGATTCATCAATATCACGTATAATAGAAGAGCCAATGAGAAGCGATTTAGATTTATTAGGAGGTGAGTCTGATGCAGCGGTAGTAAATTTAAGTGATGAAATCCTGAATCTGAATCATGGATGTATGTACTTTTGTTTCCAGAGATGTATCCAGGTGCAAGTCAGTGTCCCAGATAGCATTCATGGTAAGTTCCTTCATTATCTGAAGGAAGGAAATGGGTCTTCAGGAAGGCTCATAATCATAAAAATCCACACTGTTAATTAAAATGAAATACATACAGTGGTTCTGTGGGTGAACAAGAATTTTTTTGTTGGATTTTAGTTTAATATTTTAAATAGAACATGTATTTTTATAAAGAGAAAAGTAGACACAGGTGGCCCATATTGAACTTGGGCCTATCCCTTCCCCAATGGATTATGTAGTTTTAAATATTGGCACTAAGAATGTTTGTTTTTCAGGGTATTTCTTGTCTGGCCTCTGAACTACATGGCAGTGTAACAAGTCTCTGCACAAGTGTAAGTGTTTAGTAATAATGCAATAAATTGGCAGTCAACTTAAAATCCTCCTCCTAAGCAGGTATCCAGAATCCATACCTCCTTCTTCCCCCTGCTATAACCAATTTGGAAGCGCCCAATTGAACTGAATCATGTGATTTAATTATGCACAATGACTTATACATGATTTCTGTCGCAGTGTTGCGACAGCCAATCAGATTGCGAGTTCTTAATCGGGGAAATGTTAACTGTTTATCGCAGGGGGAAAAAAAAAGAATATATTCTGGATTTTGAAGCCCTGTGATCGGAGGATGACTAAAAATGTACTGCAACTTGGAAATTCATGTGAGAAATTGATATAAAAATGGCAATGTTGGGATTGGAATTGACTCATTTCTGACTTTCTTTAGTTCTGGGAGAAGACTTCTAATGAAATAAAGCATCAATTTTCTATTTATCAGATTTTATTCAGAGAGTATTACTGGAAAACATACAATTTGATAAGACCTGAATTTTAGTACATATGATTAATTTAAGTTCATTGTGTATTTTCTTGATATCAAGTGTAAAGTTATTAGTATGCGATGTGTAGAATTCAAAAATCCAGCCAAAAATGATTCCCCAGGGTCTTTTAAATTATTTATACTTACGATTTAATAGGCATGGGTAAAGCACCAGTGCAGGATATATATAAGTTTAATTTATTTTGAATGAAAATATAATGAAATAATGCATCACTGCAGGTTTTCAAGCAGTTGTTGCCATGCCTACTGATGTTGCTAGGTGACAACAAATCGGTTGCTGCTACAACAATCCCTAGGGATGTACAAACCATCAAAGACAATGCTTTAGCCTATGTTCTGTGAGTATAACATAATATTTTACTTAATATGTATTATATAACACAAACATGGTATTGTTCTTACTTTAAAGGGCTCCAATCAGTTAAATACACACCCTGTATAATATTGAATTATTCCACTTTAGTTAAATAGTTATAAACCCCATTTCTTGAACCAATCAGCAGCTTTGGTGGTGTCCAACCTCAGAATAACCACTAAATGATGATTCCACTATATTCATTTTGTCATAAAACCTACATATCAAAATACAAGAGTCGGGAGCTGGTAGTTCGTATATAGATAAATAGAAAAGAATTAGTCCTCCCAATGTAATTACATCAAGGAGTAGCAAAATTTTACAGTGTTTGACCAGCTTTTGAACCTGTAGTATATATATGATGCATTGATGATGTTGGGAGAATTTATAAAGCAACATGTTGTAAAATTTTCCATAAGATTTAAATCTTATCTTAAATTTTCTTCGTGAAGTGTGTAAAGTTCATTTAGACTAAAGTTTTAACAAAAAGTTGTGACTGACCACAAGCCATTATGTAAGTTAAAATCATCTAAAAACTTACCTATAATTTCAGACACATTCTAGAAGAACAAGGTGATCGCGTGTTAGCCAGTGCTAGAATATTACTGCAACATTTATGTTGTAAAGTACCAGATAAGACAGAGTACAGGACCAGGGTTGCTCAGGCCATAGTGGACATTATGTATCAACTACCAGGTGGAGCCTATGCCAAGATCATAGAGTGGCTCTATAAGTACTCCAGGAATGCAAAGGTATGTTTGTTCTAGTGTTCTTTGAACCGAGTGCAAAATTCATTTACTGTGTTTAAGAAATGTCCAGATGAAAATATCCAATTTTTATGATTTTTTTTATATTTTTTATTTTTATAATTTTTCCAAGGTCTACTCAAAGATGTTTATTCCTAAAAGATGTCTTCACTTTCAAGTCAAAGTACATAGCATGCAATACGTGAATGCAAGTGTTGCACTGTTAATTCTACTTCATGATAAATGTAGTGATATTCAATTCATTTGCAAATAATAATGTGCTTGGTCTCAGATTGGCTATAGAGTGTTTGCTCTTGACGTATCCGCTGCTCTGTTGACCAACAAGGAAAAAGTTCTCGATGATTCTGTGAACCAAGACCAGACGATGTTTCTCTCCCATAGGTTCCTTATACAGATGATCCTATCACGATGTTCTGATGTTGCTCCTACGTAAGTTTATAACAACCTTATCTCAAAATTTATTTAAGATTTAGCTATGATATTTTAGCATTGTATGTGTACATAAATAATCTATTGTTCTGAAAAAATGAGAGAGATATATGAAAAAATTACAAAATGAGAACATTTTTATCAGAATAGATGGATTGCCCCTTGTATAATGTGTGCCAAAATGTTGCTCCTATGTAAGTTTATATACAGGATGGGCCAATGCATTTGCTACACCTAGGGTGGACCACAATGTTGCTCCCAGGTTTATACAGGGCTGGTCGAGAAACTTCAACTAGTAGTAATATAATATTAGAAAATCAACTCAGGTTGCAACAATATGTTATGATATACTTGCAATTGCATGTTGGAAACTTTTGAATATTGGAGATAGTCACACTTTTCCAGTTTGAATAGGATTCAAATCAGTTCAAAATTCCATCAATTACAGTACAATGGCAGTTTGAATTAATACATTAATAATATTTTCAGTGTACGAGCAAGAGCGATTGTAGGATTTGCCCAGTGTTCCTCCAGCAACGAGCCAGGTATCCGGGCAGCCATCTTGGATATTGTGACCCCAAGGCTTGGTAGGGATGGCCCTGGGGTGGGGATGGCAGCTGATAAGACCCCCACAGGACAAGGTACTACCCCTGATGCACAAAGAATACACACTAACATAGGTAGGTATAACTTCAGAGGATATACATACAATTGCATATAAATTTTTATTTTTTGATAAAGTGTAAGTGTGAGCCACTTAATGTTTAACTATACAGTATAAGTTCGATATAAGTTTTAAGTTCGATATAAGTTTATTCCAATTTTAACATGTTACATACATATAATCATATACAATTTGATGCAAAGCGTATATTGTAGATATATATAACATTATTCATTCATTCCATTTAATATTTATAATTTTCAAATTTCAATATTTGCATTAGAGTTTCATTGAATTCAACAGGGACACCTGGGGAACAAACTAATGCAGAAGATGCCACAGAAAACACTGTCCGTGATGCTACTCCAGCTGCTGGTGAAAAGATCCTTGAAGCAACTATTGAGAAAACTGTAGAGGGAAGAATTGCACGTCAGACTCCAGGCTCCAAGTCGATACTTCTCACTCCGGGCCTAGATCTTACCCTCCCTGATGGCCAAGGTATGATGTGTTCCATTAAGTCTGACTGAAAGTTCAAATGCTGAAACTTCTAACCAATATCTTATACAAAAGGATGGTCAAGGAATGGTTCCTTATTTTATTGTCATGATAGAAATAATACCATGGAAATATGAAGGATAAAAGCAAGCATGTAAAAAGTGAAGGACCTGGCCACAGTTACGACTGAACACTCCCAATAGAGTATAAATTTTAGACTGCTCTGAAATGTATGGTAATACATGTATCATGATCAATCAAGGACGATTCATTATTTGAAATGTGTCTCATCAGAATTCCATATTCATTCATGAATTTTATTCTTGAATAAAGTACATTAGTCTGCTTTTTGAATTGTAAATGTTTCTTACAGGGGTGCCATTCTGGTTTCAGTTGTCGCGTTTTTAGACTATTTCAGACTATGCTCTGATATGCATGGTCATACAATTCATTCATGACCTTAATTCTTGAATATACCACATCTACATGAATGATTCTTGAATTTTAATTGTTTCTCACAGGTGTGTTATTCTGCTTTCAGGTGTAGTGTCACTATTAAGACGTAGAGCTACAGATGAGAAAGTGAATGTGAGAAAGGCAGCTCTTCAAGCACTTGAAAATATCATCAAATTAGACGGGGAACACTTTAACATCAAGGTAGGAATTCATAGTGCTATATTTTATGATGCTTTTATATACTTTCTGCTGTTATTGGTAAATTTCAGGGCCATGACAAACAAAACAAAATATTACTTTTTCCATTACATGTATTTTTACAAGAGCTCAGATATACTTCCTTCCCTGTTCAATAAATTTTATTGAACATATAAAGTTACACTTTTGTCCATCCATTTTTGAATATCTTTCAACAGCAAAACATAGCTTTTTTCCCCAAACATGATTAGTTTCTCAAAAAGGTACACATTGCTGTATTGTTATTGATATCGCCCCTTAGATCTCTAATTGCCCATGCATATTCTAGGATGTGAAAGTTCTACATGAAAGGTGCCAAGATCCAGCCCTGTCAGTTAGAAAGCAGGCCCTCATATCTCTCACTGATGTATTGTTGGAGATGCCCCATAACAAACAAATACAGAGGTAATCTAAAGTATTCTAGATTTCCATTATTGCGGTTTGATTTACGCAGTCAGTGTTTTTTGCTTTAGAACTAGATTATGAATTCAACTCATTATTTGTTATTGTACTTCCAAGTCAACTCCAGTAGCTTTACGTAAGTTTATCTGATTTTTGCTCTATTTTTTGTTACCTTGGTGATTATTTTTTTTCTGTTTGTAGTACATGGTTAGATGGAGTTGTTCCCATGGTGATGGACAGAGAGACTGGTGCCCAGGAGAAATGTTTTGAGATTTTAGAGGATGTCATCCTCAGCAACATTGCTCCACTACACAGGTTTGTAGAAACATTTAATAGAAATTTTGTAATTTTGAAGCATTTTGTAATTTACGTTTTAGAAAAGTGTCAATAAAAGACATTCCTTTTACAGAACTAACTTTTTTCTGATGTGATCTTGCAAATAAAATTTCAAAATTATATTTGCTTATTTTTAGATCGACAGGAGACCAACATAAAATGTTGTGGAGCCTCATGAACATCATGGCTTCAAATGAGGGTGTCGACTTGAGGTAGGCATACATTTAAATAATTTATACATATATTCTTTGATAATAAAATTAGCGTTTGTGTATTGTGTATTTGTGCATAATAAATACATGTATCTCATACTTAAATGGGTTTGGGGTTGATAACACTAGAAAATATTTGTCACATTTCTCTGGAAGTTCAGTTTTTATGTCCCCACCACATAGTGTGGGGCCATATTGTCGGCCTAGGCGCGTCCGTCTGTCTGTCCGTCCGTACGTCCGTACGTCCGTCCGTCTGTCCGTCCGTCTGTCCGTACGTCCGGGAGTTTTCTCCAAAACCGCTACAGATATCACCTTCAAATTTTCAGGGATAACTTATGAGTGCATACAGATGTGGATGAAAAAATTTTAACTCGATACCTACTTCCTGTCGGCCATTTTGAAGTCAAATGCTAAAATCCTTGTCTGCAAACTTTAAGAAAAACGGCTTCACAGTTGCTTTTAAAACTTTAACATCTTGTTCAGCTCACTTCATTCTAGATCTGATTAGGTTTTGGACCTGTTAGCTCAGTCATGTCAGCCATTTTGAATGTCTTAAGAAAAGTTAGCGCACGATAATACTTTGTATCATATTGAATGGTGTTTTTGAGTTTTCATACTTTAACTATTTAGTAGCTTTATAAATGATTTCAGATCTACTTTGTTGTAAAAGCCTATGTTATTGTTAAAAGTAGTAATATGTGATAATTTTGTAAGAAGAAATCAGCAAAAACACATAATCACTTTTTTATTGTCGGCCATTTTGGATTTTTCCGTCCTAAAATCTTGTCTGTGAAGTCTTGTCTACGTGTTTTCAGGTGAACCGTTTGGTGGATCAATTTCAGATTTTCAGGGATGATTCGTAGTATAAAAATCTAGATCTGTTTTGTTTTTTGGCATTCTGGGTAAATGTCAAGGCAGCCATTTTGGATTTTCCATCCTAAAATCTTGTCTGTAAAGTCTTGTCTACGCGTTTTCAGGTGAACCGTTTCGTAGATCAATTTCAAATTTTCAGAGATGATTCTTAGTATGAAAATGTAGAACTGATTAGTTTTTTGGCATTCTGGGCAAATGTCAAGGCAGCCATTTTGGATTTTCTGTCCTAAAATCTTGTCTGTAAAGTCTTGTCTATGCATTTCCAGGTGAACCGTTCTGTAGATCAATTTCAAATTTTTAGGGATGATTCTTAGTATGAAAATCTAGATCTGATTAGTTTTTTGGCATTCTGGATAAATGTCAAGGCAGCCATTTTAGATTTTTCGTCTTAAAATCTTGCCTGTAAAGTCTTGTCTACGCGTTTTTAGGTGAACCGTTTGGTAGATCAATTTCAAATTTTCAGGGATGATTCTTAGTGTGAAAATCTACATCTGATTAGTTTTTTGGCATTCTGTGTAAATGTCATGGCAGCCATTTTGGATTTTCTGTCTTAAAATCTTGTCTGTAAAGTCTTGTCTACGCGTTTTCAGGTGAACCATTTGGTAGATCAATGTCATATTTTCAGGGATGATTCTTAGTATGAAAATCTAGGAACAGATTAGTTTTTGACATTCTGGGTAAATGTCAAGGCAGCCATTTTGGATTTTCCATCCTAAAATCTTGTCTGTAAAGTCTTGTTTACATGTTTTCTAGTTAACTGTGTGACGGACTATCAATTAAAATTGTGTTGGTAAAGTCTTGTCTACCCATTTTCAGGATAACCATTTGATGGGATCACCCATTGGTGGGGACATTTTGTACACATTTGTGTTCTTGTATATTTTTGTGCTATCTGCATTTGCAAACTTCTCATGAGACGAAAATTGGAAAAAGCTCACTCATGTCAACCATTACAAGGTATTGCTCTGTGTATTAGTTTAATTGGATTCATTCATATATTCATGTACTTCATCTCCAGGAGATTCCTCACAAAGGCATGTCAACACTGGGCTCGTGTGGGTAAAATAAAGTCCTCGATTGTCAACTCCTTGGAGACACACGTCAATACAGACCATAATCCTGTGAGTATATCCATGAATGAAAGGATGAAATGAAAGGAAAACATTTAGGCTGTATTTTTGTGAGCAAGTAAGATTCTGGTCTTTGATTATAACATAATTCAATGAGTATAAGAATCCAGTGAGTATAACATTGTCCACTGTTCACTAAATTGACCTATACATGTTGAATTCAAATTCTAAGGCCAAGAATAATATTACACCAATGAAGCATCCGCAACATCCATCAATAGTATACATACCGAGATAATATGTAACTTGCAAATTCATTGACTATTCCAGGGTGTTTGGTTATTATTAGCTGAGGTGTGTCAGAGTGTTGGCAAGTTTCAACCAGAGTTTGTACTCACCTATTGGAGAGACCATGCTAAAGGGGCATCAGAGGAGGAGTACCCTGTTGTACAGAGAGTTCTCCAGGTTATTGGCTCGGTAGCCAAACATATCAAAACTGACTGCATAGGCCCTATTACAGGTAACCAATCAAGTGTACAAATACTGCACTTCGCTCACATTTGTAAGAAACGATTGATATGAACCAGTTCCCTTGTTGTCATATTTTTCTTGTGGCTTTGTGCCACACTGAGTGTATTGCTCTGTGTATTTGTTGAATTGGATTCATGCATATTCATCTCCAGGAGATTCCTAATAGGTAACTGGTCTAAAGCATGAACCTTTCGCCCTGTTCATAATGTTTTTGTAGCCATGTCCTTGAGTGTATGGGAATTCATTTTGGATTACTTAAAATTGGAAAGTGGAAAAGTGGAAAATGTTTGAGACTTTTCCATCAACAGATTGGCATGTCTTAATTTTCCTCACTAGAAATCATATTTGATGCCAAAAACTGGAAAAATGTGATTTGCCAAAGCAAACCTAAGACAATGTTTTGTTCCAAAGGTCTCTGTATTATTGGATTATGCCTATTATATTGCATTGGTGTCTAAAATCGTGTTCTATAAGCTATTGTTTGTTTACTTTAGATGACTTGAGGAAGCGCTTGATGATGTTTAACTCTCCTCCAGAATTGATTGCTATCACCATAAACACATTGCATAAGGTAAGCTCTAGGCCATCTCATATGTTTTGCACCGAATTGATTGCTATCACCATAAACACATTGCATAAGGTAAGCTCTAGGCCATCTCATATGTTTTGCACTGAATTGATTGCTATCACCATAAACACATTTCATAAGGAAAGCTCTAGGCCATCTCATATGACTGGATGATTTGTGAAATGCTGTTGTCATTTAATAAACCTTTGTGAAAGTTATTTTTAGAAAACATTTCTTCAAAAAATTATACCTGATTTTTCTGTGCTATGTATTTCTAGTTATGTCAAGCCAAGTCTGAGTGTGTCGAGGATGCTAAGAAAACCATGGATAGATGGTGTGGGGATCTGCTGAAAGCTAGTGATGAATACCTGTCTACAGCTATCCTATCAGAACAACCAGGTACCATGAAATAATTTACTAATGAAATAAGCTAGATCATTTCTACCGTAGCCTGGACAGAACAAGTCATTGTATTGTATTTTGTTTACCACCAATGTAGGTGAGCAATACCTCTTGGGTATATCCCATATATACATGATCGTAATTGACGTAATTAACCTGGAAGATGGACCCAGAAAACCCCTCCTTGAAGGAGCCCTGTGTTCTTTTATGTGCACTTATACATAGACATACACGTACACACCACAGCCTTTTGTACGAGTTGCGGACCACTCAGTCAAACACCCTGAAGTACTTCATGCAAACAAGCAAAGGATGTGTCTGGGTATATGCCCTTTTGGTCCCTCAGTCAAATGAATGTGAAATATGGTTTTTATTACTGACCTAGTTATATTTGATAAGTATATTTACTTTTTCACAAGTTTTGATGCATAATTAACCCCCTACTGAGAGTCAGAATAAGTATCTTAACAAACAAAAAAATAGTCATTATCATAGAAAAAAACTCCAATGGCAACACGTATGACATACAAAGAAGAAATAACTTAAGACCCATGAAGAATTAAAGAGAAAATCATATTTTTGAAAAATATATTTAAGGATTAAAATTTTTTCAAATTTTTGAATTTCCCGCCAGTTTAATTTGAAGGGGGAAAAACAAGATGGTTGCCATTTGATATGAGAAATATCAGAAAAAAAGTTGCTTCACTTTTAGTTTTCACAATGAGCACAGTTTTCCGGTTTAGGTTTTTTGACTGATTCTGACTCTTCATCACCAGGGTCACGTATAGAGATTATAAAATTGAAACCGGAATGTTGTGCTCAGCATGAATTTGACTGGAATATGTGTAACTTCACCAACACAATTGAAGTCTCAAAACTGGATGCTCAGTAACTTTGAGTGACTATAATCCCTTGATTACCCAGATAAACACCAATTCACTTATCCAGAAATACCATTCAATGTCTATACAAAGAAAGTAACCAATGTTTTGGAAGATAAGTTTCAAACTTTTTGCATAATTAATTCATTTAATGTTTGCCATTGATTTTTTTTCAATTCTGACAAAGTGATATGCACTGTCTTTGATGCCAATATTCTTCATCAATTATGATACAAATTAATATTTTTGTAATCTCAGAAGAAGGATAAGATATTGAAGTTTAATAATATGTGTAATTGAGTTGGTTTTTCAGACATTACAATTTTCAATATTTTCTAAGTCGATACCCAGACTCATTCCCAGACTCATCCTTTAATCTTGACTGCCTTTCTATTTTCTTAATAACTTTCTTATCTCTTCGTATTTTTCACGAAATTACACTGTCTGACAGAACAAACTTTATTCTGTCCTAACTACTAGATGGTTGGTCACTACATTGTTTTTGTTGTGTTACTTCGTATTGTATTAAGACCTCTGTAATCAATTAGATGTCATGTCCTTCCTAATACCGGTAGCATCATTTATTACATACAATTAGGGGTGAGACGAGTCGAAAAAATCCGATTCGAGTCGAATCCGATTCGAGTCGAATCCGATTCGAGTCGAATCCGATTCGAGTCGAATCCGATTCGAGTCGCAAAAGTGCGAACAACATCGCTTTTGACCGTTCGTATTTTTAATGCGTCAATGGTGGAAAGCCGGAAATATTAACAAACACAATTCGTCGTAAGTTTATTCTGATTTTATTACATATATTCTTTCATTTATGTGTACATACAATATAATAATTTAATACAAGCATATCCAAGTCATTGAAACTTATATATTCAACGCAATATCGAGTAAAAACATGCATATTGACAGTATTTTTCTGAATTTTTTTATTTTTTCGAATTTTTTTCTCAACTCGAAAATGATTCGATTCATCAACTTCGACTCGATTCGACTCGACTCGAAGCCCCAAACCCGCGAGTCCTCGACTCATCGGGTTGTCGTCTCACCCCTACATACAATCCAACCTATTCCATAACATGTGCTTAATCCCCTTTTGGAACAAGAGGCAAGTCCCCAAAAATAAATAAAAACAAAATGATCACTCCCTGGTAGTGACCCAATTATATGAATCACATGTCATGGAATAGGTTTGTATTGTAATTAATAGAAAATTTACATTGTAAAATTTCACATTTGGTTAACATCTGTATTGTGTCTTGTTCAATCATTGGGTGAAAATTTACTTTCATTTCTAGATGAAGATCTTAACGAAGACCTTGTCGTGAGACATTTATTTACTGTTGGAGAAGTTGCCCAGTTGTGCCCAGATCGTACACCCAAACGTATATTTATGTTAGTACAGAGCCTGGTTGCAAAACCTTGTATCACCACTACTGGTAAGTATTTGATGAAGACTATAAATTGAAAAACTTGATTACCTTGCAAATAAAATGCAATATAATGCGTTAAAATCTTTAGAGTTGTCTTTAATGATGTTCTGATGTTTCTTTAGTTGAAAATTTGCTATGTAATATTGAAATTGTGTTTCATTTTTGATGTGAAATCATGAAGAAGACCAAACAAGAGTTTTTTTTATTTATTTACTTTGTTAGATGGCAGTTCACAACAAGTTACAACAGCATCTCAACACACTGAGCCAATGCTGTCTCAGTTCTCCCAGATGTCCCAAATATCACAGGCAAGCTCTCAGGATGTCCTGACGCAGTTCAGTATCAAGTCATCTAAAGTTTCCAGTAGGATCAGAGCCCATGCCTTCGTTACATTAGGTATGAACTCATTAAAGCATCTTCACCAATCACTTACACAAGGTTTAGGCTCTTTTTTGTTCAAAATTTTATTTTTTTGTTTGTTTTTGCAAAAAATATCCAACATGAAGAATGAACTCATTACATCTAAATAATGATTTATATCCAGGCTAGTATGTATCCAGAACTAATGTTTATTTTATCATATGCTTATATTTAATATTTATTATTTCAGGTAAATTGTGCCTCCAGAATGAGGATATTGCCAAGAAATGTATTGCAGCTATGGCACGAGAACTCGAGACGTGTTCCGATGCTGCAGTGAGGAATAACGTTATTGTTATCATGTGTGACCTCTGTGTCAGGTAAAATATTTCATCAACTTTACAAAATTGCCAAATGCTAAAATTACTCACCTCAAGTGAATGACATATCAATATATAAAAAACTGATTCATTCCTTTTACTAGTTAATCAGTTTTAATACATCTCAGAAAGCAGTTAAATTATTCATCCTTTGACCGGGCACTTGATTCTATTACTTCCCTTGCAGGTACACCAACCTTACAGACCAATACATCCCAAATATTGCGGCATGTTTGAAAGACCAGTCCCCGTTGATCAGGAAGCAGACCCTAACGTTGCTTACTCGACTTTTACAGGAAGATTTCCTTAAGTGGAAGGGATCATTATTTTTCCGCTATATTACTTCAATCGTCGACCAAGATCAGGAAATCAAACAATTTGGTGAGAAATATTCTTTATATTTAAAGTTAGCTGCATTACCAGGAATTTCAAGGAAGAAAGAATTGACATGCCAGGATCCTTGTTTCTCTGGTTCGTCCCTTAAAATCCAAAATGGCCCACCAAATGATTAAAAATAACTTTAATTTTGGTCATTTGGGTGCTGTTTTCCAGTTTTCAATCACAATACCCTCTGTAATATTCCGTTAGTCACTATTGTAAAGTAGAAATCTGACTAGAATAACCAAACATTACCATTTCTCTATTTTCAGCTGAGTTTTGTCTGGTACATCTCCTACTGGTGCGCCACCCTACAATGTTTTCCCAACACTTCATAGAGTCAGTGTACCATTTTAATGCATACGACCAGCACAATGTCTATAATAAATTTAGCCAAGGTAAGAGGGACAGCAAGTAATTTCCTGAGGAGACAGAGATTTAGTTGGACCACTAGTAATGAATGACAGGATAATTGAATAACCTTTAAAAATCCATGTACATAAATTATTGTTATATTATTGTTATACATAATAATATTTTGTTTGTACTGCTAAGTTTGAATGAATTTGAACAAGTGAGAGGCAAAATAAGAAAATGTTTTCTGGATGAAGAGATGATTTTTATGAAGGGTCCAAAATAATGATAAGATAGAAAACATAATGTAACACGTTTTCTTGTTTCTAGGTGATCGGGAAAAGAAGATGTTTTCCCTTAAGGGTCCAGAGAACTGTAAGAAGAGGATGATGATCTATAAGTTCATGTTAGAACACATGAATGATGAACAGAAGTTCAACCTCACTGGCAAAATTTGTCAAGATGTAAGGATGGCTCAGTTTATTGCCAAATTATTCAATTTATACGGGCTCATACTGTACATGCAAACTCCAGTTTGAAAATCTGTAAAATAAATATGTATGACAGTTTGCATGTTAGAATTGTCTCTTTTATGTAATTTTTGAACATTAAAACATGTTTGGTAAGGGTATACCACATATGAATCAGGAAAATTCAGCCAATTTTTCTTTACTTTTTATATAGGCCTACACATTGACTTCATGTATATTTTCTGTGAATGGATATTATTAACATGTTGTAAGTTTTGGCATAGTGTACAACTTGGTGGTAACATATTTTCATTTTGTTTATTTTTAATTTTACCAATATAAAATGTAATAATATATTTTTTCAGATCTTGGGTGGAGTTGTTGATGGTGTGCTGGCTTTAGATGCAAATTCAAATGCTCTGCTACAAGACACATTGGCCATTCTATGTTGCAAGGTATGAAAGTAATGACAAAGTACATTAAGCAGGAAAACAGCAAATGAAATCTCTGTTAAGTCAAAGTAACAAATGGTTAGGTGGTGACATTTTGCATGTTAATGCCTTGTATGTCTTAGGTCACCCTATGCGTATTCACTCTACTATATCTAACCCCTAGAAATGCATAAGATATTCTGTTTGTCTAACTGTATTGTTTAGTACATTTTTGAAAGTTCCTTACTGTCATCCAATAAACCATTCATAAGCAGCAGACACATAAAAACAAATAACATAATCATTACTGATAAGCCAAATGGGTTGCTCATGAACACCAAATGCAAGGTATAGTAATAAACCATTTTGGATACGGTAAAGGATGATAAAAGGTGACAAAAATCAAATAAAAATATCACTGCTGAACTGAAATAACCACATACACATAGCCATACCTCATCACATTGTGATTTATTGCTTCGGATAAACGACTATTATATTCAGTCACAATTCGTGTTTGATTACATGGAAACACATGGCATGCAGAATTTAAACATGAACTCTTATGAAATAGCATGGAATCTCATATAATTGTCATCATATTGAAGTCAATATCGTTATTATAAATCAATATCAATATTCACTTAGTTTGCTTGAGTTGATATATTATTGATATTATCTTGTTCCTAATGATGTCAAAAGAATACATTTGAAAGATGAAATCATCCTAGTTTTGGTTGACAGTGACATCTAACAATGGCTTAAACCATTTTCTTACACAAAGGAAAAAAGAAAACAGACCAAAACCAACTAACAACTCAGCATGATGAATAAAATGATCACCAGTCCACACAGCTTTATATGGTATAAAAGGCAGTATGTTTACTAAATCTCCATTCAAGTCCAACGAAAGATTTCAATTTGTTGCCCTGTTCTATACAGTTACACTGGGATAATTATTCAGCATATCCATTCTAGAAGTACGATAGACCTTTTCGACCAATCCCTTTTTGGTTAATTATTGGCACCGTTATATTTAAGGTTTCTCTAAGTAGTGCTTTCCTAGATCCAATTTCAAGTCCCTCCAGAACTGTTGTCTCTCATTGTCACTCCACGTGAGGCAGGTGTTGTGTTTCACCATCATTCTCAGCGTGTCAGACTTAAGGTTCTTCCAAGTGATGTTTCCCTAGTTCCAATTTCAAGTCCCTCCAAAATGTTGCCTGTTGTCTCTCATTGTCACTCCATGTGAGGCATGTGTTGTGTTTCACCATCGTTCTCAGAGTGTCAGACTTAAGGTTCTTCCAAGTGATGTTTCCCTAGTTCCAATTTCAAGTCCCTCCAAAATGTTGCCTGTTGTCTCTCATTGTCACTCCACATGAGGCATGTGTTGTGTTTCACCATCGTTCTCAGAGTGTCAGACTTAAGGTTCTTCCAAGTGATGTTTCCCTAGTTCCAATTTCAAGTCCCTCCAGAACTTTGCCTGTTGTCTCTCATTGTCACTCCACGTGAGGCAGGTGTTGTGTTTCACCATCATTCTCAGCGTGTCAGACATTAAGGTTCTTCAAAGTGATGTTTCCCTAGTTCCAATTTCAAGTCCCTCCAGAAGTTTGCCTGTTGTCTCTCATTGTCACTCCACGTGAGGCAGGTGTTGTGTTTCACCATCATTCTCAGCGTGTCAGACATTAAGGTTCTTCCAAGTGATGTTTCCCTAGTTCCAATTTCAAGTCCCTCCAGAAGTTTGCCTGTTGTCTCTCATTGTCACTCCACGTGAGGCATGTGTTGTGTTTCACCATCATTCTCAGCGTGTCAGACATTAAGGTTCTTCCAAGTGATGTTTCCCTAGTTCCAATTTCAAGTCCCTCCAGAAGTTTGCCTGTTGTCTCTCATTGTCACTCCACATGAGGCATGTGTTGTGTTTCACCATCGTTCTCAGAGTGTCAGACTTAAGGTTCTTCCAAGTGATGTTTCCCTAGTTCCAATTTCAAGTCCCTCCATAAGTTTGCCTGTTGTCTCTCATTGTCACTCCACATGAGGCATGTGTTGTGTTTCACCATCGTTCTCAGAGTGTCAGACTTAAGGTTCTTCCAAGTGATGTTTCCCTAGTTCCAATTTCAAGTCCCTCCAGAAGTTTGCCTGTTGTCTCTCATTGTCACTCCACATGAGGCATGTGTTGTGTTTCACCATCGTTCTCAGAGTGTCAGACATTAAGGTTCTTCCAAGTGATGTTTCCCTAGTTCCAATTTCAAGTCCCTCCAGAACTTTGCCTGTTGTCTCTCATTGTCACTCCACGTGAGGCATGTGTTGTGTTTCACCATCATTCTCAGCGTGTCAGACATTAAGGTTCTTCCAAGTGATGTTTCCCTAGTTCCAATTTCAAGTCCCTCCAGAACTTTGCCTGTTGTCTCTCATTGTCACTCCATGTGAGGCAGGTGTTGTGTTTCACCATCATTCTCAGCGTGTCAGACATTAAGGTTCTTCCAAGTGATGTTTCCCTAGTTCCAATTTCAAGTCCCTCCAGAAGTTTGCCTGTTGTCTCTCATTGTCACTCCACGTGAGGCAGGTGTTGTGTTTCACCATCATTCTCAGCGTGTCAGACATTAAGGTTCTTCCAAGTGATGTTTCCCTAGTTCCAATTTCAAGTCCCTCCAGAAGTTTGCCTGTTGTCTCTCATTGTCACTCCACGTGAGGCAGGTGTTGTGTTTCACCATCATTCTCAGCGTGTCAGACATTAAGGTTCTTCCAAGTGATGTTTCCCTAGTTCCAATTTCAAGTCCCTCCAGAAGTTTGCCTGTTGTCTCTCATTGTCACTCCACGTGAGGCAGGTGTTGTGTTTCACCATCATTCTCAGTGTGTCAGACATTAAGGTTCTTCCAAGTGATGTTTCCCTAGTTCCAATTTTAGGTCTCTCCAAAACTTTGCCTGTTGTCTCTCATTGTCACTCCACATGAGGCATGTGTTGTGTTTCACCATCATTCTCAGAGTATCAGACATCTCAGCTTTGGGGATGTGTTCCATGAGGAGGACAATGATCATGTCTCTGTTATCATCAAGCAGCTTCACCAGGGCCATGTCTACCTGTAAACAAATTCAATACAGAGTGACATAAAATATGGAACCCTCTAATTTTTGAAAAACTGTAATTTATGGTGGAATATTTTTGAATTTTTCTGAGCAGACTGTTCAATGCATGCATTTTCTGAGTTGATAGACTGTTCAATGCATGCATTTTTCTGAGTAGATAGACTGTTCAATGCATGCATTTTTCTGAGTAGATAGACTGTTCAATGCGTGAAACAACATTGACATAGATAACATCAACAACTGTGATTTGTTTTGCTTGTATGGTATGCTTGGTGCTATTCTGTAAAACTAAAACTGAAAAAACTTCAAAGATGTAATTTCCCGATTTTGTGATTTCTGTCCTTGCCATTTTTGTGTCATTTCTGTGTTGCTTTCATACAGGTAATCACCACGTCTAACTTTAATGAATTGGCTTGATTATTTCGAATATATCGACAAAGATAAATTTCTGAACTTGGTGTTTGGAGCAAATTGTCATGTGAGCATACTTAGATGGAAAACATAATGTGTAATATACGACGCTATTGCTTGGTAATAATAATAAAAATTATAATTAAAAAATAATATTCCAAATATAGACGGTTGAATTTTTGTAAAAAAGACTGCAACTGCACCAAAATTTTCATTGAAACTTCATGTGATGATATACAAATACAAATGAAATGAATACTAACTTCAAACTGGTTCAAGGCAGCTGCCACCCATCCACGACTCACCACAAATAGAATCTTCCTACAACTATACATGGCATTGCCGAGAGATGTGAAAAAAGAGCCACCAGGCATGATCCGGTCATCATACATTAAAGTGAACTTGATGTCTTCTCCATTTTCTAGCTCCCTACACAAGTCTCTTTGAACCCATAATGTCTTTTCGCTATGATAACTGACAAAAGCGTCATCCTCTATTGGTTCATTGTGTATTGGAGCATATCCCCCATGTTTTCTTGCTTTACGTACCATTTTGATATATTTGATGTCCTTCCAAAAATGCTTCAATAGTACAGATGTTAGAATGGTAAGGAATAGTATAATGCTCCCAGTTGTGGAACATGATGTTAGGAGCATTTTAGAGTTGCATTCAGTCAGGTATTCAGGTATGGTATAATTATGTACAAATGCATGTTTTCGTGATTCTGGCCTACTGCACTTTTCATCGTGATAAACATGTAATCCCCAGGTTTTTAATATGTCACGTAAGCCAATCAGCTCGCAGTTGCAGTCAAAGTTATTGTGGTGTATATACAATTCTCTCAAGTCAGGCATATGGGCAAAGTTACCAGGGTCAATAAATGTTATTGCATTATCTGACAGATCCAGCCATAGCAGGTTTTGAAGATTTGTAAATAAATCCTTCTGGATTGTGAAAATTCTGTTTTTAAAGAGGACAAGTCCTATTAAGTTGACCATCCCTCTAAAGATACAATTAGGTAAATGAGATAGATAGTTTCTTGCGAGAATCAAACTTGTGAAATGGATTTTGTTTTCAAACAATTGGCAGAGTTGCATATCTGTATATTGAAACAAAAGATTCCCGGATAGGTCTACTTGGCTAAGTGACTGTGAATTGTTCAGTAATTGGAGCATTTGTCCACGGTACCCTTCAAAATCCTGAGCATCAATTAAAAGTAGCTCTTTCAAATTTCTTAAGTAGCTTATCTTTAAATTGAAGTTAGCGCTATGAGACAGAGAAAGTTGAAGGATTTTTAGATGTTGTAATTCATTTAGGTCAAATGTAGGCACAATTTGACCAAATGATTTCTGAAGTCCGCCATACAATTTGAAATGAGTCAGATTCTGTAGAACATTGAAAGTCAGTGTGCTTACATACATGAAATTTGAAAGTATTAAAACTCTCAGTGATTTGATTGGTTCGAAGGCATCTGGTGCTAATGTCTTAATGCTATTTCCATGAATGTGGAGCACTTTGAGATTTGACGCATTTAGTGATTTGAAAAATGTTCCATCAATTGTGTCAATAACCAAACCACATCCTGCAAGTCTTACATCTTCAACAGGTTTGTTTTCTAAATCATTCATAACATTCCGAGCATTTTCAAGTCCCATATTGTAGTTTTTGTCGAGATGGAGTAGGCGTATACTTCTTCCATGTCTAAATGCTCCAGGCTCTATATACTTAATGTTGTTATCATTCAGCATTATGATGTTATTTTCCATTTCTTTAAAATGTTCAAAAGCATTGACTTCTACTGCAGTAAGGTTACTTCTCTGTATTCTAATATTTTTTAATTTAGGGAACTGTTTGAATGAGTTGTTTTGCAGAACTCCAAAATTAAATTCATACAGATAAAGCATAGACATATTTTGTGGTAAGAATTTCAGAATGTTTTCCAAAGGCCAATGGTCAATTTGAGATCTTGCCTTACAAATGCACCTTAATGTTCCAGTCTTTTGCTCATTGCACTTGCAAAAATCTGGAATTTTCTTTGAACTGTTGGATTCATATGGTTTTAAGGTGTTTGTCAAGTCCTGAATGTTCAGTGCATTCTGGTTTGGTTCAATAGGAATCATATTTTGAATGTCATCTTCTGTATCGTTATCTTGGTCCTTTGATCTCCGATCAGCTCTTTGATCCAGTAAAGATCTAATATTCTCTTTGGATCTTGGATCAGACGTATCATGTGTGAGATCATCTCTCATTGAAGTGGAAATTTCACGGATGACAATGAATAGTATAAACATATACCACGCTGGAACCTGAAATATAAAGTTCTGATGGAATATTATTCTGTATTTTAAGACATTTCCATTAATTCATTAAGATTGTCAGATCATCGCTTGTGTGGAAATCTTACAGCTAGGCATGAATAGACATAAACCATGCTGAAATCTAGAAAACATGATTCAACTTTATCCTAAATTTAAACACATTTCTTTTCTTTGATTCATTAGATAAAACAGCATTCATATCTGTATTAGAATTTTCAGTAACAAGAAAATGTTACCTTCATAGTAGAGTTATTCCTTCTTTGTACCTACTTCTGAAATTGTGAATGTTAAACTAACATGTAATGAATATACTTCCTGGTTCTTCTTTCATGTCAATTCCTGTATGAGTTTGGCATATCACCAACGTTTTTTCTGTTTTTTTTTTGTTTGTTTTTTCTTAGCAACCAAAACACATTTAAATCAACACAATTCAAACTAGGAGCATGTTAGTGACATATTTTAAAATGTCATATCTTTACAACTATCTATTGTGAATATTCCCTTTATCATGAAAACAGGTGTTTTCAACAGAAATACAACATTTTCACAATGTTTATTCTAAGGCACTTGCATTGTTGCATCAATTACTTCTAATAAAGAAAACAGCAATCATCAATTTTTGGTTAACTGTTAATATGTCTAAAATATGATATATAGAACTAAAACCTGATGCTTGTTTATAATTAAAGAATGTATTCAAATTCATAGCCTTATGAATAACAGCTTTGGACATTTAGTCATGGATTTCAATTTAAAGCTGTTTTAAAAAACATGTCGTCAAAACCAGTTAAAAGTAATTTCTTACTTCTCGGGCTTGTGTCATGACATACATATTATATCTGCATATACATTTAGCTGGTAAATATATTGCACCTTGCTCAAAATTTGGTCACAGTATCCATGATCCATCAACATTACATACAGGGTGATCACAAAAATTCCATCCCTCCATTTTTGTAATTAAGAAGTTCTTTTGATTTGTGTATTGTTGTGTAGTTCTGCATACCAAGTCATTTCTGGATTGTTTTTAATCACATTATCAGTGAAGTACCTCTAATGAACAGCAGGTAATGCAATTAATGCAGGTATCAGTGAAACAGATTGTTTTGACCATGAACTACTGGTTATTTGAACCACAATTGACGAGACCTATGGTAAAATTTGAAATGAGTGTAACTTAATCTAAACAGTCTAGACACATAAGACTGAAATTCACCTGCATTAAATTTCATCTAATGTGCACAATGTGGATCAAAGCAACGAGTGTTTTTGTTCATGAATTAAATGATTTGTGTCACCCTGTACTGATCAATTTAACCTGATTTCAGGAGATGAAGTTGGCATCAATGAAGAGCAAGCCCCAGGAAGACATAGTAGACCAACAAGATATGCAAGAAGCAGTTATGACTGCTGCCAAGAAAACTATCATCACACAGATTGTCAAGAAAAACACAATTGAAAATATTGTGCCAATCATCATTGCGCTGAAACACCAGGTTGGTATAGTGTTCAGGTCTACAAGTGATATGTATAAATATAAGGAAAGTTGCATAATCAAGGAAGTATTTTTGTACAAAATAGACATGTTCTATGGGATATAGGAGAATTAAAATCCACCAAGCTTCTAAAAGATTTCAATTGTATGAAGTATTGCCTTAAAATATTAGCAAGATTGTTAAATATGCAAATGAACAACAAACAAGTGTCTAAAAGATTGCTTCAGAAAAAATCAAACAAGCTTGTTACTAAAGCAATACAAGGGAATTCTTGATATTCCAGAAAATCAAGTTCTCTTTCTACGCAGTTACAATGAGATATTGTGGCATTTGTTTCATTGAATGTCATAGTATGTTTTTATGTGGTTTCAGTTAGAACAACATAGATCTCCAGTGCTAAAGGATCTCATGTTATATCTCAGAGAAATGATGAAAGATTACAAGAATGAAGTTAAAGGTAAAATAAACACATTTTTATAATTTCAATACCAGTGTTGTTGTAGAAAAAAACTATAGCAAACCCAGCAAGCTTATGATCACTGAAGCAAGAAGGCGGATTGAGTGACTTTTCTGAGGCAGAAATAAAAATTCAATTTGTGTTATTCTTGGGGTCATTTACAGAAACTTATCAATCCCTAAATCAGTGGTTGTAAGCATGGTTATAATAACATCATAGTAAGAGAATAGTGGATTATAGGAATTCTTAACTAATGTTAGTTTCCTCTGGTCATTGTTGCAGACATTATGGCTGCAGACAAACAGCTTGCTAAAGAGATTGAGTTTGACCTGAGAATGTTTGAGGAGCAGCAGGCTGAACTTGAGAGACAGAGACAACCAAGATCTGGGAGTAGCACACCTCAACAGGTAGAAACACATATAATATAACATAGCTTGAAATCACGTTGAAAATCCATTGAAAATAACCTTGCACCAAGTTACAAATCTCATAATAATTTTGCTGCTTCCAGTTGGAAAATCCATTGAAAATAACCTTGCACCCAGTTTAAAATCTCATAAAAATGTTGCTGCTTTCAGTTGGAAAATAACCGACTGGTAACTCCTTTTCTGTAAGCAACCCACACAACACCACTGAGAATTGACGCAATGAGGACCTTGGAAATTGTGTCGACTCCAGTGTGACTCTCTTAAGGCTCAAATTTCATAATCCTGCCAACTCCGGTTTTCTCTGTGACCTACACCTGGTGTGCATTATAAAGGTTGAAGGTTCTTTTCTGCTTGCCATACACTTCTATACAATTCTCTTAATGTTATATTGATTTAAGGTCACTCCAAACCAGTCTCCAAATCCTACTAAGCCTAAATCTCCAGGTTTAGAGAAGTCTCCAAAAGATGGCGCCACAGTACCCATAGTGCCACCTGGAATAAGAAGCCTTGGGTCACCTAAATCAATTTCTAATACACCAGGAAGGTAAGGAGTCTTTGTGTTATGTCTATTTGTCAGAACTGTTAACTTCAATAGACTAGATGCGAGTAGAAAAAATCTTGATTTACACCATTAGGTACTCAAAATTCAGTCAAAGCAATGTTATATTTTAAATTTTGTTCATGTTCTGAGAATTTACACACAACAGAAAGAAGAAGAAGCTGAACATAATACTAAACTGAGAGCTGAACAAGCTATGTGTAATACATGGGGGAAACATACCAAAAATCAAAATGTTCAATATATACTGCAAAATACAAAGGTTAACAATGAAGTAATTGTACTACAAGATGTATTTCATAATTCAAAAAGACTTCTAACGCTTTTAGAATTCAATGACAAATTCCACAGTAATATTAATTTTTTAGACTATTTGAGTCTAAAAAACACTATTCCAAAATCTTGGCTAAGAGACGTCATGGAGAATAATCAGAATATCACTGATTATGAAAGAAATAAAGCACACGTACAAAAGTTCCTTACTCAGTCAAAGATTAGTAAAATAATATACTGGGAATTTGTTCAGAATTTAGAAAAGAATTCAAAATATATAGAAGGATGGAATAAAGATCTGAATCTGTCACTCAATCAAAATGATTGGAAGAAGATAAATAAACTTAACAAACTGAGTAACTATGAACCTAAGTTATCATCCTTCACTTATAAAGTCCTTCACAGATTTTTAGCAACTAATACATACCTAAAAATGTGTGGACTCGTAGAGTCAAACATTTGCACTTTTTGTAAAGCAAATCCTGAAACGATTTGCCATCTTCTGTATGAATGTACTATTGTAAGTGCCGTATTAAATGACATTAAACAATGGCTTCCTTTAGAGCTCACATTGCTATGCACTAAACAAAATGTATTGATAGGACCTGAGAGTATAAATGAGAAGACAATCATCTTAAATAATATGCTATGTATTTTTAAAAGGTATGTTTATTTGTGCAAATATTCTATGCTAAAACCAACACTTAAAGGTTTTATAAGTAATGTGAAGGAATATTTTATCATGGACAAACGGGTTGGCAGAGGCGATAAGTGGAAAATCATGGAAACAAAATTAAACAAATGAAACTGATGATTTTTTCCTTTAAATAAATAAAAAAATGCCAATGGTATAACGTCTCTTAAGACGAAATATTTAACCACTGTACTGTATTGTAAAATTGTTAAATGTAGGTTTACCATGTAACTGTACTGTAATTGTTTTTTGCAATTGCTTTAACATGCTTATTCTTTGAAATAAAAAAATTATAAAAAAAAAAAAAAAAATTTAAATCTACATGTAAAAGTACATCTAGAAATATGGTTTCGAAAATTGTTTATCAAGTTTGAAAATTTAATTATTTTTGAAAGTGTGACTTCTAGTTCGGGTTGATTCTCCATAGAGCCCATGTTACAAAATCACAAAAAGTGAAATATCTTTTCTTGTATTGGTCAGATAACGTTTTCATTTACTGGACATATTTTGATTTGCATAACTATTAGATACATAAGGGTTATATGAAAATTGAACAACTGAAACAGATGTAGTTTAAGTTAAAGGGAACTTTCTACTATACCCGCCATGTTATCTGACCCGAACGAGCCACCTGGTGGTGAAACTGGGAACTACCTACTCGCATCTGCATTATTAAAAAATAGATATCCACCCTACCCTAAACTGCTCACAGGATGGGCCTGTCACGTGGTAGTAGAATTATACATGGAGTGTTTTCATCATCATGTAGTTTCAGGTCTTAAGAATAAAATTCACTATGATGTAATAATAACCCTTTCTGTGTGTTTTTATATTTGAAAACTGGAATTTCATATTTTCTAGACCAATGTCAATGTCCACCCTTGCGATTCTGAATTCTGCGCGAAAGGCAATGGAGGTTGCTAAGCAGCGAACTGAGGGGAGAACTTCTCCAGCTGCTGGTGGGTCCCCCAAGGCCACCCCCAAGGATGTGATTGCTTCACCCAGGCCAACCACTAGGTCACCCCACAGGATATCCACGGGAAGTCTGAATAAGGAGAACAGACAAGTGAGAGGCTTTTGTTTCTTACATCTAATTCACAGCCATATGAATAATATTCATTTCCTCATTTTTAATACAGTTCTGTGGGTTAGCTACACAAAAGTGGTCAGTTTTCTGGTAGATGACAATATGTACAATTCTGGAGCATTGGGATAGACTTATATTTGCAATATTTTCTTTACTTCAGGACTCATTTAAAACCCCTTCAAGGCCAAACACAAGGGCAATCAGTACCCCTTCAGGCATGATAGGGAATATCACATTTAACCCAGCAGAGATGACCATGCTTCCCCCTTCGCCTATTGCCAGGGAAGGCCCACAGAGGATTGGTATCAGCTCTATGGATAACATAGGAGATAGAGGTATGTGATGGGTGTGGAAAATACATTTGTTTATATGTTAAGGTGTGGAGTGAGAAAGGGGGACTTCAATAAAAAATAATTTTGAGAGAAACTTATATGACAGTTAAAAAACTGCTACCTTCAGATTACAATGAGTAAGTTATAGATTCAAAAATGCAAAAACTATTCCATGAGAATGAAAGATATCAGAAAAAATTTATTTTACTGGCAAGACAAGTTAGACGACAGATCATAATATTAAGGGAATTGAAAAATGCTAAAATAAAGTCAATAGGAATATATCAGGAAAATGTCTCTGTTCCAGTACCAAGCAGTCCCATGGTAACAGGGATCAAGAGATCAGAGAAAGATGGCAAAGAAGTAGACCTTATCTGTATGTTCTCTCCAGATAAACCCAGCCCTAAGCCCCGTCAATGGAACATCAGACCTCCTGTAAGTATACCAATACACAGGGAGAACAGTATCATGATTTTCAATAATAATATATTAAGTGTCGCCCATGTCTCAGTAGGTAGGCAGGTGGGTAGATAAGGCAAAATATGACAATATTGTGATGACTGTCAATCTTATTTCAGTTGATGAAATATAATGACGATGTATGATGTGAGTTGAGTTAACATTATCACACAAATTGATAAGCACAAACTATGAATTGAAATGATTGTCTAAAAATGCTATAGCATCTTAGGGATAATGCTACATACTGTGATGGCTAAAATGAAAAATCCATCAAATTCTTCCAAGCATATCCGAAATCAGATCAGGTTTAGATTTTATTTTCATACAAAGAAACATCCTTGAAATTTCAAACCGATCCTTTTTGTTTGTCGAGTTTTCCAGTTTGTCATTCTTATTCCATATTTTTGCAGAGTTTGGAGAAAAAAGCTGCAAAACCTATCAAAACCGACACAGATGATTCAATAACTGATGATGTGGAGTTCTCAACACTTACACGAAAGTCAACTCGCAGTAAAACGCGACACAAAAAGAAATAATCTGAACAATTATTTTTAAAATGTTAATTGTTATGAACATTGTAGGAGATGTAATTGTGAACTAAGCTAGAACTTAAAAGGTTGGTTTTACTCCATGTACTCCACCTATTTCTTTGTTATTCCCATTGTGTTGAAAAAATATTCATCATTAGTAAATATTTAATTTGACAGTAGCCTTGGCTTCTAACCAAAATAATCTGTATGTGATCCATATGAGATCATCTGGCATGGTCAAGCACTTAAATTGTTGCAGGGGTTCAGAAAACTCAATGTGCAAGTACATGTATAACCAGTTGGCAGAGAATGGCTAATAATGTTATTTTGCTTATTAAGTTCAACATTATAACACTGTAACAATGTATGCAATTATTTAGAAAAAAAGTTTTGTTAATGAGATACTTATGACAAATCTGTGAATTTAGTTGTTGAGATTAATCAATAATCATGAAATATTTATTGACTGCATCAATATTATTGGTTTATGTAGGATACTAGCCTAATTAACATAATAATTATCCACATCTTTCATTTTTGTTGATTTTTATGTTCAATTGAGTGTTTATGAATATGAAAAGTGACTACCGGATTTTCTCGCATATAAGCCCCTGGGTTTATAACTGAAAGAAGGGGTAATTTCGTCTGTTATTTTACCTCTTATTTTTCGCCCATGGGCGTATAAGTGTACTACTTTCGATTTTTGACCCATGGGCCTAAATTTAGGGGGGCGTATATGCGAGAAAATCCGGTATCACTTTCATATAGTTACAGTTATCTCTCTTAAAAAACAAAGAATTAATTCATTTCAATAACCATAATAAGAATTACCGTATGTAGGCTACTACATGTACTAATATACAATGTAATATGTTGGCACGGCAATAAATGAATATTTATAATGTAATGTATGCAACAGTTGTGTTATTTTACTTTTTGCCTTTTAACGTAATATGATAAACTATAAACTAAAAAACGGCAACAAAATGTTCCTAAATCTGTTCATGTCACAACCATTTATTCAGCACTCTACGGTCGATTTGCAGATAATAAGATAGACATTGAAGATTTATCAGATCGGGAATTTCAATCGATTTAAGGTTTTTGGGTTACCATTTAATATAGTTTATAAAGTAGCTGTTTCCTGAATGGACTGAGGGTTTCGCTTTATCCCCACTGATTACTGAACTCCATTTGATGGGACAGTAATAGTCCGTGAGGGAAAATCAAGATTTGTCTGGAAATTACACCTAAGTGGCCTTGAACTTGCATGGAATGATAAATCCCAATGGTACATTAATTCATATTCACTGGTGATCCGCTCGATTACGCTGGTTACTGAAACAGTAACAAAATGTCGGAACGTCGGAGGTACGATTTTTCTTTTTTCCTTATTTCACGCATGTTTTTTCTCACAAACGTGTATCAGTATCATATGTTTTAGAAAATGTACATGTTTGAGAAAGATTAGCTCAGAATACAACAGAATCGTCGATTTAATTCCTCACTTAAGTTACAGAAACGATTTGGGTTAAAAGTGCAGATCTTAATTGTTTTTCGAAATACCGTTTCTGTAACTTAAGTGAGGAATTAAATTGACGATTCTGTTGTCTTCTGAACTATTTGTTCGCAAATATGTACATTTTCTTAAACATATAATACTGATACACGTTTGTGTTAAAAATGTCGTAGGAATTCTGCCTACAACGTGTGAAATAAGGAAAAAAGAAAAATCGTACCTTCGATGTTCCAACATTTTGTTACCGGTCCGAAACGGTACCAGCGTAATCGAGTAGATCACCAGTGAAATTGATTTTAGGATAAACATGCGTAGTAGAGACACTCTAGCACAAGCCACAGGGAATTATGGTTCTATTTTTAAGATGGTTAGAAAAACATTATTGAGATATTAAAATGGAGAATCGTAATTGTCTACCTATTGTATTTAAACAAAACTAAATTGGGTGACACCAGTTTCCTATCCATTCTTTCATGTTTATGAGATGAGATTTACTGTAGCGAGGTATATAAGTAGCCCCTATGCTATTAATAATATCTTCACAGGTCTCTAAAAGTTGAAAACCTACATATAGCTTTAGCTTAAAAAGCTCAGATGGTCGTGTATATGCATCAACCATGAGTGACAGAATTAACATTTCAGATGATTCAATGCATAAATCAAAATAAGCATCGAATCAATATTAAAGCAATTTATTATATAAATTTCATAATAAACTTCATAATAAATACATAATGCAATAAACAGTTTGCAAATATGATGATGAATATCAAAGATTTAAACAAATAAACTGTCAAGGGATGTATGCTCAATGAATACAACTCAGAAATTTCATGAAAACCTTTGACACATTCAACATACAACTCCATGAATGAACTCCTATTCAAACAATCATGACCAATTTTTGTGACTGAGTCCTCTAATGTTGTTTTGAGTAACTGAACCAAGACCCACAAATCTTGAAAAGTAACACAGTGTCCATAAAGTCTCTAAACTTAACACAGACTTTGTATTGCAATTTATGGACACCATGTATATATTTCGATTGCAATATCCACTATTTGATGAATGTCTTGACTCACAACTCCAAAGTTTTATTTTTACATCTATTTCATTTAATCGCAAGTTAACGTGCAACAGTTCTTGTCGGAACCTTGTCTTTGTTATGTCCTGGTCCAGTTGGCTTCGAAAGAATTCCCCCTGAAATAGAAAATGTAAAAAATGAGTAGAAAAGATTTACCAAATAGGACAATGTATGTTGAAATGCTGCTTTTAAAATCAGAGTGTTGATTTGCTTGAAATGCATTGGAAAAATTAGAATGGAGGTAATCATATATGAACCTATTGTAAAAACACCTTTTGATTGAAAGGGAATGATTGATTTCTTAATTTTACCCCTTGGTGATGAAAGGGTTAATATCTAATTTTGCATTCAGTGAAAAATTCACAGTTCACGAGATTGTCATGTAACTTTAACCTCTTGAATACCAATAGAGACAGGAAACCTCATCCCTACCTATCCAATTTCATGTTCAAACTACATGTTCTAAAATATATATTATAGGTCTACATTTACTAAGCATACAAAGCTGAACATTGCATATTCAAACAAGGCATTAACATGCAAAATGTCATAATCTGCCATTTATAGCAGACACCAATTGTTACAGATGCTGACCGCTGCACATGTACTGCTGCATGCCAAACACCAACTGCCATCCACAAAAAAACTGGAGACTACAATAATATGTTACCACTTGAAACGTGTGGTGTGGACATAAATATGGTGAAAGCAGCAATTTGAAATCAATGGTATCCAAATCTTTAAAGGCTCACATCTCACTCCATATACTTACCTTCATTTGTTTTAGTTCCTGGTACTTTAGGAATAATCCTGGTCTTTGAGATCGGAGCTTCTTTTGCATGAGCAGAATTTGCTCTGGACTGAGCAGATGTAGGTCTGGACTGCGCAGATGTAGGTCTTGACAGAGCAGATGTAGGCCTGTTGGAACCAGCTGTGGTTTTGGGTGGAGGGGCTGTAACAGGCCTGTTGCTATTTCTGAAATGAAATCTGAATCTTAATACAACAAATCAATACACTTTTTTATCTGGACCTATTTAAACAAAGCATTAACATGCAAAATGTCACCAACTGCCATTTTTACAGACACTGAACGCTGTTACAGACAGCGATTGGAAACTATAACAATATGTCAACACTTATGGTTGAGACATCAAAATGATATATTAAAATATTCTGATCGATTTCATCATAATTTATGTCTTTCAAGTAAGATGCTCTGATATGACCTAGATATATCAATTAGTTAGGTGTTTCCCATGAAGTTTTCAGTCAAAAAATGACATTTCAAAATTGCATATAAATTGACAAACCAATGAGGAATTTGCAACTTGAATTTCTGTTGATACAACGAGGTGTTTATTTCTTTTTTAAAAGCAAAATGCCCATGAGCCTTTATAAATTAGGAAATATTGATTTCCCAAGGGTGTTAGGCATTTATAAAAAAGGGAAGATTGATTTTCTAAGCTAATAACTCAGATGCGAGTCGGTAGTTACCAGTTTCACCACTAGGTGTCTCATTCAGGTCACGATATGGCTGCTGCCAACCAAAGATATTCCCATACTCTCAATTCAATACAACCTTAGTTTGCTGACATTTAAACTGATAGATGATATGAATTGAAATCTGATGGTATGTAAAAATATACAACACAAACCTAATTCTTGGACTGTTAGTCTGTAGCGGTTTAAGAACTTTCGACATGAGGTGGCCATAGTTTCTCTTAATTGCAGCTCTGTAACATAATTACAACATCAATGTCACATTTTATTTCCTCATCAATGAGTGAATACAATAATCATAATCAGATCATTGTGTTCTCTGTTGTAAATGGATACAATACATTTAAAGTTTTTCAATGATATGAGTTGTTTATTAACAAACATACACAGGGAAAACATCTACAGTTTTAAGTAGACTCGAACAATCTCAACACTTTACCCCATGTCAGTTTTGCGTCTTTTAGGACTTGATGTTGTTGGTGGGGCAGTTCTAGGGCGGGACAATGCATTCTGGGAGAAAACTGCCTCCTCTGCAAGCTGCGCTTTCTTCTTCCTTTCCATTGCTTTCAATGTTGCAGCACTAAGCCGCTTGTCTCTTATTGCCTTGGAGGTCTTTGATTGGTGGACTGCATTGAATTCTTTTTGTAGTTTTTCTTGTTCTAAGCGACGCGATTGGTCGATGAGCGACATCTTCTCAGGAATAGATATCTCGAAGAAAATATCATAGAATTCTAACATGGCGGCTTGAAGCTGAAAAATAAAAAAATCTAAAATCTTCAACAAAGCATGAGTTTAAAGAGGCAATGGTCATGTCAAAAAGTTTTTTGAAACTATTGTAGTAAACCAAAAATTTGTAAAACCAGGGAATATCAGTATTACTGGTTAAGAATCAATTATAACTGATCCAGTCATGGCATTTTCCTACAAAAGCTATCGATGTACAGGTGAATGTGTAAGATTTTATACCTGTGCTAAGATCCTATCATTAAGAATTTTGTCCTGACGAGAATACACTCCTTTCTTAATAGGTGTCTCTGCCTGAAAGTTCAGGGCAAACTCTGCCGTGTCACGGATTGTTTTTATGGTGGCCTGAACTTTTTCCGTTCTCAGTAATCTTCTGGTCAAGTAACCTTTCACAGCAGCAGATAATTTACAGAATCCGCGAACAATGTTCTCTGGTAAATGCTGCAAGTAAGTTAATGGTTTTTAAAATAAGTGGATTAGAAAACTTAGCCAAGGGGTCAAATGACAACTGCAAACCTAGAAATATGTGATTTTTCTTCCATTCAGTGCTCTTTCAATTTTTTAGGATACTTAATAAATAAAAGAGTATTGTCTTGCTTTGTGGGTCGTATGCACCTTTGTCAGAACATAAAAACTCACTTCATTTGTGGGTAATACATTCCTCCTGTGTAGAACTGGTCTAGTAGGTGGACTCACAAATTGATTTCGTGGAGAAGTGCGAGCTTTTCCTGGACTTGACTTTAAGCTTACTGGACTCGATCTAACTCTTGGGCTTGTGGAAGTTCCTATACATTCAGGAGTAAAATGTTATTTATTACTAGCATTCTGTTATTTGCAGTATTTCAGATCACATTCACAGAAAGAAAATTAAATTCTTGGATCTTTAGGAACAAATACAAAATAATTAACTTTCCTGCAAATCTTTGTTGTGATCAATATCATTTAAAAACATGTTACATGTATTTTATCATATTTTGTATTTTTTGGTGATAATTTGGGGTGACCTATCATCATGAAAATATGATATTTGACTTGAATTAAAAAAAAATAAAAAATAAAAGTAATTTTTCCTTACTTTTAGGTGTATCCTGTTTATTTTGTACATTTTGTGGACTTTTTCTGCTTTGGTTCATTGATCCTAACTTTGTTCTTTGTTGCTTAAAGCTTTGTTCCTGAGCCAACAGCTCTTTCTGGAATATCTCCTGTTGTTTTTGCTGCTGTTGTAGTAATGTTGCCAGCTGTAGCTGCTGCTGTGCAACCAGCTGTTGAGATAGTTCTTCAAAATGTTCAGCTTGTTTTTGTAACAGTTGCTCCTCTGTTAAGTCTTCGTGTAATTCTTGGTTAAATTGTAGCGCTTCCTTAGACATCATATCAGGGGTTGACATTTCAACTCCAGGGGTCTCTAAATTTATATTTGGGGTTTTCATTTGTATATCATGGGCATCTATATACTGCATTTGATTAGCTGTTGGTGGTAACTGACTCAGCTGAGAAAGGTACATATTTAAATGTTCTTGTTTGGCTTGTTTTTCTTTCGACTTATCCAGAGTTGATTTTAGAATAGGTTTATATTGTGTTGACACCTCACTATGTTCATTCAATGAATCTTTATCAATCTGATTTTCATACTCCAGTTTCCGTTGAACTGATTTGGATCTGTTACTCATGTTAATGTCCTCTGGGCTAGTACCACTGGCCCTTGACTCTGCATATGCTACCAATGCTGGGGAAGGGTGCTCGAGATTGTAGGAACCACGTCGAAGTAGTGACCCTTTATTGTGATTGGCCAGGAGTGCTGGAGAGGGATGGTCTAGGTTGTATGAGCCACGTGGATCAACTGGCCCCATTAATGGCTGAGCTTTATCTCCTACTTTAGGTGTTATTGTCTGTGTATCACTCATTTGTGATGTATTAACCTGGCAACTTGGTAAAGTCATATGGCTGTTAAGTGTATCTGCATAATTCGAAGACCCCATATCAGTACATTGAGACCCCTTCATATACTGCATTATATCAGTACTAGCTGTAAGGCTCATATCACGGGTTGTCTGTACAGAATTCTGGACATCAGAATTTTTGGACACCTCAAGATGTGCTTGTGATGTGTCTTTGTTTGGCTCATTATAAGCAATATGTGATACATCAGGGGTCTTGCTAGGTCCAGGACTAGGGAGGGTGTGGTATTCACCGAAGAAGCTAATGGCATCACTATCACATATGGTGCTCGCTCTTACACTTCGGTCATCAATGTCAGAGTCAACCCCACTGGCGCCATCTTTCTCCATTTTAAGCCCATTATTTGTTTTTCCAGAATTTTTGTCCTTTCCTGGATTAGTCTGTTTAATCACTAGAGGGGCTGTTGATAAATTGTCTGTTTGGTTTTGTCTGACCTCTGAGTTGTTATTCAGAGAATTAGATTCTTCAATCATTCTACTTGTATAACCAGAATCTGAAATTATTTTAGGATTCTGCTCATGAGTTTGTACAGGAGGCAAAACATCTTTCTCCAGTTCTTTTTTATTGCTATTATTCTCAGAGTTTTTCACATCATTTAAAGATGTCAGCACCTGATTGTTTATATTCTGTAAAAGACTGGACTGATCTCTAGTTATCACAGTTTGGTTTAAACCACTGTTTGAGCTACTAGTTGTGGAGGAACTTGAAGTGGACTTCATGGTCTGGAGACCTTCCTCTGTTACATCCTCAGCAGAATTTGGAGCTTTCTTAATCGTTACAGTCTGATCCTTTAAGAGATCTTTTCCATTTGCAGAATTTTCATCAGCAACCGGTCCATTTCCAGATTTCTCACTTTTGATTTCTTCTATTCTTGAATTGCCATATGTAGCATTTTTATTTGTGATATTTTCATTTGTTAACTCGACATTTTGTAAATTCTCTGTCACATTGTTTAAATCTAAATCAGTTTGCTTTGGTTCTGTATCTACATGCTCTTCAGTAGTTGCACTTGTAGTATCCAACTTTTTATTGTCCAAGTTTTCTGCAAGTGAGAGACGTGTTGCAATGACTGCAGCAACTACGTTGAAGTTATTATTGGGTTTGGCACTTTCATTGATTGATTCTAAAATGGCTTCATATGCAGGACTTTTAATTCTCGAACTATGTTCATCAGGACTGTTTTCATGTGGACTTTGTTCACAAGGACTTTGTGGACCTGATTGTTCTATTGGTTCCGTGTCTGATTTGTTGATCTCTAAACTTGGTAGTTTTTGTGAGATTTTATCATTTTCTGAAAAATTAAACCAAAAAGTATATTACATATGGATACTAAGTTTTATTCAGTAAATACTAGTCCTAAATGAAATACTACTTGGAACTCAACACACTTTTTTGCCCAAAAATCACATTTTCACCATTCTCATTTTTCGTATTCACCAGCCTTGATTTAGTGTGCTTGATTTCACAAAGTGCCATGTATGTATATGTGCATGTTTAACTATTAAATATTCGGGAAATAAAATTGATTTGAAATTTAAAGACAATAATTTCTTATTTTATTTTATTTTTTTATTTTTTATTTATTTATTCATATATATTTCAACATCAAATGTACAGTAAACGGGTGACACTTCTCGTGTATTATTCTTGTAACTGTACAAGTTACTCTTATACTTGTAACTGTACACAGGGTGAGAATAAAATTCTCATAATTTAATAGGAATTTAATGAGATTCATTTACTCTCATGAAATAAACTTTACATGTATTTACCACATTTACAAGAAATAATATTCAAATCAACATAAAAATCAATTGCATGCCCCTGAATCAATAAATCATTTTTTGTATCCATGTTTACCTTTATCAGGCTCCTTGGGGTCCTGGTCCTTGTACTCCTGCTCCTGGCTCCCATGATCTTCCTCGGGAGAGTCCAGCCTAGGGCTTGTACTTGGTGTGCTTCGATCCTGAAATAGAAAATGTTTCAATGGCTACAATAAAATGAGTTATGGGCTATATAACAGTAATTAGTTACAAACAAAACTTTTGGGTCTCAGGGCTACTCTTAAGTTATGATAAAATTTTAGTTTTATATTAAGGGATATATAGCTAGTTAGGGATAACCTTCTTGATAATCTTTTCAAACATTTCAAAACATGAACTTATAAAATCCATGTATGAGGAGTAATAATACATGACATGCATACCTCCATATCATTCACTACTGCCTGCACCTTGGCCACTAGACGTTCACGTTTGCGTGCACGTAAACGAGTCTCAGCAATAAGAGCCTGATGCTTGTGTAAAGTCATTTCTTCACGTCTCGCTGTTGTCATCTGGAGAATACGAATTAAATCATATATAATCATAAAATACATATATACAGTAAAACTTGTAGTAGTGGAACACTTCAAGTGTAAGCTATTTGCAACCTTTTTTGTTCAATGGACCTCTGTAAGTGGAACACCTTCCAAGTGGAACACTTTTAGAGGTACCAAAGGTGTTCCACTTACACAAGGTGTTCCACCTTAACAGGTTTTACTGTAATGTATTTGAAAATGTCATCTTAGCAACTAGTACAATTCTAGTTATTAATTCTACTAATTTGCAAATAGTTATGCGTATACACATATATTGTGGCACTTTGAGAAATCAAGCACACTAAATCATGATTGGTGAATACAAAAAATAGGAATGGTGAAAAAGTGATATTTGGACAAAAAAGTGTACAATGAGTTCTTAATTTTTTTTAATTAGTTTAAAATATTGCAGAAAAGCATTTTGTAAGTGTTTAGGCCTTATCAGTTATTGTTGATTAATACACTCATTTGACATTGCCTTTAAAAATATATTATATTACACTTAAACATTTAACTTCTAATACTGGTAACTGGTTAACCTTACTACATTCTTAATCACAAAACAAGTTAAAGAACTGAATATAGTGAAGGTTTATTGTAAAAATGACTGACTAAACCAAACAAACCGATAGGGTGACTGTTAACATTCTTTAGCTATATATTCAAATGAGTTCTGAGAACTGCTTTTAATAAAAATATACAGAGAAGCTAGGCTTATTTATAAGCATAAAGTAAATGTATCTGAATTCATTGAATGGTTATACATGCTATAGCGCTAGGCAGTAGACATAGATTCAAATGAGTTCTTAGAACTATTTAGCATAAAAATATACAGAGACCGAAGCAGGAGTCTATCTTTAAACACATAAAACCATCGTAAATGAATGAAACTATCTTCTAACTGACTTATACAAATCTTTTTGTTGTCAGCGGGTAATCACTTATCTCGGATAACATTGACTAAATAGGAGTTACCATAAACTTGTTAGTGAATCTTATTTAACATTGACTAAATAGGAGTTACCATAAACTTGTTAGTGAATCTTATTTAACATTGACTAAATAGGAGTTACCATTAACTTGTTAGTGAATCTTAATTAAGCAAGTTAAGAGGACAAAAATTCAACAATATGGCATCATATGCTGGAGATCGTAACAAAGGAAGCCCTCACTTGTGGATTGTGTAAGGACATATTGACTGAACCAAGGTTACTGCAATGTATGCATGTTTATTGCCTAAAGTGCCTACAAAGTCTGGTTGATAAAAGTAAGCCTGAGGGAGGAAGTATCAACTGCCCAGAATGCCGCCATGAGTGTATTTTACCACAAGAAGGGGTGGGACAGTTCAAGGTGAGCCCTACAATTACATTCTTGTTAGATGCCTATAAGGACAGTAACCAGACCGAAGAGCCTGAATGTAGCACGTGTCGTGATAACCAAGAGAAGCATACCCCAGCTACTACTCAATGCCTTGACTGCAACAAAAGGTTGTGTGCTACTTGTCGTAAGTGGCATGATTCATTTTCTCAAGGTCATAAAGTATTTGACCTCACTGGAGATAAAGCAAGTGACCTTCAAACAGCACTACAGTCCATAAAGGAGCGCAGTGTGTATTGTGAACTTCACCCAACCAAACCGAAGGAACTCTTTTGTAAAGTTGATCGGGTAGTACTTTGTCAGCTATGTTACTTGATTGACCATGCCGGCCACGATTGTGAAGGCATTAACCAAACAGCCAACAATAATATCAAACCCATGGGTGCACTCATCACACAGGGAAAGGAAAGGTTGGACTTGTATGAGCAGGCTATTAAAGAAACACAGGCCTACAAAGATGAACTAGAGAAAAATGCTGAAAATGCTACAGCTGCAATTAACAATAATATGAATGTTCTGATCCAAGCAGTTCGTGCCAAGTGCAAATCCTGCATAGAGTTGGTTAACAAAGAAAAGGAATCCAATGTGAAGCAAGTTTTGTCCCACCTTGGCCACCTGGAGCTTCAGAAAGCCATTACTGAGAGTCAAGTCAACAAGTACTGCACCATGGTAGAGCATGGCCACCCAGTAGAAATAGCCAGCCTGAGGGACCAGATCAATAAGAAATCAGAGGAGTGGTCAAAAGAACCAAAGCTTGACTTTAATACCAGAATTAATATCAAATTCATAGATGGCAAAGTTGATGAAAACAGTCTGGAGTTTGGTAGAGTACGAGTAGAAAAGGTACCTGGAAAAGAAGAGCTGAAGCCCTTGTGTGAGCCCTCAGTAGAACATAGAAAAGTACTAGCACATTATGCATTTGATATAACTGTTACTCAAACTGGTGATAATGTGATGACAGGTGTGAATGCAGGAACATCCAAGATATATGACAGAAGCTGGAAGTTGATTAAAGACTTAGGAAAGAACTTCTCACAAGTAGCATTGACAGCTGATAATCATCTGGCATTTACAGATCATTCAAACACTGTCTACATGTACCTTCAAGATGGCACCCACAAGAGAAATATAGTATGTAAAGACATATCAAAACTATGGGGCATAGCAATGAACAAATCATCTGGGAACCTAGTGGTGTGTGATAGAGGAGCTAAGAATATATATCACATTGATCCTGCTACAGGTGAAATCACAGGCCAAGCCAAACCAGGCACATTTAAAGATCCATTATTTGTATCATATAACAGCAAGGGTGTGGTCCTTGTGGCCGACTTTGGTGCACATTGCATAAAGGGACTTGACCAGGAAGGTAATGAGGTGTTCTCGTATGGTGAGAAAGGAAATGGACATCAGGAGCTGTCCCAACCTCATGGGATATGCACTGATGCAGGTGACTACATATTTGTGGCAGACTATGGCAATGACCGCGTTCATCTACTTAACCCTGAGGGTGTCTTCATCAAATATGTTCTCACAAAGAAGGATGGTTTAAGAGAACCACATGCTGTTGCAATCAATGATGGCAAAATCCTGGTGGGAGATTTCAAAAATAAACTCTTCACTGTGAAATACAGGGAATAAGGTAAACCTTTAAATGACATTCATTGGACTGTTGAAAGCTTACGTTGAACTGAAATAAGAGAATGAAGCACATCAGAAAAACACAAAATCAAATACATGTACAATGAATAGACAATATGATGAGAAAGAACAGGTCCATTTAACAGACTATTGGTCAACTTAGACTTTTTCCAAAAAACTCATTCTTCCATTTACTTTCAAAACCGATTGCAAGTTGTAGATAAACCTTTTTTCTTGAGGTGTGCAATTTCAAAAATTGGCATTAGTTTTCAGTATCTTTGAAAAATTGGCAGTAAGAACCCATATCACAAGACTGTCTGAATATGACTACACACTTTGTTTACCATCAAAATAATATCAAAACTTATCATTACATAGAATTTATTATATGGAACATATGGCATACGAGCATTCAGAGTACAACATTAAAAAAATCAAGCTATGTATTAAGTTTACCAATGCAAATCTGGAAAACATTGTCATTTTTTGTTCACTTTGTTATCAAGTTTTAGCATGGTGCTCATTTCCTTTCATTGAAAATTTAACCCTCAGCCCATTCTCCCACAAAAAAGATATTGAAACTGTATAATGCAGAGACTGTAATGTAGCTTCTCTGCAAATATCATTGTTGTGGGAGTTTGGGCTCACCACTAAAACTCAACTTTTGTGATGAAAATTAGGCTGACTGGTTTATGTTTTCAATATGGCTGCTAACCTGGGCAAACATGTACACTACATAACTGCATGTACAGATTAGGCCATTCAAAATTAATTATATGTTGGCATTCTGATGAAGGGCCTTTATTTATTTAAAGGGTTTTATATATTATTTAATAGTGAAAATGCAATAACACATAGTGGAAAAGCAAGTAACACCTCTTTATTCAGATGACCTTGTTAATGAAGACAATACTAAAGCTTATATACATGTTACATGTAGTTTTTAATCAATCTTGGAACTCATTTCAATACAATATAATTCAAGATCACAATTCCCTCTGTCATTTATATGCATTACAAGTACAGAGTACATGGGGACATTTTGTTTTTTTCTGAAAACATAGAATTTAGTGAAATTAATTATAAAATTATTTTGAATGGCCTATTAAAGTGTTTTTCTGAACAGGGAATAAGTAGAAATTATTTTAGGCAATCTTTTGAGTGTCATGCCATTTATACATGATGCTGCCTTATATTTTATGATATATATTGAAATTCAAATATGGGAACTGTAAATTTGCAAATAACTTTAAAACTAAGTCTCCATACAGACATTTAATTTCAAATTCCAATGTAGATGCCAATGGGCATCTACATTGGAAATGCCCATGTCATGGGCATTTAAAATAATAATCACATCCCAACTCTTAAAACATGCTTATATTAGGATACTGATAGAGTCTCAAAAGGCAACAAGAACATTCATTTTTGAAACAGGAAAATTTAGTCCCCCCAAAAATGCCCATATGGGGATTTATTCTCAAGATTTTCATGTAATTGTCCGTGAGAATTTATCGAAAATATTTTTACTTCCATTCACATGTCTTGTTATCAGTCAAAATCAAAATTAAGCCAATTGCTTTCATTTCTTGTATTAGAAAACGGCAAAATTTTGACAAAAATAGCATCTTTCAAAGTTTACCTTTAAACCACCCTAATGTCAAGGTCAAATGTCTAAATTCTCAGAAATCACATTTTAAGTAATAAGTCATACTTCCTCTTCAATTCCATGTCAATATATACTTGTTTTGTAGGGGGGCTAAAAGAGGGGTTTACCGCCACCTGTCCTTTGTATTTGTAATAGAAATGTATTTTGATATAAGTAAATTTGGTAGTTGCCTAATGAAATGTGTTATATTAGATTACAAACATCTTAAGCTAAACAAACTAATGTTATAGTTCAATTACCATCTATTCATTTTAAGTACCGTATTAGCTGTGATTGGTGCCTGGGCGCTTAAAGTAAGTCAAAACAGTTCAAAAAGTTGTCCTTATTAGCGCCCATAAGAGTCCCTACTGAGAAAAATTGGAACAAGCCACAGGGTGAACAGAATCGCACCCTTGAACAGAATACACTTTTGCGGGATGGAAAATTCAAAATGGCCACGTTAACATTTACCCAGACTGCCTAAAAACTAATCAGTTCTAAACTTTCCATAGAAACATCTCTAAAATTTTAGGATGAATCCATGAAACCTGTGAACAACTCTCAAGAGACATGTTTTAAGGTATTTCTTCACAGTGAATCAGCTTTTTTTTATCGCACCTTAAGGTGCTATATTGTAATCAGTTTGCCTGGCGGTTGGGCGGGCGGTTGGGCGGGCGGTTTGACGGGCGAGCTCCCGAATAATCTTGTCTACAGGTTTCCAGCCAAACCGTTTGAGGGATTCATTTGAAATTCTCAGGACTGTTTCTACCTATGAAGGTTTAGAACTGATTAGTTTTTAAGGCGGCCATTTTGGATTTTCAGCCAAACCGTTCGAGGGATTCATTTGAAATTCTCAGGGATGTTTCTACCTATGAAAGTTTAGAACTGATTAGTTTTTCGACATTCTGGATAAATGTTAAGACGGCCATTTTGGATTTTCCATCCTAAAATCTTGTCTGTCAAAATGTTTGCAACCCTTCACCAATTATTCGCAAATTGAGAGTGGCGAACGTTAATTCGGAACTCTGTACACCAAAGTAGTTAAAAGTTACGTTACCCCCCTGTGATTACAACATGAACAGTTAAAACAAAAACTGAATATGGCATACATATACTGTACAAACAGTATACAATTATTGACCTCTCCAGAGGTTTACTGTCAAAATTATATCCCGAGACTGTAAACCTCGACCTACGGTCTCGGTTTACAGTCTCGGGATATAATTTTGACAGTTAACCGAATGGAGAGGTCTATAATTGTTTTGTTAGTCCGAAGAATATCTTAGATTTTTCTGACCCTTGAAGTTGACTTGAAGTTGGATCCAGACCCTCGAGACGTTCATGTTGTATTTCAGTATATCGGCAGTAAGTTCACTCAATGGAGTCAAATTACTCTCCTGGGCGAAGTCCACTAAAAGCTTTGTACAAAGTTTTAGATTTTTCTTCGTATATTGACTGTCTTTACTCTCTAAGAGACTAATAATATCCTCATCTTCAACATTTTTGAAACAGCTAGTGCTAGCGGCGGCCATTTTATCGTCTGATAATGACGTCATTTTAGTGGAATGCTGAGAATATTATTCACCGGCAATGCACTGCGCGGTGTACAGTTAAAATTATTCACCGCTCGTTGACCAATCAAAATCGAGTATTTCAACTGGGGTACTAACAATACAACTTTTTAACCCTTGTCCAACTGTGATCAGCAACTATCGAGAATGTATGCATTCTAATAAAATATTTCTAAATCAAATCAAGACAAAAGGAATTCCCAATGATTTATGTCCTTCATCTCAATATTTTATCAATGTTTAAATTATAACATTATGATAACATGGGCTAATTCAAAGAAATCCAAATGACATCGAGTGTAGAGTTTTGATTAAGAATATTGTCAAGAACCTTTTTGTAAATAGCCTTGGATGTCACATGACCTGGGTTTAACATTTGCTTCCAATATAATCGTATACAACATATTTAATATATTCAATATATCCAATGTCAGAGTGAGTAAAACATTGTCAATGTGAATGTGAAGAACTCCTCATACTTAATCTCCTTATCAATAATAGTCTTGGAACTTAAAGTTGGTAACTGGTATATTGTCTTGCAGTTCCCAAAATAAACAAGGCACAGACGTGAACAATATCGTACCTAAAACACAGCATTGTGGTCTTGTTGACCAAGAAAGCAAGATGGCCGCAGAAAAGTTAATCAGCTCTAGAACTTATCACTGTGTAACATATGTAAAAATTTGAACGGTTTGGCTGGAAACCTGTAGACAAGCCTCGATAGACAAGATTTTAGGACGGAAAATCTAAAATGGCAGCCTTAACATTTACTCAGAATGCCCAAAAACTAATCAGTTCTAAACTTTCATACGTAGAAACATCCCTTTCAGATGAATCCCTCAAATGGTTTGGCTGGAAAACTGTAGACAAGTCTTGAAAGTGAAGATTTTAGGACAAAAAATCCAAAATGGCCACCTTAAAATTTACCCAGAATGCCCAAAAACCAATCAGTTCTTGACGTTGATATGTAGAAACATCCCTGGAAATTTCAGATGAATCCCTCAAATGGTTTGGCTGAAAATCTGTAGACAAGTCTTGAAATTGAAGATTTTAGGACGGAAAATCCAGAATGGCCACCTTAAAATTTACTCACAATGGCCAAAAACTAATCAGTTCTTGACATTGATACGTAAAAACATCCCTGAAAATTTCAGATGAATCCCTCAAAAGGTTTGGCTGGAAACCTGTAGACAAGTCTTGAAAGTAAAGATTTTAGGACGGAAAATCCAAAATGGCCACCTTAAAATTTACCCAGAATGCCCAAAAACTAATCACTTCTTGACGTTGATATGTAGAAACATCCCTGAAAATTTCAGATGAATCCCTCAAATGGTTTGGCTGAAAACCTGTAGACAAGTCTTGAAAGTGAAGATTTTAGGACAGAAAATCCAAAATGGCCACCTTAAGATTTACCCAGAATGCCCAAAAAATAATCAGTTCTTGACGTTGATATGTAGAAACATCCCTGAAAATTTCAGATGAATCCCTGAAATGGTTTGGCTGGAAACCTGTAGACAAGCTGAAAAGTGAGACGCCGCCCGCCGCCTGTCAAGCTGACTACAATATCGTACCTTTTGTTAGATTAAATAAAAAAATTAGTACCGTGGGTACTGGGCTCACATGGTGACAGAAAAAAAACGGATATAATTTTTTGCTGATTTTTTGTAACAAAATTATTTCAAGCCACTTGCCACTATTTTGGACTGACTGAGAGACAGATGGACAAATCGGAGAAGAATGGCGACCATTTTGAAAATAGGCAAGCTTTTGAACCAAGAATCATAGGAGAGTTTTTTGTATTGATGTTGAACAAAATTAACTTAAAACGGGAATCCTATCGACAGAGGGTTAAAGGTAAATGATCCAAAAGTGGATTTTGCGAGACAGATGGACAAATCAATGTTAACCAAAATGGCTGAAAATAAAAAAATGGATATAATTTTTCGCTGATTTTTCGTAACAATATTATTTCATACATCTACTCTTTACATTGACATGGATTTTTACAATGTAGGACACTTGAAATTATTTGTAAAGCTAGGAAATGGGTCAAAAGTGAATTTCGCGGGACAAAAATGGTGGCCATTTTGAAAATAGGCGAGCTTTTCGAACCAGGAGTCATAGGGGTCTCAGTTTTCTGTATTGATGTTGAACAGAAATAACTTAAAACAGGAATCCTATCGACAGAAGTTTTAAAACGTGCCACTGTTATTGACGGAAAGTGGATTTCGTGAGTCAGATAGACAAATCAATGTTAACTAAAATGGCTGAAAATAAAAAAATGGATATAAGTTTTCGCTGATTTTTTATAACAAAATTATTTCACATATCTACCCTTTACATTGACATGTATTTTTATAATGTAGGACACCTGAAATTATTTGTAAAGCTAGGAAATGGGTCAAAAGTGAATTTCGCGAGATAAAAGTGACGGCCATTTTGAAAATAGGCGAGCATTTGAACCAGGAGTCATAGGGGAGTTTTCTGTATTGATGTTGAACAGTAATACTTAAAACAGGAAACTTATCGACAGAGGTTTTAAAACGTGACACCATTGTTGACGGACGGACGGACGGACAGACAAACAGACGGATGGACAGACAGACAGACAGACGGACAAGTGAGTGATTGCAAAAGCTCACCATGTGAGCTAAAAACCACAAAGAAAATATAAATATGTCTTTTAATCTTGTTGTTGAACTAGAAAATCTACAAAATTTAACATTTACTTTACTTGAGTTCAACTATCTAAGCAAAATAATAACAATTAAATCCTTACTTTAATTTGAACCTCCCTTAAAACATTACCATATGAGATGTTGAAGTAAAGTCCTTCAATGTGTTAACCTCCATAGTGAGTCGGTGACCCTGACTTTCAATTCAAGCATGACATAAATGTATTGACCAACCCAGTTTATCACTTATATAATAGTGTAGTTTATCTCAAGAAATATGATTTTGCTTTAAATCAAAAAAAGATGCTGCTGCTATTGAATTGCCTTTGGCAAAGATGAAATTGTAATTGTTCACCTTCTACAAAATAAAAAACTGAGAATGTAAAAATCCATATCTTGGTCAATCTAAGGAGGCAGGAGAAACATTTCATACTTCATAGATCATTTACCTTAAAAACTGACCCAAATTAAAAAATGTGTCAAAATTCCTGACCAATGCTAACTTACCACTGGTGGCAGAATGGGACGACCATTGAATCTGATGCTCGACTGGTGATGTGAATTTTGCCTTTGTGAACCAGAAAGGCTAAAATGACCAGAGGATTGCAGGACATCCAAGGCCTCCATCTGTGACTCCATATACAAGATCATGTCTTCAAGAACACCTAGGGAGCCAGGCTGCAACAGACGATAATATATGCGATATATTGGTGAACATCATATGAATAAAAGGGGAGTATATTACTATTAGATGTACAGTTTTTATACAGGGTGTTAAAAAACGCAATCCAAAGAAATTGCTATATCTTGAAAACAACTCATTCAATTATGTTTATTTTTTCAGGAAAGAAAGAAGAGACTGTGTATGTATAGCTTCAGTAGGAAAATACGAAAAAACGTAGTCATGGATGACTGCAACCGCAAAAAAACTTAATAACTTCCTAACCATAGTGTTTCGGCTCTATGGTAAATCTGTAGAGTGAAATCAAAATCACTTCAGGGACTTTACAGTCATGGTCGAAATGCTATCAAATCGCAGCCAAACACCCTGATTCAGGCAGACTTAAGAAGACATTTTGACCATGACTGTAAAGTCCCTGGAGTGATTTTGATGAAACTCTACAAATTCACCACACATTGAATGAGGATAATTTGTGCTAAATCTGAAGTGCCTGTGGTAGTCAACTCTGACTGCATTTTTCATATTTTCTTAGTACAACTGTCTTTTCAGCAGGTGTCTAAGGCATCATGTTTTACAACTTACTAACAACAGGAGCTATACATACAGAGTCTCTTCTTTCTTTTCCTGAAAAAATGAACATAATTGAATTAGTATTTTCCAAGATATAGTGATTTTCCATTTGCGTTTTTCGTATTTTCCTAGTACAACTATCTTTTGAGCAGGTGTCCAAGACATCATGATTTACAACTAACTAACAACAGGAACTATACATACACAGACTCTTCTTTCTTTACTGAAAATATGAACACAATTGGATTAGTATTTTCCAAGATATAGCGATTTCTTTGGGTTGCGTTTTTTTAACATCCTGTACATGGCTCTCAGCAGAAATTTTAAAACTATGAAGAAAAAATCAAGTTTTGTGTTTTATTCTGCTTAAAGATACAGGCCTAGTCATAAAAATTAACCTGCAAGATGATCTCTCATTGTTTTTTTTCTAAATGCTGAAGGATATCTACAAACTATGAAGATGTTAAGATTTTCAACAAAAGCAGACTTTGTTGGACATCAGTGGAGAAAATATTTAAACTAATACACTAATAAACAAGGCATAAAAATAGCCAAATGTCAACACAAGCAAATGGTTACACAACAAGTACAAATATCATTTTAGCAATACGAGTAATCTCCCTCAAAGAATTCTGTCCAAGTCTGCAGTAGGTCTTTGATCCATCTAGGTCACTACTCTACCTGGTTTCATCCAAATTGTAAAAACATATTATAGTTTTATAAATATGTACCCAAGCTCCCTCGACCCTTTTGTTTGTCCATTTTATGTTGTCTGCTTATTGCCTTACATGTATTGATACATAAAGACCTACAATGATGCATTGAATTAAGACCCTCAAATATAAATGGTAAATTGAAGTTGTTAAGATCAGGGTGTATGATGGGATATTTCTGCATTCCTCAATTGGGTTCAATCTCATTTTTTATACATTTTACAAAACAAATCTTCTCACAAGTCTTTTCTAGGCACATAAGTGTACTTTTTGTGCAAACTTGGAAGATGTAGACAATGTGGGGTAGGAGTAATTCTTCTTTGAAAAATAGGACCCACGATCCTGTGCTCACACAGTTTGGAACCTTCAGAGGAATGTATATCCTGACTTTCAAAGAAAAATATTGATTTGGATTTGTAGTCTCGAACTTTGAGAAACTTAGACAGCACAGTTGTGTGACCTAGTTTGATGACCTTTGACCTTGAAAATTTTACTTATTTAGAGCTCAGTAAGGTCTTATGTGATTAAGCTGACCAAAATTTACATCCAAAAATCAATTTGAAAAATCAACTTTTTTGACCTTTCAAAGGTCACTGAAGGTCAAGTAAAGGTCAAATCCTAAAACTAATGTCAGATTTGAACTCCTGGTAACTTGTAGATGATTTTCAAAAAAAAATTGGTCAAATTGAAGCAAATTGAAAAATATCTTATTTTTACTGTTTTTTGACGTCAAATATCGAAAAAATGGTAAAAATTTTATGCTGACATATATTGAGCAATATGTAGGGAATGCTTAAATCTAGTCATGATGTAATTCATTGCAAGAAATATACAGGAATATATAGCCGACCTTCAGCTCCATTGACTTCAATACAAATGCTTCACTAGGTATGTAATACAGATAATTAGATACATGACGAATGTGAGTGTTGTTGCGATTAGAGATCAATATCGCCAAAGGAGGAGCATGAATAAATCGATATTATATTCACTGGAGACTAAGATTTTCGACATCTAAAATGTCACTCGACTTTTTTGTGATTTTGAATCACAGAAAGCATTCAGAAGTTTCAAATTGGTGCCACGTTTAATTTTTGGCATCCGCCTAATGTATACCACTTACCTTTTATTGATTCTTTCATAAGTCTCATCAAAACTCAGTTTGACTTGAAGTATCTTTGTTGCCGCTCGATTTTTAAAAAAAATGTCCCTTTTCTAATCACCCGGATGTGCGGTTAACTTGGACTCGCCCAAAATGAGGGGTGTCAAACGCAAGATGGTAGAGATGAAGACATGTCGCCACTCTCAGAGAATCTATTCCATAATTTCAACATTACTACGCGGTTTTACAAGGACTGGACAAGATGAAAATAAATATTCTAAATAGATGACACCCCTTTCGACATAAGATGAACTGAACCTATCAGGTCACCGATTTCTTAGAAGAAATTACGTTAGAAAAACAAAAGCTCCGTAGAGAATTTTCGCTTGAAATGTTGAACAGCAAGCCCAGTTTTCTATGGGAATATACGGAAATTAATAGTTACATGTACAATATTACCGAGTTCTCTGGTGCATAAGTTAGGCGGTGGATCATTTTGTAAGTACGACAATGTGAATTCATGCGACTGTTATTTTTTGGAAGTTTTTTTGCAAAAAAGTCGAGTGACTTTTTAGATGTCGAAAATCTTAGTCATGTCGCGATGTGCATTCCTTGAGAAATAAGAAATTATCCAGGCCAAGGGCTAAGCTAGGCCAAAAGTCCCTTGGCAAGGGCCTTGTCTGGATAAATTTATGGACGCCTGTAAATCCTATACGGCATATGGTATATTATTGATGTTTGACCAATCAGATTTCAGTATTTGGTTCAGCCCTTGACAGAGAAACATTTTGTGATTGATCAATAATATACCATATGCCGTATAGGATTTACCATTCACCATAAAATTTATAATTTATTTCTCAAAGAAATTATAGGCCTACTCTACCACGGACGTCTAATACATTCTTCGAACGAGATACTAGATATCAATAACATTGAATTTGGAATCCCAATCTCCTTTCGCCAGAACATTCTCTACGACTGTGTACTCTACGTAATAAATTGAGAATGTTCAAACAAAATAAACAGCTTTAAAAGTTCCCTTGTGATAGAACAATACACAATTGTTACACAGGTAGTGCTTAACACAACAAACATAGGTCAAATATGTTAATTAAGTGAAGATTTACCATTCCAATATTGTTTTGGTCTCGCGCCATTTTAGTTGAATCTGGATTGTCCAATAGGAGTATGAGCTGAAACGGAATCTGACTGATAACGAAATCGAAAGTACACATTCCATCTTATATTCCCCAAACGTTTTCAATAATGATATTGTGTTATGAATAAATAAATCAAATTTCAAACTAATTTAACGTTTTAAGGGTTATCTTTTCTGTTTGTTTCGATGTTTAGAAACGAGTAAGTATCATTGTTAATAAATATAAATTAAAAATCAGACTGTGTTTTGTAATCAGAATGGCTTCCGCTGACAGTTTTGGATTTTTATTGAGACAGGTTTCTCGGGACATTTCACAACTGATATCTTCGACAAAAGACATTCTAGCAATTATAGGTGCTATTTACGCTGCAAAGAAAACGTTTGATATTTCATATGGAGCATACACATTGTTTAAAAACCATTTGCGTGGTCAAATATCACCCTTGAATTTGGAAAAAAGTTTTGGAAAATGGGCTGGTAAGCTTTTTTACAACTATGTTACAAAGATCACACTAGAATAGTACTTGCAGTAGCAAATTGAAATCTGATTATAGATTGGCAATATGGAGAGTGGAAGACATGGGCGTAGTGCCTGGTGCGCTGGGTACGCACAGGCGTACCAGATCATGCACACACGATCAAGATCATGGTGGCAAATTCGCTCCAAATACAACCAAATTTCAAAATTTTCTGCCGTTGACCCCACTGAACGCTCATTTTTTGCTTCACTCATTTGTTCCCGTGGTGGCGTACGCTATAACGCTATAACGCTATACCCATGGCAGATAATACTTAGTCATCATGTCACTCGCGGGTGTAATTAGGGGCCGAGGATGTGGACTTAGGGACTTAATATCATTCATCTAGGTAATTGTCAGCTTTTTGGTAAAGAAATTATCACTCTTCCATGCACAATAATGCTTCCATGTTCTCCATTCAGTTCTGTCTTCACATTCGATTCTCTGAATTATATGTATTCTGTAACATCGCTTATTATTTCATCAGTGAGAAGCTTGGATGTTTTTGCAATCCTCGTTTATGAAACCTAACATTAACTGTTAGTGTTATCTCTTATAATGCAGATAGAAGCACTAGAAATATCAGTAAGAGGGGACAAAGAAAGTTCAGACTGTGCCTTTAGAGTCTGTCCTTTAACCAAAAGTTTCACCAATCTCAAATTGCAACTAGGTGTTCACTTTATTCTTGGGTCCACAACTTCTCTATAATCAGAATATATGAACGGATTGGGGACAATTTGTGCCAGGTTTGCTATTTTGAAGTCATCCTTTTGTAAGGCTCATACATGTACAGAAATGTCATGTGCATTGACTGTCCCAGAACAGCAACCCTCCCCCATAAAAATGTGAGGGATTGTCAAGATCAAATTGATTTATAAATACATGTAGTTCATTGTCACCTGAGCTGTAAACTGTGTTGCGGCAAAAAATAGAGAATGTATTGTTTTGGATGCAAGCTTTTAAAAAAGCATGACTGTGTTTCCCTTGCAATCTTAATTTCATTTTCTGAAAAGAGGAATGAGAAATTTGACTACTAAATATGGATTGAAAAATAAAAGGGAACATCCACTAATCTTTCAAAATCAAAGCTTTATCATGACAAAAAGTCAAATTTACCAGCAGTTGGTATTTTGGAAAATGAGCATGACATAGAATGTTAGCAAATGATTTTTATGTCACCACCAAAAAGTGGTGACATATTGTTATTGTCTCCGTAATTTTTTGATGGCAGTTAGTGGTTGGTAATTGGCAGTTGGCGATCGGCATCTGTAACAAATTCTTACAACTTCCAATAACTTAACAAATACTGTTTAGACTTCATTTTTTTCAAAATCATCTACAAGTTGTCAAATCTGACTTAAGATTGAACTCATAATCTTATGAGCAACTAGGTGGTGACATTTTGTCATGTTAATGCCTTGTATAAAATTTGGAATTTTCATCAAAAAGTTACTCTAAAATTGAACCTGTCCCTAAGAACCTGTCCCTTGATCCTTTTATGAAAAATTAAAATTGGCAACTTTTCAGTTATAACTGGCTGCACTGCTGGTATAGGACGTGCATTCGCAGAAGAACTGGCGAGCCAAGGTATCAATATAATTCTTATTAGTAGAAGCAGGACCCGTTTACAACGAGAGGCAAATAAATTAGGTAAGGGATCCACGGGCACTAAACTTAATTAAGTAATTTAGAAATAAAATCACTGAATTGAATAACAGTCTAAATATTTTCATCCTGTAATATTGTGTGGTAGTTAGTAGTATAAACTTTGATGAAGCATACTTATTATCCCATCGAACGAAGTTCGTAGGGATATAGGGAACGCCTCCGTCCGTCCGTCCATCCGTCTGTCCGTCCATCCGTCCGTCCGGGCAATAACTCAAATACCGTTGGACCGATTTTGTTCATATTTTGTACACATATACCCTATGGGGATAGAAGTTCTGCTCAAAAGCCGATTTTCAAAATTGCTGCTCATTTCAAAATGGCGGCCATTTTAGTGACGATTTTACAGTAATTTAGGTGCAATATGTAAAACTGTAATAGCAATATGTTTGAAATGTAAAAAAATTATAAAGGACATTAATAATGCTACAAATGTAGATATTAAAGAAGCACATGGCAGCCATCTTGAAAAATGGCGGCCTTTACGCGTTATTTTACGATTTTGGCTGTAACTCAAAAAATAGTGGAGCGATTTTGTTCATATTTGGTATGTGAATACTATAAGCATTGCACACTGTCTAAAGACACTTTTGGTAGAAGGTGGCCATTTTGAAAAATGGCTGCCATTTTAACGCATTTTACTATAACTCGAAAAGTAGTGGAGCGATTTTGTTCATATTTGGTATGTGAATACTATAAGCATGGCACACTGTCCTATGACACTTTTGGTAGAAGGCGGCCATTTTGAAAAAAATTTTGAAAAATGGCCGCCATTTTAACATATTTTACTATAACTCGAAAAGTAGTGGAGCGATTTTGTTCATATTTGGTACTGTAGATTGGGTTAATTTGGCGCTACTTAATTTGGCGATTTTGCCATTTTTGGCATATTGGCGGCTATTTAATTTGGCGGATATGCAAAAAATGTTAATGCAATGTTAAACTTACGAATAACCATGTCAATGGGCATGTTTGGCTATGTTCATTTTTTCTTTTGAGGACCACTGGCGATATTCACCATGTTTGTACATTTTTGTGAGATCATCCTTTACATTTTGCACCTCGATCGATGCTGCTACTATTCGCGCTATTCCTTTCTAGTTTTTCCCTGAGTATTAATGAGTGACTGACCAGTTCTGAGCCAATTTATGAGAGACATTTTTTCGTATTTTTGGAAAAAACTAAACCGGAAGTGACCTAAATACACTGGATGAAATACCCTAGATAATTCCCGGGGATTCATTCTAAATTTTGGCGAAGATTTATATTGGCGAATTTTTCAATTTCGCCAAATTCGCCAAATTAAAGCGGGCGCCAAATTAACCCAATCTACAGTATGTGAATACTATAAGCATGGCACACTGTCTATTTCTAATGAAGTTTTTGGTAGAAGGTGGCCATTTTGAAAAATGGCCGCCATTTTAACATATTTTACTATAACTCGAAAAGTAGTTGAGCGATTTTGTTCATAATTGATATGTGAATACTTTAAGCATGGCACATTGTCTAATAAAACTTTGGGGAGTAGTCGGCCATTTTGAAAAATGGTCACCTTTTTATGTGTGTTATTTTACAAGTACGTGTGCAATTTTTCAAAAATTTTAGAGGTGGCTACTTAAAAGCATATTATTTCTTCTGATGACAACTTGGCTAGAGAGCAACCATTTTGAAAATGGTGTGTTGTTTTATGATATTTGCGCTCGTTTGTAAAAATGCCAGCCATTTCTGTTCGATGGGATTCGCTACGCTTTGGCGTTGCCGTTGTTCTGGTTTTCAAGTTTGAATTATTTATATTACCTTAACTGCCTTATGCTTTAGGTTCTTCAACTAAACACAATTGCAAAATGAACCATTAAGATTCAATCACAAATGACATAATGCATATTTTTTATTTATTTACTTTAATTGCCCAACACTAGTTAGCAGTGTCTGCACTAGATATCAATAACCATAAGAGGATTTATCAGATCATATCTCAAAAGCATTCTTCGAAAATATTACAAAACATTATGTTACATTATGTTTCTATGTGTTACAGAGCAAGAATTTGGGGTGGAGACAGAGTGCATTCCAGTAGACTTCTCCCAGGGTAGGGATATATATGCAGCACTGGAGACCAAGCTTAAAGGCAGAGAAATAGGAATTCTAGGTAAGTCACAGGGTTTCGTTGTATCACACTTTATCACATGAATAGGAGTGTCTTAGCATTTTGATTGGTCAATTTTGATGATGTATATTCGGTATCACATGGCACGTGACTAATTTTCATGTGATACGATAGGCTGTATCACTACGGAGTCAATAACAACGTTGTGATGTCACTGATTATATCACTTCTAGGTAAGGACAACAATATGACGTCATACTATTTCACAAACAAGTACAAATACAACGGTATGACGGCAAATTGTTTCAAAGCGAAATCAAAAATTATAATAGATACCAGGAGTACAGGCTACTTAGGGGAGGCATCAAAAGATCAATGTCTGATAGAAAACTAAATAAATCTAGTTTGGGGGGAGGGGGTCAGAGCTATTTCAGTTTGCTATCCGACAAATTCAACATTTAATTTTTTTGCCATTTTGACTCGAAATGCCTTGGAATGGTTTAAAAATAAAGACTTTACCATACCAGATGCCTTCTTCACCAAGATGCATGCAACATGGAATATTATTATGCCTATTTTTTGGCACATGTTTAAGAATCATAAATAAGTTATAGTACTGCCCCCATGAAAGTCCAAATTGAGTCGCTAAAACATGTGAAAAGTCAACTTTCATTGTATTTAGTTTTGAGGGGGAGGGGGGGGGGTCCAACTCAAAACTAGATTTATTAAGTTTCCTATCAGACATTGAACTTTTGATGCCTCCCCTTAACACAATCATAACTGACCAAATCAAAATGCTTCAAAATTCCTTGACATGTGATAAAATCGTCATCACACGTTTCAGCTTATGTGATACAGGAAATATTCCACTCGGGGAACAACCACTCAAGCTTCGCTAATGCAGTATTACCTTTCGTGGTATATTTCCTGTATCACATCTTTGAATTCAATGTTGGAGAAGATTCTATGGAGGTGATTGTACCATATATTTTATGGTGATTGTTTGTTTTTAATGGAATGTTAAGTTGGGATATTTCATTGTTGGATTTTATATCATGGCCTATGAAAGGATATCAGGTTGAAAGACATTATTGATCTCACGTATGAGAGAATTCTTGATTTTGCCAACCATTTATCAATGCCAAATGTGAAATACGAATACATATATATTAAATACACTTGATCATTTGTTTTACTAAATTGTGATTTTAAACAATTGAATTCCCATAAAATGTTGATATTGTACAATGAATATTGATTTGTTGTTTCAGTAAACAATGTAGGAGTAATGTATGACTATCCAATGATGTTCACAGATGTACAAGTTGAAGTAAGATTTAATTATAATAGAGTCCTCCAATAATTTGCATCTACAATAAAACTTGTGTAAGTGGAACATCGAATGTTTGACTATCTCACTGCTGTCAAGAGATTCATTTCACATTTTCAGGGAAGCTTTTACTAAAGATCTATTCATCACGTTATCTTCTTGTTTTGGTGTTTTTTAGAGACTTTGGCAACTGGTCAATATTAACATTGTTGCAACGACTATGATGACACAAATCATACTTCCCGGTATGGTGGAGAGGTAAACATTAAATACTGTAAAGTCTTCAAAAGTCGGACACATTTTGTAATTCAAAATATTGTTTCATTTTGTAGGTGTACCATGTACATTTGCTTCATTTGATGTTAAGTAAATGGGTAACAGGAACACTTAATGTGTAATATTCTGAAATATAATACAAAACATGGATGTTGGGCTTAAAATGAGCGGATTTATTTTTAATTAATAAATCTTATTACAAAACATATATTCTTACAAAACATATCATATTGATTCATATTGCCAATGCAAGTTGTTTACAATGCAAGGCAATATACATGATATATAAAAACCGCCCTATGATAAACATATATACATTTAATAAAATACATGATGTTTAAATCATAAAACGTACCCCTCTAAAGTTTGAAGGGTGGGGGAGGAAATTTCATTTTTTCAAGACCGCCAGCGAACTTCCGCCCAGAGTACTATTTTACACTGAACGAATGTTGATCCCCGGGGTTATTTCATATATCTCTTACATTAAAATTAATTTATGTAATAAATATACTTATTGCGGTGTACCAGTTTACAGGTTTTACTGTAACACTTCTAAAAAGTAACTATATATTTTTCCTGGTCTGTGGTAAATCAGTTGGATTATATTCTATTTAAACTTACCAAGGTTGTAACTAAACTTGATATTGTTGTTTCAGAGGCCGTGGGGCAATTATTAATATGGCTTCAAGTGCTAGTTTAAAACCTACTCCACAGATGTCGGTGTATGCAGCAACCAAGGTGTGTATAGGTGTTACTGGTCTGTGTACTTACTGTGGTACCATACCTTAATAAGTATATCTACCAATTTTGTAATCATGCTGACAAAAAATAGGCCTATTGAACAATTTAGTGTTGATTTTGGTAAGAATTGCATAAGTTTCATCAAAATTCTGTAAACAATTTTTGGGATGCAGCCCATGATTTGTTCAAGTGTTTATGTATTGCCCTTACAGGCATTTATTGACGATTTTTCATGTGCGATATAATTATATAATTATGTTGATTAATTCTTATGTCTGTTATGATAACATGCATATATCATGTGTATTGACTATTTCTCAAAATCTCATATCCAATATAATTGTAGCCATGCATTTCTCACATTATCTTTTTCCAGGCGTATATTGACTACTTTTCCCGTGCAATCAATTATGAGTACAAATCTAAAGGCATTATAGTTCAGTCTCTCATGCCATTCTACGTCGCAACAAGGATGACAAGGTTTAGCGATGCACTCTCTAAACCAAGCCTATTGGTTCCATCAGCCACTAAATATGTCCAGGTAATGAAATGTCACCGCCAAGGAGTGGGGACATATTTTTATAGTGACCGAAATTAACTTACCAGTTGGATACATTTTTAATTGTCTTGTGAAGGAGATACTAAGCTGAGAAGCAGCTATCTCCCTCTCATTTTTGGGGAATATTTATTTAGTGCTTCTCAAATAAGACAAGGGCTCATAATTAGAGAATTTGAATGGGTAGTCATTTCCCATAATCTAGTGCCAACCCTGTAAATTAGTATTGGACAATTATAGTAAATAGATAATGATAAAAAGTAAATACCAAAACCCATTCAATGACCTTTGACCTTTAAAGTGACCAAACGTATATTAACCTTTCAGATGTCCATGGTTCAGGTGACCTAGCCTTGCCCAAGTCGGTCTCTTACTTATACTTATCTTGATTTCTATTATGTTCATAATTCAAGATCAGATAAGTAAAAAATACCGACTTGGGCAAGGGACCATACATACATTGATATTTGAGATGTCCACACAAACATTGACCTTTAACATTGACCTTTAACATTTCAGGTGACTGCATAAACACTGGCCTTTGCTGTACTGTGCTAAATGATATAAAGGTTGTTCACAATTTTCTTCAATACTTTTCAGCATGCCCTTTGTACTCTAAGCTATTCAACAAGGACTACAGGATATTGGCCCCACACTCTTCAGGTAAAGTATAAGAACCACAAGACCAAGCATATTACTATCTTAAACATTTTCTGTGGTGAATTCACATGAAAAAATTCACAAACATAGACTTCTTCTGAAAGCTACTTTAAAATTCTTAAAAGCAACCAAAAGCAACCAAGATTGACTAAGATATGTATTACACACCACACCAAGATTTACCCCATTGCATACTGTTTTTTGTGATAAAAGTTAATTTGATTAACCTTGTTGAATGTTTACTATATGATATTCTTTGTATGATATGATATGAATTTGAAATAAAATGATTAAAAAATATGTTGGGTTTCAAACACATTGTTGAATACCTTGATTACTAAAATTACTATTAACTCCTATTATATGTCTAAAGGTGTGATTGTTGCACCATCCATCTATCAATGCAGCATATTTTGTTATTTTAAAAAAATCTAAGATTTTGGAAACACAATTACATGATTTGCCACTAGCACATGTACACTAGTGTTCAATATTGAATGTTTCATGTACAAGCTATTTCCATGAAATTAAAATTGAGTAAAACCTTTTTTGAGAACTTTCGAATTTTGGTTATAAATACTATATAGTATTGCTGCCTACAATCTATGACATTATGAATCGTCTGTTCAATAAATCCTGTTTTCTTTTGTACAAGAAAAGGTGACCGGATTCAATAAAAAGGTCTATACTATAGGACAAAAGTTAAAGGTTTGCATAAACTTTATTTTTAATCTTCCAGTGGTGGTTCCTCAGCTTAATTCCAGAGAATATCTACATGTGGGGAGCCATGCGGGTTCTAAATGCGCTACGGCGTCAAACACACAATCGTATACGCCATAGATCAGGCCAGAAAGGCTCCCAGGGTTCCACAGGATCGATGTCGGAGTCAGACAGCACCACAATTGAACCGAGTTCTAGTATAGGGAGTATAAGTACAATAGGACCTTCTGCCTCATCATCATCTGTGTTTTATAGTGCAACGGAGGACTCGCAAAGTAATTTAGCTAGTATGGACAAACCACATGTTAAATTTGATTAGTCTCGTATGTCTCTTTAAAGTCATTATTCTCCATTTCATGATGCAACAATGCAACAACGTTTATAGCAACCATTTATTGTCATGGTGGAATCATTCTGCAGTTGAAATCTGTAACAAATTGTTACACTTTGTAACCATATCCAAGTGGTGGGATTTTGTCACTAACTAATTACATAAATCACACAACTCTGGAATCCTGGATAATAATGATATATAATGAGATTAGCATGTTCCATTGCAGTTGGGTTATCGAAGGATAATCAATTAAATTAAAATCCTTATATTTGAAAAATCATATTTCATAAATTTTAAGATTCAGTATTCGGTAGTGTCACAATCTGATAATACACGTTATAAATTGTTTTGTGTGAATTTTTTCACAAATATCAGGGATAAAAAGTTGTATTGAAACATTATTTGGTATTGCAGGTAGATACTAGATATCAATTTAAACCGAAAGCCCTTAACTGGCTTTAGGAAATGAAATAATTGAAACACTTTTTTTCCTACATGTATATACATGTACATGTATACTGTAGATTGGGTTAATTTGGCGCTACTTAATTTGGCGATTTTGCCATTTTTGGCATATTGGCGACTATTTAATTTGGTGGATATGCAAAAAATCTTTTTAAACTTACGCGCTGTTTGCTAATTACCATGTGAATGGGCATCTTTGGCTATGTTCATTTTTTCTTATGAGGACCATTGGCGATATTCACCACGTTTGTACATTTTTGTGAGATCATCTTTTACATTTTGCACCTCGATCGATGCTGCTATTATACCGCGCTTTTCCTGTACTAGTTTTTCCCTGAGTATTAATGAGTGACTGACCAGTTCTGAGCCAATTTATGAGAGACATTTTTTCATATTTTTGGAAAAAACTAAATCGGAAGTGACCTAAATATACTGGGCGAAATACCCTAGATAATTCCCGGGGATTCATTCTAAATTGGCGAAGATTTATATTGGCGATTTTTTCAATTTCGCCAAATTCGCCAAATTAAAGCGGGCTCCAAATTAACCCAATCTACAGTATTTAATTAAATACTGATTATTTAATGATATTGAAGACAATTTTGTGAAAATTATGCATGCAAGTGTAGCATTCCTAGAAGCTCTATGTGATATTTTCTTGACGAGTTGTTGTAGATTCATGAGATTTTTGTGTGTGCCATATTGATAAGTTGCTTCAAAATGAACAAAATCATGTACTGTAAAATGTGTCAAGGAATTGGGAAGTAATTTCCTTTGATTTTAGCTTGTGTGAAACTCGGGAAAAGAAATGTTGCGTCCTGGATATAGTTGATTACTGTGGTTTTACTTGCAATTAGACATATGCTCTTAACGATAAACGGTACAGCAATACTTGTCTAAATATAAAACCTTTGGTTCTTAAGCTTTTAAAATTAGGTCAGTTGGTCGTGGGACTGAAGTGTTCCACTAATAGAGATGTTCCATTTCTAAGTGTTCCACTAATAAAGGTGTTCCACTTCTAAGTGTTCCACTAATAAAGGTGTTCCACTTCTAAGTGTACACTTTACAGGTTTCATTGTGCTATAATTGATAATCCCTGTAGTGAACTCGCTTAAGTTTGAAAAATTGATTATTAAATTGATATTGAAAAGAAAATCAGGATAATGTCTGTGAAAATTTTGTTTGACTTGCAGGCCTGTAGCCAGGATTTGCCAAGGGGGGTTCAGTTTTCAAAAATTTCCATGGGGGTTCACATTTGACAATTTTGGCCCAAATATGGCTAAAACCACGTGAGAAGTGCTCAAAATGGTGAAAAACTGCATGATTTTGAGAGAATTTTGGGCTGGGGGGAGGGGGTTCACAGGGTTCAGACCCCCCCCCCCCTGGCTACGGGCCTGCCTTGTTAAGTGTTCTTACTGCAGCTTATATGGAAATATGAAACATGACAAAAGAGTGCAGTGCAGTATGTAGATCTTACTTTTTATATATTCAATTTCAATTTTTATTTATTATACCATCACCCAAATAAATAGTGTGGAACTTTTAAATGTGGAAGCTGATCACTGAAAAACAAAATGCCATTTTCCATCCTCTTCCTAATGTAGACTTGTCAGTTATATATAAGCTCAGGACTTTTGCAAAATAACAGGTACATGAAAAGTTTTAGCTTTGCTTTCATTTACACAGTGGGGCCAACTTGGTGTAATTGATGAAATGATTTAAATATGTTGAGCATATATGGTGGAAAGATGAAATAAGCAGCTAAATGATTTCTTTGTGATCTGGCCGGAGTTAAATGACGGGTATTTATTTTTTGAATGAATCAAAAAAATCCACTGTATCATTGCAACACTAGTAGCACTATAGGTGACTAAATGTTACACATAACCCACCTAAATACAATACACAATTCATATTGTCAGATATTTTGTACAGTATTCATTTATTCATGCTCCAATTTTACAAAAACATCTTGGTCAAAATTTTCTAAGTAAACAAATCTAGTTTAGTATTTACATGTATAAAATGATGATATAAAATACATGTTTTACTCAACAGTCAACATCATATGTTCGCTCAAACCCCCAGAACCCCTAGCTAGGGGCCTGATACTGTACTTGTTTTGGGCCCCATTAGACAGGTTTAATTCTTAGGTGCAACACTTCATGCCAAAAGTTTACAGACTCAAGGACTCACCAGGTTGTTTTCACAAAATCGCCTGTTGTTTTTAGGGACTTTTCAACTTTTCCATGTTACATTTATGATTTTCATTAATTTTGCCTGTTGTTTTCATTCATTCAGCCTGTTGTGAGAAATTCTAGTGAAACCCCTGCAAATAGGATAATTTTGGCAATCTTTTAAAAAATTATGAACACAAGAATTACATGTATTTTGGGATTTCAACATAATGCAGTTTTAAAACTTTTTTACAGCATATAATCTCAATGTTAAACTATGGGCTAAGTAAAAATGACCAAAGTTGAAAAAGGTAAATGCTGAGTTAAATGAATTAGATGGGATAGAGACTAGAGAGTGAATCTTCATGAAGCAAATGTTTCCAAAGCAATCCTGATTTGATCTTTTGAAAAAAGAAGAGAAAGGCTATCTGATCAAATAAAGAAGTGATTGAGGATCCAAATTCGGTAAAATGAAAATATGGCCACACAACCTTAAAATTAAGAGATTACTGTACTTCTACTTAATTTGGGGCTACTTGATTTGAACATTTGGTGGCTAATTACCAGGGCATTTGGCAGCTACTTTATTTGGTGGGCTTTAAGGATTTTGCGAGTCGACCAAGTTAAAATGGCTGACAAATTAAAAAGAAGAACAGTATCATGTCAAAATTGTTGACTTCAGAAAACAGGCAAGATATTGAATGTTATGGGCCAAATATATTGTAAGAAATTATTGTGACAATTTTTTTCTTAATCTCTCAAATCATCTCTATCCCTTCTAGTTTTCCTTTAATCTTTTTGAGTGATCTAAATAGTGCTTTTTTCATATTTTTTTTTGTTTATCAATAAAGTTCCATTCCAGCCTCATTCCACATGTATACCTCAGCAGTTTTAAGTTTGGTATTGTGTACTTTGTACATGAAAAGCTAAATCATCAAATACATGTAGGTCTATTTACTCTAGGTATAGTGCTAAAATCAACTTAGATATATATGACTAATTTATTTATAAATTGTGAATGAGTTGTTTTTATATATAATTTTTCACATAAAATGCTTATTATGTAGAATATAGGCCAATAAAAATATCAATATACAGTGTGTCTCAAAAAAATGTTACACTTACAAAAAGTTCAATATCTTTCATAATTTTGACTTTTCCCTTAAAATATACTTAGATACCATAAAACCGGTCTTTTTCGAATAAATTCACACCATCAGATTCAAAATCCGTCCAAGATTGGCTGCACAGGACAGATTTTATAGACTCATGTGAAATCTGATTTGCGCCAACTTCTCAGTGGCTGGACATGTGTTGATCAATTCTTTTTTGGTGTGAATGCTGTGGACAGTGATATCTTGATATGATCAATGATCCAGTTGTTTCTTTCCTGGATAGATATACAAGATTTCATTGTCAGAGTGTTCAATTTTGTTATGATGGCAACAGGATGGTGCAAAGGCCTGTGGCAGATCGTTTGGTAGAACTCTTTGGAAATTAGAAGATAGCATTGAATTACCCAATGGATTGGCCCCCAGGGTCATCCCTTTTTACACCCTTGAGTTTTTGAATGGCCTCTGAAAGTGGTTTATAGCATCACAAACTGACCTTAATGAACTTCTGCAAAAAATTGATAGAATAAGTGTGATTTACAATTCATGCGCGCATGGGCAAGGGTACCTCAAATTTAATTTGGAGAACATGTTGAGGGGACCACATGTTTATGTCTTATACCCAATGATCATATGTAGGACAAATAGGAAAATTACATAATGACTCAGTTTAAGGTCAAGCTTCCACTCAGAAGAAAGTTAAATATTAAAGAAACTGTTCCTCTTTTGTCATTTGGTCAATCCAATCACTAAGACGTTGGCGCAAGTCAGATTTTACCATGGGACACTAAAAGCTGTCATGTGGAGCCAATCAATGACAGATTTTGAATTTGATGGTGTCAAATCATTCGAAAAAGATTTGTCTTTTGGTATACAATGTATATTTTAGGGAAAAGTCAAAATTATGAAAGATATTGAACTTTTTGTGAGTGTAACATTTTTTTTGAGACACTCTGTATAGAAATGCAACATGTATAGTCTTGGTGTTAATTGTTTTTGGATATGAAATAAAAATGCACTCTTATCATCATTCACAGCTTACACATATACAATGTTCAGGAACTTGAGTATTTGGTGGATTAAATACCGTATAAAAAATATATAAAAAATCACTATCATACTTTAACTTAGTCATTATTTGACGCTATGGTATGACAATAATATGTTAGACCCTGCCGTCTATTAAACTTCATCCCGGGACTACTTCAAAAATGGGGTTATTTAGGCATATAATTATAATATCTGGGTTTGACTGTCTTGGATTAAGATCTCACCTATTGGCGATTTACATTTATTTTTGAGATTTCAAAAAAACATGACAGACTGCGTAGATTGAAATTATAAGCCAATGTCGAAATAGCCCCATACATTGACGTTTGATGAATGACCCTTATATCTTTACTCGATCTATTCTTATATACAAAATATGTATAATTATATCATGCAGTATTATTACATACTGTGGTACTTGACTTGTTCTTTCATTGATTATCCAAAAATATTCCACCCATGTCAAAGTGAGTTAAAAGAACATGCACTCACCATTCAGGGAATATTCAGCTATCATGAAGTCCCAACTTAAACCCCTGGGAAAATTCAATTTTGGCATGCACATTTTCCAATATTTCCATAGCATTCTTAGACTCATGATGCATTTGTGGTTTACTTGAAGCAACTGAAAGAATGCAGCACCAGGGCTTTTTGTTCATTAATTATAACCACTTAAGATGATTGTTGTGTACAAGAGTGGCAATACCATCAAGCATAAATGCTGGTTTAAAAGAGTTAACCTTTGTATAGCTATCTTTGGTGATGTCATACTCAAACGTGTTGCAGTCTGCTTGATCCTTTGTGGCGAGTCCCCCAAATATGAAGATGTTCTTCCCAAAGACTGTTGCTGAGGGGTACACCATAGGTATTGCAAGAGGGGGTAAGGGTATACTAAGCTGAGTCCATTTTGATTCTGCAGGTGTATATTTCATGACTTGTTTGGAAGAGAAGCTGTAGATCTCATCATTGTAACACACAGCTGTACTATAGTACTGAGAATGAAGCATCATGGGACCCATTGATATCCGACCATCCCGCGTGTTATAAATCTGTAAAAATTTTGAGATTTTTCCAGCAGCATTAGATCCTCCAAAAATATAGATGGAACTATTTAATGACACTGCTGTGTGGGAGCGAACTGGATGAAGTAATGCAACACCAAATCCATCGGGAACCTCCCAGAGATCTTTCTGCCAATTGTAGGTATCTATGATTGAACTTACACCTGTCTCGTGATGTTCTCCCCCAATCAAATAAATGTAGTCACCACAAAGAGTGAATGTGAATTCACTTATGTTTCCTTGTTGTGTGCGGTTTGTACATTTCTGCCAACCTTTATCAGGGTACGGTCCAGTTTCTTGGTTGAATGTATATTTACATAAATTGGTGCCATCACAAACGAAAAGTGTTCTCCCAACTAGGCAGGAACGTGAGATCTTACTAATGTTAATATGCTCTCTTGAATTGATTGTGTCATATGAGAGTTTCCTCACGCAAACTGGAGAGTTTTTATTCGTTAAACGTCCTACAAGGTTATATCCTCTTTTTCTGGGATTTACAAGACAAATGGTAATGTTGCACATCCTTGGCTTGCACTTATAATAGTGTTCCTGGTGTTGGTAGCATGGTGTCGTCTGATGACGTAAGGCAGTCATGACATGCTTGCGAAGACTGGAGAACTCTTCCATGAAAGGATGCACCTCTATATCATCAATCAGAATATTTGGCTCAATAAAGCAAAATCGCACAGTCTTGAAAAGCTCTCCTGCATACTGCTTTCTCATTTGGAAGTCAGCTTCAATCCATCGACACACAGAGTTGAAAATATTTTCCTCTTTATCAAGTAACAAACCATCATCACCCAGGTACCCACTGAGGACATCTTTTGATAAATCCAACAATCCATCGGTTCGCCAAACTGTTTTGAAGTTTGTTAAAGCATGTTCTTTTGCGACTTTCCAAAGGCCAGGGAGTTTAATGCAGCTGGTTAAGTTTAAAATATCAAGACAGTTATCATCAGCAACATGTTTTATGAGATAATTCATCAAATGGCTTCTCAAGCTGTTATCAATTTGAAGCATGTCAACAGTCTTCAACATTTCAATTGCCTCAGTCACTCCTATTGATGTATTTTTGAAGTAAATATAGTTGAGAATGTTTTCCATTGCATGGCTGGAAATATCTTTTAGTTCAACAACTTTTTTTGATGTTTCTGACATTCCGTTTGACAGCAACGAGTGAAAATAGGGCGAGTTGGCAGCCAAGATTATTTTGTGGCAGTTAAATTGTTTTCCATCAACTGATAATGTTATGTCACAGAAGACATCGTCTTGCCATAGGTCCTTTATACGGCTTGTGAAGTTGGAGTTGGGACAATGTATTGGGAAGAGGAGTTTCCCCATAGTTGAATCAGCAGCCTCGAGAATGCTGTTAGTCTGTGCATCATTATAATTAGACGCCATTTTCCTAGAAATATACAAGTACACATCAATCAAAAATGTTTTCAACATGAATTGTGATCTCGAGATAAACTGGAACACAACATGTCATCTCTCAAAAGCTTAGGTACTATTCTACCCCAGATTTATATGACTGTGGCAATGGTTGTAAGACCTGTCATGGCCATGGTAATGTTAAAGCACAGTATGACAGTGACAATGGTTATATTAAACCAGAACAACGGCAACGCCAAAGCGTAGCGAATCCCATCGAACAGAAATGGCTGGCATTTTTATAACGAAATATATAGCAAATATCATAAAACAACACACCAGAAAGGCCACCATTTTCAAAATGGTTGCTCACTAGCCAAGTTGTCATCAGAAGAAATAATATGCTTTTAAGAAGCCACCTATAACATTTTTGAAAAATCGCACACATGTACTTGTAAAATAACACACATAAAAATGGTGGTCATTTTTCAAAATGGCCGACTACTCCCCAAAGTTTTATTAGACAATGTGCCATGCTTAGAGTATTCACATATCAAATATGAACAAAATCACTCCACTACTTTTCGAGTTATAGTAAAAAATGTAAAATGACAGCCATTTTTTAAAATGGCCGCCTACTATCTGAAGTGTCATGAGACAGTGTGCAAGGCTCATGAGTATTCACAAATCAAAAATGAACAAAATCACTTCACTACTTTTCAAGTTATAGTAAATTACGTTTAAATGGGGCCATTTTTAAAAATGGCCACCTTCTACCAAAAGTGTCATTAGACAGTGTGCCATGCTTTTAGTATTCACATACCAAATATAAACAAAATCGCTCCACTACTTTTCGAAATAAGAAATAATATGCTTTTAAGAAGCCACCTATAAAATTTTTGAAAAATCGCACACATGTACTTGTAAAATAACACACATAAAAATGGTGGCCATTTTTCAAAATGGCCGACTACTCCCCAAAGTTTTATAGACAATGTGCCATGCTTAGAGTATTCATCAAATATGAACAAAATCACTCCACTACTTTTCGAGTTATAGTAAAAAATGTAAAATGACAGCCATTTTTTAAAATGGCCGCCTACTATCCAAAGTGTCATGAGACAGTGTGCAAGGCTCATGATCATTCACAAATCAAATATGAACAAAATCACTTCACTACTTTTCAAGTTATAGTAAATTACGTTAAAATGGGGCCATTTTTAAAAATGACCACCTTCTACCAAAAGTGTCATTAGACAGTGTGCCATGCTTTTAGTATTCACATACCAAATATAAACAAAATCGCTCCACTACTTTTCGAGTTAAATATGTTAAAATGAAGGCATTTTCCAAAATGGCCGCCTTCTACCAAAAGTGTCATAGGACAGTGTGCCATGCTTATAGTATTCACATACCAAATATGAACAAAATCGCTCCCCTACTTTTCGAGTTATAGTAAAAAACGTTAAAATGGCGGCCATTTTTCAAAATGGCCGCCTTCTACCAAAAGTGTCTTTAGACAGTGTGCAATGTTTATAGTATTCACATACCAAATATGAACAAAATCGCTCCCCTACTTTTCGAGTTACAGCAAAAATCGTAAAATAACGAGTAAAGGCCGCCATTTTTCAAGATGGCTGCCATGTGCTTTTTTAATATCTACATTTGTAGCTTTATTAATGTCCTTTATAATTTTTTTACATTTAAAACATATTGCTATTACAGTTTTACATATTGCACATAAATTACTGTAAAATCGGCACTAAAATGGCCGCCATTTTGAAATGAGTGGCCATTTTGAAAATCGGCTTTCGAGCAGAACTTCTACCCCCATAGGGTATATGTGTACAAAATATGAACAAAATCGGGCCAACGGTATTTGAGTTATTGCCCGGACGGACGTACGTACGTACGGACGGACGGAGGCGTTCCCTATATCCCACGAACTTTGTTCGATGGGATAATTACATTTAGCATAGATACTAGTATTCCGTAATTCCGCGGCGTGGACGGAATTTGACAAAACTTCAATTTTTTGCAGAATCCCTGATTTTCATGAAAATCCCGCGGAATTACTAGTATGTATCCAACAGACTGACTAGAAGTCAGTCTGTTATGATGTACTACTTTCCTGTGGAAATTGCAGTGAAATTTTTTGCACAAAATTATCAATTGGAGGAACAATTTTTTCAATAAAATAAACATTACAAAATTTCAATTAAATAGTAAGGTACAATTAAATGCAATAAAAAGTAACACAGCATATTGTCAAGTGGAAATAAAGCTAGTTGAAGTAACAAATTAATTTTACCAAATCGGCCATTTTGAATAGCACTTCCTATGTAAACAAATATTTAGAATAGTACCAAAATTTAACATAGGTGCCTTATGGTCTGAATATAATTCAGACTAAATAGGATATAGTCTAGCGGAATTACCAGAATTTCCAGAAATTACATATTTTACAATCTCCTACCTTTGCGGGGTATTTGAAGAGTGTCTGTTTATGTCCAACAATCAATCATTGAGTACAAGTATGATTTCACCGTGAAATTCAACATTCTATCACGTTTAAATTCGCTAAAGTGAGTTCGCTAATGACGCGCAGTTCTTACCTAGAAAGTAGCTGACTTCCGTTTCCCTTGCTACGTCAATTTTCATCGTTTTAAAAGATTGCAGAATTTGGACTTTTTTTGAAAATTTGTGCAGAATTTCGATTTTCTCCTTGCAGAATTTGCTTTTTTTCTTGCAGAATTTTGATTTTTTTCATGCAGAAAACTAGTATCTGTGATTTAGTAGCATGAGAATACTGTAATGAAAAATTTCATCATTTATCTACCTTATGTAAATCTAGACTACTACTTCTACTTTAAGTCATAATTCATTTCCACAAACTAATCTCATTCAAGAATGTAAACATTGTCACTGTCATATCAGGCTTTAACATTACCGCAGTCATAACAGGCCTTACACCCATTGCCACAGTCATATAAGACTTTAACATTACCACAGTCATGATAGGCCTTGCAAAATAATATAGCATTGTCACGGTCATATCAGGCTTTAACATTACCACGGTCCTGACAGCTCTTACACCCATTGCCACTTTAACATTACCACGGTCATGATAGGCCTTGCAATAGAATATAGCATTGTCACGGTCATATCAGGCTTTAACATTACCGCAGTCATGACAGGCCTTACACCCACTGCCACTTTAACATTACCATGGTCATGATAGGCCTTGCAATATAATATAGCATTGTCACGGTAATATCAGGCTTTAACATTACTGCAGTCATGACAGGCCTTACAATTCCATTGCCACTTTAACATTACCATGGTCATGACATGCCTTGCAATATAATATAGCATTCTCACGGTTATACCAGGTTTTTCACAATAACAATACCATGTGCATGGCAGGATCCTTACGAAACTTAAAAACACTTATAACATGGTGACGGTTGTGTTAGGCATAAGTCTTGCAATGAGATAACACTGAGGCCCAGGAATACGTGAAAAATGTTTAAAATGTCCAATAGTGTACTGAGTTGTTAATGCGTGGTCTAGACATGTATATACAGAGTGTTCAGGAAATAAAGATAATAATGTCATAACTTTTTTATTTGTTCATGGATTGCAATGAACTTTTCTGAGATTGTAGTTTTAACATATTTTAACTTATTGTTGGAGTTTCAGCTTGAGGCGATTCGATTGGTCCATTCTGTGGTTGTCATAGCAACACGAGTAACGCTAAGGCGGGGCAGATGGAATAACTGCAGTATATTTGCATGTTTTAAATGTTTTAAAAAGAGATTCTATCATGTTTATGACCTAAAATGGATGCTTGAACATACAATGTAGTTATAATTAACTATAAGCCTGAAATTCTTTGCCAATTTATCAATTTAAAATTTCCTCCATTTTAGACACAAACTCTAATACTCTTTGCCTCTTGAACCTTCTTCAAAGACTTCACGGAATTCGTCTTACTTATTTCCTGAAGTTTGTTTAATGCATGTGCCATAGTGATGATGCCAGCACTATGGGAGGGGGCATTATCCAGTGGAAGAGAAACTGCATCCAGGGTTGCTTTCTCCGTTATGCCCGCGTTAAGCCTTGAAAATCCCATTGAATATCATAAAAAAGAGTTGTTTGACTTTTATATCATGAAACAAAACCAGAGAAGAATTTTATCATGGAGATGCACCAAGAAGGCTTTAAATATGGAGTCAAAAATGGATTGACATGCTAATTGTTACACAGAAACTACTGCAGTTATTCCATATGCCCCACCTTAGCCCTACTCATGTTGCTATGCCAACCACAGAACTGACCAATCAAATGGCTTGAACCTGAAACTCCAAAAGTAAGTTTAAATATGTTTAAACTATAATCCTTGCAATTTTTATTAAAATTCATGAATAAATAAAAAAGTTACGACATTATTATCTTTATTTCCTGAACACCCTGTATACTGAGAGCTCTTTTACTATAGATTACTTACATGTATAAGAATAAGACTGATTTTTTTTCTAGGGGAATAAATAACTAACGACCGCGAGCATAGGTCCAACAAGCCAGATAAAGAAATTGAAAGAAAGTGTGCTAAATTCGATGTCCCGAGTGGGAATCAAACCCAGCTGGGATGTACAGTTGGGGACAAAAATAAATGACAGGTCAATTTTCGATCACCATTTCCTAATTATAGTGGTCTGAAAGCCCATAATTTCCAATATTGTCTAGATATATATCCCTTAAAATTTGTATATTTTACATTTTGTATAATCTCATCCACTGATGTATGGCCTCTTGTAAATTCTCTTATTTTTAACATGGGAAATCCTCACTTAAGCAAATCCACCTGTCATTTATTTATGTCCCCAACTGTAGTAGCAACTTGTTATTAAGGGTCGTTACAAACGCATCTATAATTATCATAAACTAAGATTTAATAAATTAAGATCTTTAAAACTGAACCCTCCAAAGATTGTATCATGCCCCACGTACGTGGGTAGGTGGGTATGAGGTAGGAGGTTTTTTATACAAAGCCTATTTTGAGGATTTTTGATAGATTTATTTAGGACATTTGTTACTTATTTTGAGAAACAAATGTCCTAAATATCAAAAAAACTCAAAATAACCCCACATTTATGGGGGTATATATAGAAGAGTCTCTTCTATATACGGCTTACTATTACTTTACCCTTGGCCTATGATCTGTCCGAGTGAACCCGGGGGAGTGAACCCCCGCAATAGATTTTTAAATGCCATGGATTGAAAGGTATCTACGGGGGTACCGAAGACTATGGTGGTCCTTAGATGACAAAATAAATGGACCTATAAGTCGGAAGTTACCTTACCTAACCTATTGTAAAGGTGATCACGAATTCTGCTGACACCTGTGAAATTCTGCTGACACCTGTGATTTTTACGGAAATAAAATAATTCTACTGCGCATCATTTTTGACGCACAATGACGTCATTTTGAAGGCTCTACTTCCGATTTAAAAAAATATGAAATATTCTGAAGATATTCATGTTTAGCAATGTAAGTAAATGTTTTGGAGCACCAAAACAAATATACACTTTATAAAGTTTTATAGTTATGATTATTCAAGGTGATGGTTTAGGAAAATATTCCTTTCAAGAGATTCAAAATTAAGGATAACGAAAAACACTATATTATCGCCCACTGAAAAGTCCATTTGTCTATGGGACGAGAGGGTAAATCCTATACGGCATATGGTATATTATTGATGTTTGACCAATCACATTTCAGCATTTGGTTTAGACGGTGAACACCGCCTCTAATGCGTTAGATTGTCGTATGGACTTGCATTAGCCTGGGGCCAACACGATCCTCAGAGACCCAGAGGGTGCATGAATGCACCTAGAGTCCATTTCACTGCTTCAGTGCGTCAGTAGAACGGCAAAAATAAGAAATTGGGAGACCATTGTGCAATAATATATGGAAAAGTATATTCGTAATGTACATGAATGACATTTGTTTATTTCAGATTTTTTAGTTTTTTGTGCAATAAGCCTGTGCCGTCTTGTAATTTGAAGAATTTCAGGCATGTTAATCTTATTGAAAATAACATGGCAGAGAAGCATCCAAATATAAGAGGCCACACACTTTCTAAGCCAAACTAGAAGCAATCCAAGATATACAAATGTCATTCATGTTCAATAGGAATATATTTTTCCATATATTATTGCAAAATGATATTTTGATTTCTTATTTTATAGCTTTTACTGACGCACTTTAACAGTGAAATGGACTCTACATTTGGTTCAGCCCTTGTCAGAGAAATATTTAGTGATTGGTCAAACATCAATAAAGATTCCGTTTAGGATTTACTCTTGTCCTTTGTCTATGTTAGTGTTGTCGCGATGTGCCATAATCGTACATCGATGCATTGGCAATTTTCAGTAGTAAACATCGTTGCACATCGCGATGTACATCGAGGGAAAAAGTCTGAGAAAAGTGCACTGAAATACCGAACGCTAATGCACTAAAATACGGTTAACTGTATTTTACAGGCGACCCCAGGCCTGTCAACTTGGGAACACCTAACATGAGTGACTTGGAAATGTTGAACACCTCCCCTCAAAATGTGGACACCTTGGTCCAAATCTGAACACCTTGATCCAAATTTTGAACACCTTGGTTTAAATTTTATTACATCTTGCCAAATTTTGAACACCTCAATTTTTTCGTGCTCGCTACGCTCGCATTTAAAACATCCATCAACGGGGGGGGGATAGCACCCATTTGAACGGAATGCGTGACATATACGTAATTCGCGTGAAAAGTCCGAACGAAATGCGTACATTTTTTTCCGGCGTTCGTATTTTTGCTGTGTAGACGATCTTTTTTAGAAATTTTTCTACACAAATATTTTTGCTTGACAATTACCAGGTAAAATGCGTATTTGCGTGACATTTTCTGTCACGCAAAAATAACTGGCGTGACTTCAAATTCTTCAGCAAATGCGTGACAAATACGCAAATTGCGTGACAGTTGACAGGCCTGCGACCCAGGCGGGCACTTTTATTTTTATCACACCATCGGTGGGATATAGTTGTCATACTGGTCGTGGTCATATCGTGGTCGTGATCGTTGTCATGATCGTCCCGCTTTTTGTCATCGCCGTTTAAGGAAAACTGCTCATCAGATTTTCTCCAAATTCGCAGAGATGATAGAGCATATGAAGTACTAGAGCTGATTAACTTTTGGGTGGCCATCTTGTTTTCTGGTGGCCATTTTGAAGGTTTTTCGAAAAATCTTGTCATCGCCATTTCAGGAAAGCTGCTCATTGGATTTTCTTCAAATTTACACAAATGATAGAGGATATCAAGTACTAGAGCTGATTAACTTTTGGGCGGCCATCTTGTTTTCTGGCAGCCATTTTGAAGATTTTTCGGAAAATCTTGTCATCGCCATTTCAGAAAATCCGCTCATCGGATTTCCTTCAAATTTACACACATGATAGAGGATATCAAATACTAGAGCTGATTAACTTTTGGGCGGCCATCTTGTTTTCTGGTGGCCATTTTGAAGGTTTTTCGAAAAATCTTGTCATCACCATTTCAGGAAAACCGCTCATCGGATTTCCTTTTAATTTACACACATGATAGAGGATATCAAGTACTAGAGCTGACTAACTTTTGGGTGGCCATCTTGTTTTCTGGTGGCCATTTTGAAGGTTTGTTGAAAAATCTTGTCATCGCCGTTTCAGGAAAACCGCTCATCGGATTTCCTTCAAATTTACATACATGATAGAGGATATCAAGTACTAGAGCTGATTAACTTTGTGGCAGCCATCTTGTTTTCTGGTGGCCATTTGAAGTTTTTTCGAAAAAATCTTGTCATCGCCAATTTAGGAAAACCGCTCATCAGATTTCCTTCAAATTCGCACAGATGATAGAGGATATCAATTACTATAGAGCTGATTAACTTTTGGGCGGCCATCTTGTTTTCTGGTGGCCATTTTTAAGGTTTTTCGAAAAATCTTGTCATTGCCATTTCAGGAAAACTGCTCATCGGATTTCCTGTACATGATAGGGGATATCAAGTTCTAGAACTTATTAAATTTTGGGTGGCCATTTTGTTTTCTGGCGGCCATTTTGAAGGTTTTTCGATAAATCTTCTCATCGCCATTTCAAGAAAACCCCTCATCAGATTTGCCCCAAATTCCCACACATGAAAGAGGATATCAAGAACTAGAGTTGATTAACTTTTGGGTGGCCATCTTGTTTTCTGGTGGCCATTTTGAAGGTTTTTTTGATAAATCTTGTCATCACTATTTTAGAAAAAAACGCTTATTGGATTTCCTTCAAATTCGCACACATGATAGGCGATATCAAGTTCTACACCTATTTGATGGTGTGATCTCGTTCACGTCCTGTGCCTTGTTTTCATAGGGGTGGTAGGATCAAAAACACATTCCAAAATTATTTTATTGCATGATTATCTTTGAGATTCTGTCTTCGTGTAACTATATTGGTAACCACAATTGGAAAAAGTTCCCTACCCGAATTAAAAGTAACCAAATTGTCGTTGAAAATAAGAGATCGTGTTTACTGAAGCAAGGTTGGGATGTGTAATTGGGAGGAATCAGGGCAATCCGCGCGAGGTTCGTTTTTTCTTGCTCTTCACAAGATAGCACCAATTTGTTATCCCATCGAACGAAAATCATTCAAAATCGGGACAAACTGAGCATGGCATAAGTAAACTGAACAATATTGCAAAATATTACACAGGATTTAAAAGGCCGAAACTGTTTGGAAAGTTCCTAAATTTAGTGTAATTAAAATCTTGACCGGAAGTTAAAAATCCAGTGTCCTTGAGGTGTTACTCCGGTAAATACCACCTCCGGTTTTAATACTTTAAAAACGAAGCCATGCCAACTTCAATGGTGTGTATAGTAGGTTTAAGTTTATCTACTATGGCCATTTTAGGTATGTATGTAACGCTGAGGCCAAGCACTTTCTTAATGTGCCATATTTAGAATAAAATAGCAAGAATGTAGTCCTGTAAACCACTAAACCTGAACTACTTTATTCGTTAATTTTCATCGGTGAAGCAGGGATTTTACTTCAAAATGAGTCCCTATGTTGGCGTAGTGATATTCAAAAATCGAGACACAAACCCTATCTTAAATATAGTGTCAAGATGAAGGTTATGTTTAGGGGAACGCAGAAATATAGTCATTGTATGGGCTAATTCGTTTGAAAATGGCGATATGTACCCCAGAACTTGAATTCTGTAATTTTGTTCAATATTTTTCAATGATTTACAGGAGTGACACCTTGACCTGACCGGAAGATGACAACAACAAGATAGGTCCAACAAGATAATGCAGCAAACTCTTTGTCAAGATCTGCTTGGAGAAAAAAGTTGTCTAGCCCTGATACTCCGGCCTGATACCATCAGTAGTGTAAGGCACTGAACGATACCATATACTTGTTTGTTTTGTTGTTGGTTAAGTAGCACGCCTGTGACGTCACAAACGATTGACAAGAATTTAAACCCTGCTTCAGTAAACTTGATTTCTTATTTTCAAGGACAATTTGGATACTTTTAATTCGGGTAGGCCTAAGGCCCAAGTATGTTAGCTTTTTTTTTTATGACAACATAATCTCAAAGATAGTCCATAAATCAATTTTGGAATGTGTTTTTGATCCTACCACCCCTATGAAAAAAATAAAAGCGCCCGCTTGGGTCGCCTGGTCGCTTGTAAAATACAGGTAACCCTAAAATACCGAACATAACAAATTAATAAGTGTACGCTGGTACATCCCGGAACTTCTAGTATTGTTGAAATAAAAGTAAGTGAATTTTTTTTAGATTAATGTTTCATTTCAACTAGCTAAAACAGTTTTAAAGCGAAAGATTATCAGAAAACATCAAGGAAAATGAAATAAGACATGAGAAAGGTAAGCGATTTGCATCAAAATATGATAAGAAAAGGTGATTTTTAGCAAATTAATTTTTTTTAAAAACATCGATGTTTTGTTTCAGACATCAATGCATCGCCAGAATCAGCTTTGGCGATGTATATCGCGATGTATCGATTAATCGCGACAACATTAGTCTATGTCTATGTGAATAATCTGCAAAAGGCTAATAAGCCCATATAAAGCAGATATATAATTTAACAGTGATAGAATTTGAATAGAATATGATTTAAAACCTTAACATTTAAAAATAGATCTCTGGTTTACAACTCATTTTAGAATTGAAACAAACCTTCCTGGTTGATCCCTGTACCCCCCCCCCCCCCCCCCCCCCCCTAGGAAGTCCCTTTATGTTGAAATACCCTTGGGCGACTGTCAGGCTACCGCATTGACATCACCCATATTTACCAGTAGTGCAGGCTTGTTGCTCTGCACTGGGGACCTTTTACATTAAAACATAGATCTATATTAAAAACACACCTATTTAATTGCAGTTATTGA